CAGATCCAACAGGACCGTTTGAGTTTACTCTGTATAGAATTGCAGTTTTTATGACGCTGCTTAACGTTATGTCTAATTTCTATATCTACGCGCTCACGATAAGAAGTTTCCGGACGTTCCTACATTTGAAAATATGCAAAATATTTTCATTTGTTCCGGTTTCTCTGCGTTCTTCAAGAGGTTTTCCAGGTGTACAGTTTATTTATTAGATGAATAAAATAACTATGAATGTCTCAATTTTACACAGTACTTTTAAACGATAATTATAGAATGAATACTGACGAAAGCACAGAAAAGTCCTTGAAGTAATTTTACAAAGTTAACCAAGAGTGTCATTGCTTCCACCATCGCTGTAGTTAATGGAATATATTATTTCAGCAGCCCAAGATACTCAAGGAACTGAAGCAGCTGTAGAAAGCAACTCGCAATTCCATGCAACTACCGCAACATAGATAGAGTGACGTCACAACAGACAGAGTGACGTCATAAAAGACAGAGTGACGTCACAACAGACAGAGTGACGTCACAACAGACAGACTACAGAGTGAAGTCACAACAGACAGAGTGACGTCAGATTAACACGAAACCTAGGAATTTTTTTTTGAGCGTTTGACTTTTAATTTCCTTTACATTACATTTTAATAATAATTTTCTGATATAATTGGAGTATTAACCCTTATCTTTATTAAGTACTGAAGATGTCCGAAAATATTTTAATACCAATGATGTTATAAAGATTTTGTTGGAACTTTTTAACTCATTCGTTGTCTGACTGTGGGAACAATTGATTTTTGACCTTGGAATTTTGCAAGAAAAAACAGAAGGCTGTACCTATATTATAGTCGGGTATTCTGATTGTCAGTAGTCTGTGTATTTACTGACGCTATCTAGGTAACATTCTTTGTTGAAGTTGTTAGTAGTCTGTGTATTTACTGACGCTATCTAGGTAACATTCTTTGTTAAAGTTGGATTTCAAGCCACGATAGAATTCTATTTTCCGAGTAGTAATCAGTGAGCTGCTTTGTCTTTACAGGCAGCACTGGATTAATCAGAGCTCCTATGTCTTGATTTAAACGGGCGTTTAAAAGTAAAGTCAGCTCCCAATGCTCCAAAATAGCTGTAAATAGTATTCAAAACGGCTATTAGGGGTTGTTCACATATCATAACATACTCATTGAGGGGAGAGGGGGGGTTTCTAAATGATTACGCGTGTGTAATTTCAACATAATAGCTATTTGAGATTGGTTGCAGGTGCTAACCATAGACATATAGTTCACTAATTATCGTTAAGTAGAGTGCACCAGCCACCAGCTATAGGATCCTTAGCCATAAAACGAGGGTTCTATCTTTCTATTTGTAGAATGTTTTATTTGTAAATATAATTGTATTATAGCCGTACAAAGAGGCGATAGTAATATTTCTTTGTTTTAATGTAATACTGTCATTTTAAGACACTCTCACACTAGTCACTATAGCTACCTAGCTGTAATCTAGAGGGAAAACAACCATAGTCCTTACTCTGCCCAGCTGCAGATTATTGTATAAATATATTATTGTGTATATATTATAATATGTAGTTATATATAAATGTGGTTACAACGGCCTGACTCAAACAACCACAGCTGCTTTAGTGCTTTTCAGTTTCACTCAGATAGGTATACTCAAAACCCTTTTTCGCAACTAATATATTCCCAAAGATATTAGCTGATGAATGGAAATAATTCCTACCATATTTTTACTATTAAGTCACCATACTCATGTAGTCCCAGTTGATAGTGATACGATGGGTGGTTACCACAGTTTGGATTGTCTCATTGTAATTGGCGATCCTTACAACAGTGTTTCCCACATAACGGAGTCGTTCAGTCTCTAAACTTAAACTAGCTTGCTGGTTGATAATGACTGACTGATGGGCAATTTCAACAATTTCACATTATTCAGGATGCAGCATGATGAAGAGAGGGGTTTGGTCGTTGATTACGTAATCAAAAGTTTAATTTTTCACCGATTTTCGAAATACCAATTGGACAATTTTCGTTAATTATGTAATCAAAATTTCGTGTTTTAAACCAATTTTCGTTTAGTAAGTGCTTTGCGATTATTTCATTCATTAATCTGTTGTGATAGCTTTTAATAAATAAATGGCTTAACATGAACATGTAATAGATAGTAATAAAATTAAATCAGTAATAAAATTAAATCAGTAATAAAATTAAATCAGTAATAAAATTAAATCAGTAATAAAATTATTACGGGGGGGGGGGGGGGGGGGGGGGGGGGTCAAACCTTGATTTACGTAATATAGGGGGGGGGGGGGGGGTTCGGTCTTGATTACGGTTGATAACGGAGGGGGGGGGGGTAAAAATTGCCAAAATATTGATTACGTAATAATATGTGAACGACCCCTTAGAGGAAGAGATCCATGGCAAGGAACATTGGCTGTGGCCCTCACGGCCATTATCTACCTTGTCTCGGCTACGACCATGACAGTTTTCACTATCCGTAACAAGTTTTTCAAACATGCAAATGAGCCAAAGAGTCCGTTTAACTTTCATATGCTTAGAATTGGTATTTTCTTGTCGTTGCTTAACGTTGTGTCCAACTTGTATATACGCGCTCACAATACGAAATTTCCGGAGATTTCTTCGGCTAAAGATCCGGTCATTTCAACCAGTCCGTAAAACTCGGCAGTTATGCAAGGTGAGCAATCTATTCATTTAAATCTATTCATGTAGATTAATGCCGGACCAGCTGGCTGGCACGAACTTGGCCCGGATTTGAGGGTTCACTGTAAATTGAAATTGTTTAAAACAATATCACCATGATAGGTAGATCACACAATTAATTTTAGATGATATTTAATATGGTGCCTCGCTTAAAATTTCTCTTTTCAGAGACTTCGGATGACCCTGAGGAAGTAAGAGTAAAAAAACATCCAACTTGATGACGAAACGTCCATTTAAGCGAGATCACGTAAGAGATCACGTTTGAGATCGTACGAGATCACGCTGTATTCATGATGCCACCATGAAAATAAGCATTGTCTAGATCATGATAAACTATGGTTACTGTTCATCTCTGATAGCAACAGTTTCCTCAGAAGGCATAACATCATTACTAGACAAAGGTTTCGTCGGATATCATGAAAAGATACCAATTCAATGAAACAATTATTTCTGTAGATTTCTTTTGATAAACTTTTGTGTTCGTGTTAACAGTATAAGCGTATATCTCAGCAGTATCGTGGGATACGTTAAATTTTACAAAAACTGTATGCCGCCACTTTGCGTATTTCTTGCTACTTCTTCGATCGAAATATCTCAGTAACGTAGGCAATCATTACATCACTAGTTCATTATTTTACTTAGCTGTGAATGCAAAAGTTATTGTTTCCTGCGGGATTTAAATTTAACGCTTTTCAGCAATCTTTACTTTAAAGCCAGCTACTTAAAAACGTTGTTTGCTCAATCGGATTCATAACGAAGACCAGAGCCTCAGATGATAATCTCAAACGAGCACACCTCATTTGGAACGGACAGTTATGTTGAGAGATACTTGTGGCTTGCCTATCACATCTTCGTGTTTCTATCAACTCTCATCGGAGATACTCTCATCCTCTATGCATCTCACCAGAAGAACGCTTTGAAACTTCATGCCTTCGTAGCCACAACAATGCAGCACATAGCTGTATCGGATTTAGCTGTCGTTATTCTTCGTATTCTTCCTAGAATCATCTCATTGATTTCCAATTCATGGGTACTGGGAGATTCTTTGTGTCCTCTTTCAGCTTATTCCAACCCTGTCCTTTTCTATGCAGGCACGAGCTTCATCGCAGTACTGACTTCATCCAAACTGATGGTACTAAGATATCCATTCCGAGCAGGAAATTGGACCAGGAAAAGGGCCCATATGATATGCGGCATCATTTGGATTTACTTTCTTATGTACCCGGCATACCTCCACATCATTGGTACAAATGACGTGGAGTTCGACTACAGGATTTATTCTTGTCGTTACGTAACCGAAACATGGAGCAAGATAACGCTAGTCCTCTCCTTCATAATGATTTTTTCTCCGTTCATCATTGTCATTTGTACCACAATTCCCACTCTGATGTATCTAGCTAAAGCTAGAAAATCTGCCAGAAGAGTTCGAGGAAGAGTTCCCTCATTTATAGGAGCCATGGCGGTTTCCTTTACCGCTATATTTTATCTGATCTCTATTTCGCCCTTGTTTGTTTGCTACGTCTGGAAACATTTCGTCAAAACGGACACGTGCCAATTTCATCTGTATAGAATAGCAATTTTCTTGCTGTCGATATACGTGATGTGCAACGTTTACATTTACACTGTGACGATAGAAAGTTTCCGGAGATTCATCCAAATAAAGTTCCAGTCTCTTCTTCCAGTCTCTTTGAGAACAGGTAGGGAATAGGGCAACTCACCCCTCGGTCCCCTCCCAAACCCCTCCCCCTTCTTGCCATTTAATTTAAACACAGTTTTTGTTAGGTTTGTATTATGTGCTCGACGTTTCTAGTCATATCTCTTTTCAGCGAGAGATGACGAGAAAAGAAGAGTTAGACGGCCATCGAGAACAATGGATCTAATGACACGAGGTAGAAGTCAGACAAATTGATATCAGCAAGACTGAGCCGCCTATTCTTTAAATTTCTTGTGGTTTTTCATATATCAGACACGCCATTTTCCACAATTAAATAACTTATCTTAACCTTTAAACAGTTAATTATAATCTGAACATTTCTGAATAATTGTGAAATTTGATAATCTATAGGCAAATTTGTATTCAGCTCTAGTATTACTCGACATTCTAAGAGTGGTTTTATGAACTTACTGTTTATTGTTTAATAAAATCTAGTTTTAGTTATTAAATTGTATATTTTGTTTCCATTTTCGGTCGCTCTCCTATCTGGTTATTATCAATACATTTAAAAGATACAAATATTCAATACAAATAACTAAATATTAAACAACTAAAGTTACCTGTTATCTGATTAAGGGTTTGGTTGACAACTGCCCACATTTCTGACTTCACAAACTCGCTGGTACGGTGACCACTGATCCACTGCACGTTGTCCGTCTCCCCCTCGTCGTCACTGTCGTCGTAGTAATACTGTGACGACATGTACAGGTGTTCACGCAGCTCAACTAGCATATCTGAGAAGAGATCGTGAAGGAATTCCGTTAAAGTGTGTTGTAAGTCTTGAGAGACATTTATAATTTGATTTTTTTTAGCCCAAGACAGACCTAAGTGGAGAAAGTTATTTTAGTTTTAGTAGGTTACTTATCAGATTTTTAATTTGTTTATACAATTATTTATTTGAATAAAGTTTTATAATAAATAATGTAAGTCTTGAAGTAGAATCTTTAAAATAGTTTATCTATTCAGTCACTAGCTGACTATCATGTAAAGTAAAGTAAAGTAAAGTAAAATTTATGACATCACATCATCACAAATGTCTACAGACTATCATCGCACTGTGTGAAAAAATATATAATAAATATTTCCCCACCAACATTAATTAATTATCAAATACAATATTTAAAAACAATTTCATCAAAAACATTATCCTATTTTAAAAACTTCCCAGTGGAATAAAGATTTATAAAACGCTTCTTTGCCACATAAGGATGGAACCAAAGATAATTGTTATGTTTCTCTTTATTACTGACATAACTGGCTCCCTCAATTCTTATTAAAACTTCATTAGAAACATTCCAAAAAAAGCAATCATTTGTAATACTTTTAGAAATCATATCTATCTTATATCCTTCTAATTTAATTTTAAAACCTAAAACTGTCACAGAGTTCTTGACGTCCGGAGGGAGTTTGTTCCAATATGGAATAACTCGCTCCGGGAGAAAAGACTTCTGGATATTCTTGACTTTTGTCACACTTTTACTACATCTATTGGATGAAACCAGATTAAGACCTGATCTGCTTGGTCTGAACAAGTCTGAACCATAATCAGTCATACCATTAATAACCTTAAAAGCTTCAATAAGATCCCCACGTATTCGCCGCTCTGCCAGCGTTGTCAAATTGAGGATTTCCAGTCTACGGCTGTATGGAAGAGTACCCACCTCATCAATCAGACGGGTAAACCGCCTCTGGACGCTCTCCAGCTCCAAAACAGTCCCCCAACTTCCATGAGCCGCAGGTGGATTCCACAATTGGACACAATACTCAAGATGAGGTCTTATTAAAGCTTTATATATAGCAATCATAACAACCTTTTCTCTAATAACTAAATTCCTTACAATCCAACAAATCATACGATTTGCCTTAGCGATACATGCTTTGATCTGTTCGTTCCAAAGCAGGGAGTTATGGGTAATAACCCCCAAATCTTTTTCCTGTGCAGATACTTCAAGTTCTATACCATTTACCTTATAATTTAAATTAGGATTGTTGTTAAAATTTATGTGCACTACTTTGCACTTGGCAGGATTAAATTGTAAAAGCCAAATACTTTCCCAAACTTCTAATTCTTCGATATCTTCAGCAACACTACCGTGGTTAGCTGCATTACCAATTAATTTAAGATCATCAGCAAATAACTTTATCTTATTTTTTACAAGGTCAGGCAAATCATTAATATACAGAATGAATAGGAGAGGGCCTAGAACTGACCCCTGAGGAACACCAGATAAAACATGTTTAACCTCGGACCATTGTCCTTCTACAGAAACCCTCATAGTCCTGTCTGTCAGAAAATCTTTAATAACATCTAAAACCTTTCCTTTGACACCAAAGCCTTCCAATTTAGACAGAAGTCTAAAGTGGGGGACTGTGTCGAATGCCTTACTAAAATCAAAGTATAGAAGATCAACCGGGGCACCTTCATCTAAAATGTCAAGAATGTCATCAAATGTCTCTAAAAGATTAGATAAACACGATTTACCCTTAACAAATCCATGCTGATGCTTCGAAATTCGATGTTCTAGAAAATTTAAAACATGTGCTCTCACCAACTTTTCATACACTTTGCACAAAATACAAGTTAATGAAACTGGTCTATAATTTAAGGGGTCCGATTTAATACCCTTTTTAAACAATGCTACAACAGATGCAGATTTCCACACTGCAGGTAAAGATCCTGTATCTGAACACTTTTGAAATAATTTAGTTAATGCTTCAACAAAATTGTTGTCATAAGCTAGCGATTTCAACAACTTCGGATGAACACCATCCGGACCAGAACTCTTAAAAATGTTAAGCTTTAAAAGTTGCTTTTTTATATCAGAACTGTTGACTTCCATATCATCAATATCATCAATACTCTCATTGTCAGGTCTTAAATTCTCAGTTTTAGGGAGAGGGCCAGGTGGTTCACGCACAAAAACAGAGCTAAAGGCACTTGCGAGTACCTCAGCTGACTCAGTCGAACTATCTGTGCGTGTACCATCTCCTCTATCTAAAGAAACCACACTTGATTTAATTTGCCGTTTATTTCGTAAATAAGAGTAAAAAGACTTACAATTCTGCTTCAGATTAGATGTAATTTTCTTTTCATAGTTAACTTTAGCTTTAATTTCTGCTACTTCATAAGTATGTTGTTTGCTACTTGCATAACTAAAATTAACATCAGATGGATTAATATCAAACTCAGCCCATGCTTTATCTTTATTCTTTCTCATTCGTTTAAGTGCAGATGTACTCCATGGCAACTTGACAGGTCTGTTGTCGAGATAAACCGAAGCAGTCGGAACAGCTGCAGCAACAGTCTCCAGTTTACCATGTAATTCAGCCCACATATCTTGAACATCATTGGTAGAACTATAATCCCAGTCGATATTTTTCAAACTAAAATTTAATAACTCTTCAGAGGAAATCTTACCCCATATAGGTTTGATAATCTTCTCTTTTAAACATTTGCTAGTATCCGGCGAAACAACTAGTTCGACAAGTATCCCAACATGATCACTCTTACCAAGCGGAGAAACGATCTTACAACCGTTGACAAGAGCATCATTTGTATACAAGACCTGATCAAGAAGACTCTCCTTGAGAGTATCCTTCACAAGCCGTCTTCTAGTTGTCTCGTTGGTGAAATACCAAGTTAAACCACTGTCATTGAAAACATCCATGAATTTCTGTTGAGTAACTAAAAACTGGTTCTTGCTAGCAATATTACTATTTATGCTACCAGTTTCCCATAAAACATTTGGTAAATTAAAATCTCCTAAAAGGAGTGTTTCAAAATCATTCCTTTCACTACAGATGCTCTTGATACAAGATATTAACGCATTATTCTGTTCTAAATTCAATGAAGTGGATCTGTAAATACAACAAATACTAATCAGTCCACCTGATGTGTTGATATTAACAGCTAAAGAATCCGGTGCCTTTAAAAAAGAGTTCACTAGTGAAGCATTACAACAGTTTTTAACATAAATTATAGAGCCTCCTCCACCACTTATACTGCCAGTGGAATTGTCAATTCTAAAATCTCTATCTTTTCTAATCATACTAAATCCTTCAATATAAATTTCGGCATCTAATATATCACTACTAAAAAGAGTTTCTGTTACACAAATTACCTCAATAGATTTATACATTGATAAAATACATTTTAGTTCATCAATTTTATTAAATAGGCCGTTAGCATTGGTATAAAAAATATTTAACGGCTGGGCACTGCGGCCTCCGCTTTGTCCTCTGTCTTCTCTGGCTCTCTTTTCTTTGCTTCCTCCTTCATCTTCTCTGTCTCTCTTTTCTTCGCTTCCTCCTGCCTCTTCTTCCTCTCCTTTCTGGCTAAAAAACGAATATCTCTGTCTGCCTTGCAGAGGTCCAAGTTGATCCAATAAGTTGACTCTTTCCAGCCCTTACCATGGTCAGCGTAGAAATTTACTGACTCTTCATCTCGTGTCTGGATGATGAGCGGGCGACGGTGATCTGGCTTGTCAGCATCAAGCTTGCCAGAGCGATGGCAACTAATCATGTCGTCCTTCTTAATCTTTAGGGTCTCCCTGCAGAACTTGGAGTCGTCCTCCTGGCGTTGCTTAGAGGTAGTCTTTTTGCTTTCTGGAACCTTGAGCACACACAGATTGAGTTTTCGTTTGTTTCGCTCAAATGTATCAGTGTGCATCTTCATTTGCACTTCCGAAATAACAGTTTTAGAAGCTTGTTCACGACTCATGTCATCGAGAACCTTCTTCTGGGTTTGTGCTGTTACCTCAGAATAGAGACGAACAGCTTAATATCAACTGTTTTCTCTGCGCTCCCTTTGAGGGCTTCTTTGAGAGAGTTTGTCAGAGCTGGTGTAATAAGCTTGATCTCTTCTTTGAGGATAGCCCTGATTGCTCTGTTTTCAACAGAGTCGTGTGAGGTGTTGGGTACCACGAAACAATACGGACACTTCCAGTTGATAAGAAGTTGAAGCATTTCCTCCTTTAAACCTGTCAAGCCGACACAACTCAGATGCCAGTAAAGTTTACAGGATTCACACTCTACTGAAAGCTGCTCCGGAATGTAATCTTCGCACTGACAATATTTCTCTTCAGACTTTGGAACATTGATAGTAGAATCCTCCTTTGGGGGGCTCATCTTCACTTTGCTTCGTGTCGACGCCCCTTCGGGTACATTCTTTGGCTCCATCCCTCAAATTATTTGTTATATAGTAGTGTTGAAAGTATTAATGTACAATGTCCATATTATTATAAAATAGATCCACACTAAATCCCTAATAAATAGAATTTAGAATTTAGTTTTACCCTCTCTGAACAGATTATCCAGCACGTAGATTGGTCGGTTTAGAGCCGTGTGTTCCACAGTAGTCACGTGATCTTCTGCCCTGAAATTACAGAAGTTTTCACTCTTTGAAGGGAACAAAGGGAGAAATGGGATGTAACATCACGTGCACGGTGAGTACAGCCTCTTTGAAATACCCTCAGTACATTTAACTATCTCAACTCAATTAACTGCACCATGTTTATACAATAATTTGTATTGTTCTGATAAGGTATGAACACCTGATGCCGTTTGTCCTGTAATCTATCACTGTTCCTACTATTCGTACTTACTCTCCAACAGCTGTATTACTATTAGTCAATTAAAAATATCTAATTGCTGGTAGGTTATGCGATATATCGCATTAATTTATATATAAATTCTGACACCACTGTTTGTGACCTTTATCTTAAATTAAAGTGTTGGTAGATGATGGTTGCAGTGCTTCTGAGACAAATGAAATTTCAAATATATTATGGTCATCCCAGACGCCAGTTCAGGCAGATCTGCATAACATATTGCCATGTAAATGTGTTGTTAAAAATAAATTTAAGCGATATATACACATATCTGTGTACAATTTTACTTACTTTAGTAGTAAATTTACCTGAAAGTTTTGTTGATAGCGTCAACTCCTTGGAAAATAGGGAAATGTTTGACTGAGTGAGGAAGATAAGCGGGCTTCACATCAACTGTATTGTACATTGTTATCTGGAGTAACACTGATAGAGATAAGGGATATTGATTATTGTCAGGGAGATCATAAGGGAGAGATAAAATAAGATAAGGACAAACGTGTGGCACTGAAATGAGGGTTTCAGCTTCTATTTATATTTGAAACAATAAATAACTTCGATATTATATATAATGTTGCAGAATGGATAAATCAAATTTGATTTAAAATTATCAGTTAATAATATAAGATTTATTTGGTTTAATCTTCCTACAAAATGAACAGAGCTAAATATGGACCAAGTTATTACCTTGACCGAAGCCGGTAGATATGGACGGATATTGGAACTGGTAGGGTATCCTACAGGACCACACCAGTACACTGTACTGTTTAGGTTGTAGGGTTGTGTGCACATCATTCTGGTGTTTGGAGTTATTTCACGAAATCAGTCGTATTGAAAAACTTAAAAATGAATATGGTTACTTAAAAGCGGTATAGTGAAATACAGTACTTATAAGTTTAAAAATGTACAATGTACATTGTACATAACTATCTACTATTATATTATGTAACATGATAAACACGCCCACGTGACCAGTGATCAGCTACTCACATCTTGAAAGAAGAGGACCTCCCCGTAATCGTTCCTATCCTTAAGCTGGGAGAGAAACAGAACAATAGTATACCCAGACTCCTGCTCATTGCACACGGAGTGTATCTTCACGTTATCTCCACGTCTCAGCACACGTGCTCGCGCGTCCACGTGCTCTGAGGAACCCTGGTGGTATAATACACTGTTATGTTTATTTTCATCACAACTCAAGTTTTCGCTGTTTTTAAGGATTTACCCAATGGGAAAGTCTTAAAAACAGTAATGCCCATGTCCATTTGACCAAAAGTTGTGGAATAAATGGGCAAGGGGCATGAGGTTGCCCCCCCCCCGCCCCCCAGACTAACGGTCATTCGAAATTACCTTAGTTCCCAAAAATTTGTGTGCCATTATATTGAGCACAATTTATTTGAGCCCGAAAAATTTGGGCAGAAAATTTGAACTCATTTGGGCGACCGAAAATTTGGGCACAAATTCTTCGAAAAATGAACAATTTTCCACTAAAATTTCAGTTAGATATTTGCCTTAGTACATTATTATTCCTTATTATTCCAGTCATTTTGCTTTCAATTTTAAGCATGTAGGTGGTAGTCTGAGTTGTTTCACATTATGAACTTTACGATCTGCCCAGTAACTACTAAAAAATACAGTGATGATGGCACAGTACAAAATGATAGATATACAATAGTGATATTTAGTCTCTCAATCAGATAGTTTAGTCTACTTACACTCAGCATATCTTATCATACCCCTTTCACATACAATTATCATTATGACGCCTCACCAGATGGTCGAAAGGTTTGACCAGTGTCCAGTTCTTTGAGAAAATCCTTCTTCCCCACATAGAATCAGTTCGAGCCTCCATCAACAACCCTGAGCAGAAAGCGCTACTGATATCAGATGTGTTTCCGGCCCAACACACAAAGACAATAAAAGATCTGATGACAGCCAACAACTGCATCCTACAGAAAGTTCCAGCTAATATGACCCATCATCTACATCCCCTGGACATATCTATCAATGGACTGGCTAAGAAATTCATGCGCAATAAGTACGAAGATTGGTACGCGAAAAACATAGTGTGTCAGATCAATGGAGGAGTTTCATCAGACAATGCGAAAATTGATACCCGCTTGACAGTGATCCGTGAAGTACACGCTCGTTGGATGAACGAACTTTTTGTATATTTAAAAGGGAGGCCAGATGACATAAGGAAAGGCTTTGAGAAGTCGGGTATAACTGATGCTTGTAGATCAGACTTTACGGTGGATGATAATCCATTTGCAGATCTTGTTTAAACCTCTAGCTATCCGTACCTCTAGCCATTTGTTTTATTAGTAGCTGTTAGCTATTCCAGTTATTTCTGTTCATTTAAAATATAAGCCTTTTTACTTGGTCAAGCCATGAATGACAGATTAGAAAACTAAAATTTCAAATATTATTTCACTTGGATATGAAGACAAAGCCATCTTTCTATAGATTTCAGGGCCACAGGCCAAATGCCAAAAGTTTGGTTAGCAAAAAATTTAGCAGACAGAAAAGATTTATGCAATTAATTTGGTCTGCAAAAAATTTGGGCGAGAGGCCCGCTCAAATTTTTGTCGCCCAAATTTTTGGGAATTAAGGTAAATTGACGGTCTTACCTGACTCTCATTATCAGGAATAATTTCGTTGAGAAGATTCCAGAACGGAGATTGGGATAGTAGAGCTGCGTCAACTGGTAGTTGCCATGAAATACCATCTTTCGGGGTATGTTCATGATCATAATACCTCCAGTAACCCTGTAATATGTGAACTTTTACAGAAAAAAAGTAGTAAATCATCTGTTTTAAATGTTTTGTGATATGATGTGATAATCGGATAGTTCGATACGTAAAACATAGTAAAACACCAAAATACCGTGCTAGTAGGGAGTAACAGGTTATTCACTAAGCCGTGCAGCCAATCTAACTTCAAAGTGTTTACTTTAACGCATATTAATATTTATTCATCCCTCGAATACTGAGTGCTTACCTCTAGCCCTAACAAACATGCGTTTCTGATAATATGATGTGCATTAACAATTTAATTATGTAACTCCTATCGAAACCTCAGACTTTTATTATAGTAGTATACCAAAATATAGCCACTCATCAATTTCCTGCCTCTTTAATAACGGAAACAATGGCGATAATCAACTTATTTTGAGAAACAATAGCTTTCAACATCAAAACAAGTACTAGGAACTAAAGAGCGTTATAAGAGTAACCTACTAAGTAACTACTGTCATTTCTGTACTCCGTATTTTACTTTCATGTGTATTGTGTAGTATGATTGTATCATGATTGCTTGAGACGTGATTTCTTAAATTACGTTGTAAAACTAAAAGTGGGCGGAAATTGTTGAAAACTACCACTATAATATGTTCGAGTGAAATGTTCGAGTGAAATGATCTCAGATCTGCCAGTGAAATGGGTGTCCACATTAAGTGAGGTGAAACAGTTAGCAGTCAGGCTTGAGGAGCTTAGGTGTCAAAGGTGGGCTGAAGACGCTAAATATGTCTACATTGCTGGTCTTGGTGTACCTTCTCTCAATAGATTAGGTAAGTTTTTCTCCAGATCATGTACTTTTGTGATAAAATACGAATCAAAAATTTAATTATCACACATTATAATTGATCTACCAAAACATTCCAGGAAAGTTGCAAGGTTTGGGAATAATGATTCCAGAACGAATTATCTACATAGTCACATCCTCGCACCTATCATCGCTAAGCTCCTTTCTTCAGCACTCTCTAATAAAAAAGGTGGTGTTTGACTGCAGAGATCTTGCTGACTGCCTCTTGAGAAGACACAACCTCACATTGGACAATGTTCTGGATTTGCAGATAATGGAGCTGGTTCTAAGAGGGCAGGTGGGGTCACGAGTAGCACTACCCATGGAGGCAGTGCAGAGGGATGGTCGGATAGTCAAGGTTATACTACGAGATCAATTGTTTGATATAAACGAGTGCTCTAGATACTATCTAGATAACAAAATGGGAGGATTAGACAGTGAAATACTGGTGGTTGAATATTTCAACAAGCATTTTTCCTTTTTGATCGAGTTAGGAGAAGTCCTTTTTAACGGAAAACAAGATACCATGACACAGTTCACAGACTACAGCACCAGTCTGATACCTCACGATTCCACCTACTTCACCACAATCTCACACCGACACAGCAAAGTGAACTCAGGGAAAGCACACAGAGACGGAAGTGAGTATGACATTCATAATCGGGTTTACAGTCACGTGATAGATAGATCCCCAGTGCTGTGTGTGGTGGAGTGTGTACTGTGTCATGTTACACAGCCTGTGGATAGTTATTCTAACAAAGAACTGTATTCTAACCTGCATGTTTGCAACACATGTAATGTTATTAGGGAGTACAATATTAAGCAAGATCGACCAAGAAGAATCAAATGGACATGCTTTTAACGGTTATGAGTGGCTTTTACTCTATGATATAGTCCTGGAACAGTGCTGAATGTTGATTCAATAGAAAAGCAATTTCGATTATAATTATATATTAGTTCTACCATTTCTGTAATATTATGTATTAAATGAAAAAGGTTTTCAGTTAAACTAAAAGTTGTATTTTACATTCCTTTAATAATAAATTTAATACGGGTATCGGCCTTACAAAATGACAGGCCTCACAAAATGACAGCCCACATAGACCATGCTGTAGCTTAGGTTCCCCATACATTGAACCCTATTCCTTTTACTGTATGAAAGAAAAAGCATTAATTAACACTTCCCAAGGAATGATAATGACATAGAATCTATATTTCTTACATAAATATGGACGTTTTTCCTGTTCAGTCATTGCCCCGCCTAACTGTTACCCAGAATGGAGACCAAAGTTTAGAATTTAACCCCAGAAAACCAGGTACTACCATGACTTATGTCAATCAAAGACTAATCTGGTCAAATAAAAAAACTGATTTAGTGACTTTGGTAGAAGAAATGACAAAAAAATGACCTAGCCTCACAAAATGACAGTGTTATGCCTCACAAAATGACAGTTTTATTTTATGATACAAAGATGGCATATTTATATTGGATGCCCCTCGCCTAATTATTGGTATTCTTAAACCCAGTAAGCTTATGATGAGCCTAAATGTGTTTGTTTGATCATCAATTTTGATCAAAATGCCTCACAAAATGACACCGAAAAGCCTTACAAAATGACAATGTTTCAGATTGAATTACTTTCATCATCTAAAATGGATCAGAAACAGTCAATACAAGAAGGAGTTAAAAATAATCATAATCTGACAGTTAACAATCAAGTAGCATTAAAAAAGTGCAGTTCTGATATCAAAACTTTGATTTCAAACTCTTTGATTTCAAACTCTGATTTCAAAACTCAACGAAATAAAGCTTCTATTTTGTGAAAGCAGAGAGTAATAACAACTCCTAAAACATGTCAAACGTTAACTAAACACTGAAAAGTGATCTATCCAGTCATAGAAAATATCAAATATAACCAAATACTGTGTTCAAGTATGAAAACAAAAAATGATTTTTACGCCTCACAAAATGACATTTTTATAATTTTTTTAAAGTATAAAAAATGTTCCTTTTTTAATATATTCTAGTAAAAACAGAACTGGTATAATATAAACAACATATATATCTAACAGTAAGACACGTGAAAGAATAATGAAACTTTTTCCCAAATCGGATTTGAAGTGATGCCGTTTTGGGTTGTCATTTTGTAAGGCACTATCTCACGCGAAATTGCCCAACTTTTTTTAATCATCCTTTTTCCTGTAAAAGCTATTCTAATCTTCAATCTATTATATTTATCTAACTGTCCTAGGTGAAATCAAATTTCTATAGGCTGCTGTTAAAAAATGACAGCCGTGACGAAATTGTCTTTTTGTAAGGCATGTTTTTTTGGAAGATTTCAAAGATGACAATTTTCATCGCAAAATTTACGGTTTTTCAATCAAATCAACCCCTGGTAAGAAAAATATACCTGTTGAACTACCTATCTGGATAATAAAACATGAACAAAACTCATTTTTGTGCATGTCAGAGCCATCTCCTTTTTCGTGTCATTTTGTAAGGCCGATACCCGTAACTATCTTGATATTATGTATTAAGTTATTCAATTTAAGCATGTTATCCATTTCGATTTTAATTCAAGATAACTCGAAATCACAATGCAGTATTTAAAAAAGAATCAATGAAAAATTGAATATCACTTACTCCAAATAATGCTGAACGCAACTCTCTTAGCTGATTTTTCTGATCTTCATCAAATAACTCCTTGAAGAAGAGGATGGTCCCATGTTTATGAGATCTGCTTATTTGAGGTAAATTAGATGTAGATGTGGAAGAGTAGTTGCTTATCAAAGGAATGGTTAGAAGAATGACACCTCCCAACAATGCGATGTACTTAATCATAATGATAGCGTCCATGTTTGTCCTAAGTATTTTAGTGAGAATTAATTTTAATAACAGTCGCATTAGTAGGTCAGCATTATTACCCTTATAATTAAGGTATATTATATGTATACTAACAAAGTACAAAATATGTAAAATTGAACAAATTAGGTGATTGACCAATAACATCCCTAAAATATTGTGTTTGTAAACGTGTGATTTCAGTGGAAAATTATTCCAGATTTAAACGAAGATTTGGTGGCCACATCCCAACCCCTCCCCCTGTTACTCATTATCACTAAAACGATAAAAGGTGATCCTGGGAAAACTTCAGCATAACATTCAAATAACCAAATTAACAGGGGTTAACTCAAAATAACACGCTGAACGGGGGATTCAATTAAACTACTATACTTTTTACTTTACTATGATAAAAAATAGAACAAATATTTATGTAGCTCTTGAGCCACCCCTTTTTGATTGATTCATTTTATAAAGTTTTTATATCTTGTAACATTACCTTACTTCAGTGGCGTAACTTTGCCTGTTGGCGCCCCCCGCTCAGTGACGAAAAGTGCCCCCCCCCTAAAATTTTTTGTGTCCCTACAGCTTTTTGCGCCCCCCTGAAGCAAAAAAGGGTACCCCCAAATACAGAGGCGGCTCGTGGGAGCTGGCTGGCAGTTTTGTTGGGGGTCCAATCGATGGACTGGGGGGAGGGGGGCTTTAGTAAAACAAATTTAGTAAAACAAATTTTATTTTATACCCACAATCAATTCATATTTAGTTCAAATATTTAAAGTCAAAATAACCATTTCACATACGTGGTTATATTATAATAAAATAATTTGTGATAAATTAATAAATTAATTTACACTCAAAAATGAACAAAATATACACAATTTTTACCTAGTGCAACACTGGTTCAGCGCGCGGCTGATCGAAAAAGTTTGATTTGATTTACTAACTACAGTGTACAGCGTACATGAAAAAATTACTTACTGAATCTTTTAATACTAGACACATTTTAATTCAGATGTTGTTCAATGAGTTAGCCACAAAAATGTTCAAATTATGTAGGAGGGTAAAGGACACAATTGCTAGTAGTGCTTCTTTGTGCCCGTTGACTACAATGAACATTTTGCGGAGTTTCTCCAGACGGCTTTTATCGGAGTGCGTGTTATTTACTTGGTTATGGACAAGCCAGGCCAACATTTTGTTTTTGTGTCAGCCGTGCTACCAGGTTGCAGAGTATCATAAACACTAAACAATTATACACTATACACATTTGCTAATACAATATCATGCAGAGTCCGATCTAGCTGCAAACGTCAAACACCACAGTTCAGCCGCCAAGTACCGTTTAAGTGATCACCGAAACACGAGGTCCGGTTTAGGTGTCATTTTGTAAATCACTTTATGGATGGATAATTCAGTAATTGTTGAAGAAAATTACAGTCACTGCCACCTAAAGCGTTATGTCATGGGTCTGATTAACGGCCAAGAATAAACGTACGTGCGCGCTTAAGAAACCCGCGCAAATGTTGAGGTAGGGAGTAGCTGCGGCGCGCTTTTAACATATATTACGTATAGCGCCGTATAGTACGGAATAGTACGGAAACGGCAATATTTAAGTAATTAAGTATTTGTTTACATAAATTCCGCGTTTTTATCAATAATCTAGGGAGCCGGCTCAAGCTGATCCCTCCAAACTACCGATTACATTACACACAGGGCCTTGTAAATGTAATGTGTAACACTTTACAGGTGCGACAGCAAACAAAAACAAAAACTTATAACATGGGTGAATTTGAAACAGGATACCACACGTGTTTGTAGCGCGATGCACTACTGGGTCGCGCGCGCGCATCCAATAATGCTTCTCGCAACCACGTATGCAGATCGGCGAGATGCGAAGGATTGATGCATCGTGAATCAATTTTAATATTTGTTTTAAACGATCACCATGGCTCCGCAGTGTTTTCTTTATATTTGCAGAACGTGACTATTAAATTTGCTGGACTGTGGACGTGACAATATGCAAAGCTATTGATTCATGTCACGATGTCAATCCTTCGCAGCTCGGTGAGGCACAGTGGTGCAATGTGCATCTCGCCGATGGCCGATCTACCGAAGATCGGTTGCGAGAAGAATTATTTGATGCGCGGCGCGACCCAGTAGTGCATCGCGCTACAAGCAAAGCTATAAAACGCAAAAAATATATAGTTAATATTGTATGCATTGTAATAACTATGTTTGATCTTGCTTCTACGAGCGCCGCACACTAAGCTACACAAACTTTAAATGCAGTAAAACTTTGTACCACGTCGTGATCCCACGGTCGTTTCACTATGATGTAGAGTGTCTACGATACAGGGGAGCCGCGCACTCGTGCGCGGCGGGTCATACAACATATGACATTGATGAAAATCTAAATATTATAGGCTACAATGAGCATTTTATTAACAAATAGTATGAAAGATCTGAAAATTAAAAATAATTAAAATCCCTAAAAATATTTACATCCCAAGTTAAAAATTTAAATACTTTATTTTAAAAACACTATATCAAATAAGGTGGTTGATCAGTCACTTGTGTCATTACGACGACGTCGTTATATCAAGTCAAAATATTCCCCAAAATAAGTTAAAGACGATTCCCAATCGAGAACGTTTTGGTACAAAAAGTTTCTCAAGTTACATAAATATCATTGGAAATGCAATTTTATGGATAAAATCAATAAAGCTTACAAGTAAATCCCAAAACAAAGTAACACACCCAACAATGGTTGAGATGTGATACATCCAAGCAGTCTAAGTCCACAATAATATCATGAGCTAATCTAAAAGTAGCTCCAATGTTCATGTAACCAGACAGGTTCTACCAATCCAAAGAGTTAAGTAGGTTTCCATTCCGTCAGTAGTAAACAGTGTCTAGCACTGGTCGTCCTAAGAGGGACTCCCCATTTATTACAGGCCTGGGTAAGGCCGCGTACATACCAATGGATAGAGCATTGGCCGTCTAATATAGGGACTAGACTACCCAGCTAGGCGTGGGTGGGCCCTGTAGAAATACAGATCTTCCTTCTTAGCTTGAGGTCATCATTATTCACACATTCACTGCAGATTTGGATGAGTTTTGGATCTCTGGAGCAGTTTAGGATAGCCAAGTGTGGAGTACCATATGACAAGAAACTGGGATGATGATTAATCACTCTAAACTCGACTGTAACTGCGAAAATAGCGTGAGTAGCTTTTGCCGAGGTGTCTCAAAATGATTTTAACCGAATCCCCAGTCAATTTTGATCGCAAAATGCCAGCGAGTTATGAGCAAATAACCATTTTTGTCAAACGCGCGCACGTGACAGGCTTGCAAAACGATATTTAAGCAGTTTATGCTTAAGGATTCGAGTTAGTTTTGGTTTTTAAAGTAACCGTGAAGATAATATAAAGATTGGAAGTACAAAGTTGTGCACCTTAACTTTAAATACTTATCATTAAAATCGAAATGAGTATTTACAAATGTACACATAACGGTTTCACATAGCCATGTGTATACGCGTACTGCAAGCAAGAGGGCTCTGGTTAGAGCAACATAACGGTCAAAATCTAATCGTGACCCACTACAAGCTGCTAGCTGACATAACCGATCTTTTTATGTAGTATTTGCTATTTTGTCAGGTGTTTTGTGTAATCCCACAATAATGATATTGAGAAAAAATGGTTAAGTTCAAACAGTAGAATTTAGTTTTTAAATGTTTTAATCCGTATCAGTTAGATTTTCCCCGGGTTTTTAAGAAAAGACAATTTTTTTTTGAGAAAAGACAATTTTATTATTTATCACCAATTCAATACATAATCAATAAATATATATCCGAATAAATTTGATTAAAAATTAAATGATACAAGTATGCTAGCAGCTAGCGCGCTTATATTTGATAAATATTCACGCTATTAAAATGGGTTTTACCACACCACCACTCACATTAGCACAGTTGGTGAACGGACCCAGGCGCTGTTAAGCTTTTATGAGCCCTGGTTGACTGCTGAGAGTGGCGAAGGGGCTGATATTAATTTTATCTTAGTTTAACCTATATTCCAATAAAATTTTAGTTTTGTGTTATAATTATATGATTTTTATGGGATATTTAAGTTACAGCTGCTCGCAATACATTATTGCTTAAAAATTGTTAAATATGCTCGCTATACGCTTAATTTTAGATACCGTATGTATATATACATATCAGCTCATAATACCAAATAACAATAATAAATAAATTAAAAGCATTGAAGAGGTCCAAAACCAATTTAAGCATGACACAAAGTTGAATACATTTTCATCGGAAGCTGCAAGCTTATTAACGTTTGATTCCGTACGTTCATGATCCGTTATTATGCATTCACCTTCAGGCGGTGTCGACGGATCATGCGAAAAGGGTTTTTTGACAGGCTGTGCCCTTACCATAATTAAACTGAACCATTGCCTGATACGATGTAAACAAGAGTGTTGGATAGGTGAGCCGCGCAAACGCTCGCGCATTTGTGTCGCTCTGACAAATAGCGCTTGAATAATTTAGCTACCAAGACGTAAATTGCGCGTTACGTAAAGTATTATTTTTCCCTTCGGATAAAGTGAACGTTACACCCGCGTGTAACCTGCTTTAATGTTTTGTGTGCATGTGTGGTGGAGTGAGTGTATAATGTAATGATTGAATGAATCTTTTTTCTTTTGTGGTGCATATATGATGTGAGTGACAGGTGTAAAATCTAAAAGATATAAATATAAATGGGGGTCTTTTCTTAGGAAAGTGTTGAAGTTTAAGTCCTGCCAGTTAATATTGTCAGGTTGGTGTTGAGCCTTCATGATAGAAAGCTTCAATCGGGATTTAATTGAACCTAGTGAACCTATTTTACCACGTGCATTTGACTGCTCAAGAAACCTATTCCATAAATTTGCCCCTTTATATGCGAAATTGTGAGATGAGTGTGGTGTCACAAATCTGTCATTTCTGAGCTCAGTCTTCTTAAAGAGAGAATACATGGATATGGGCTGATGACTCTTCACTATCTTCATTGTTTAAACCTAACATTTTATTCTAATCTATTAATGTGTGGAAATATTGATGATGACGTGTGATGATGTTTATGTCATTATTATTTGATTTGATTGATATCCATTTCCTTGGACATCAGCTCTACTGGTTATTATCCTCTTCAAAAGATCGGAAGAGTTCAGCCGCCATCGTAAAGTGATATCACGAAGGTCTTAAGTGTGGCCTTGTCGCGGTTTCGAATGCCGGCCCATCTAGGAAAATCTTTTAATTTGTTTTTTAACCATTATAAAGTATGATTAGTCGGATATAATACTGAGTTCAAACAGTTCCCGAAACGAAAAACCAAACATTTGATAATTGTTTCGGCGACTGAATCGTCGATGGGCCGGCAAATATTTCTTGTCGAGTAGTGTTGAATATTCATATTAACATGATTATTGATTTAATTTAGGAATTGTATATAAATATCTTTGACCAAGTTTAATTGTCAATGAGAATGCACCCCAGCACTTGGCGCCAGTGGCGTAACGAAGGGCCCTGCTGACCCCGCTGTGCAGGGGGGGCGCCGTCTTAGGGGGGCGCCAAATCGTCGTTTGAATGTGGGACAATTTCGAAAACTTAACTAAAGTACTAGCAAAACTGCGCGTTTTGCTCTAGATACACACTTTTTTATAGATTTTTACCGGCGTATCCTCTAAAATCACCTAATTTGTTCAATTTTAGGGAGGGGCACCAAAAGGGGAGGGGGCGCCAACAGGGGGGCGCCTTTTCGGCAGGGGGGCGCCAACAGGCAACGTTACGCCACTGCTTGGCGCGCGCGGCGGCTTTGATGTGAGCGGCTACAAGTTAGGCAGCTGCCGAAAAGATGCTGCGGGCGTTCAGCGTACGGCTTTTCGTTTTTGATTTTACAAAGCAACTTTTAATGATTATTCATGGAATTATCGGAAATTCATAATTCAATATGTATTGATTCTTATGTGGAAAATAAAAATTGTATTTTACTTAAATTGTATTTTACTTACTTTATGTAGGTGATAATAATACTAATAATAAATCTATTCATTCTGTATTAATGAATAAATATATAAATAGTATGTAGTCATTAAATACGGACAAAGGCCACAAATAGTGGGAAATATGCTGATACTTTGTACTTTTTATGATATAAATAGATTTTAAAAAGAATCATTTAAAAAGATAAGGTTTTATAGCCTATTTTTTTCAATATTTTTTATGATGACAGACGTTTTTCAAGCCATGCACCGGTTGCATGAACTCTCTTCCACTGATGTTAAGATGTATTACTGATACCGACTGTTTTAAGCAAATGGTAAAGAACCATTTATATAGTCAGTTTTGATGTTTTGATGTTTTTTTCCATTTGTCTTCACTTTGCAAGGCTTTTATTTTTTACCGCACTCAATTTTATGTCTTGATCTCTACCTTTCTAGGAACTGTTTTTTATGGTTGATTATGTCACTGTACTACAGTGGCGTAACGAAAGGCCCTGCTGACCCCGCTGTGCAGGGGGGCGCCGTCATAGGGGGGCGCCAAATCGTCGTTTGAATGTAGGACAATTTCGAAAACTTAACTAAAGTACTAGCAAAACTGCGCGTTTTGCTCTAGATACACACTTTTTTAGAGATTTTACCGGCGTATTCTTTAAAATCACCTAATTTGTTCAATTTTAGGGAGGAGCACCAAAAGGGGAGGGGCGCCAATAGGGGGGCGCTTTTTTCGGCAGGGGGGCGCCAACAGGCAACGTTACGCCACTGCTGTACTAACCTATATTATACCTACATGTATTTCTGCTTCTACTTAGTTTAGTGTGATTTACAATAAAAGATGTTTTAATTTTGTCTTTGCCTTATAATGAGTTATACTTTTGTTCACTTTTACCCATTTGCTCACATCACTCACAGTCAGCCGCTCTGACATGGTTAACCACCTTCCTTGTGTTGTTGGTTAATCATATGAGCGGGATATAAATACCTCATTTCATTTCATATGCATAACTTTAACTTACTTAATGATTATTATACCTCATTCAGATATTAAATATAGTAGTAAGGTATTTATGATATAAAGAGATTTGAAAAATATTCATTTAAAAAGATAAGGTTTTGACTTATAAAATTTAGATATCTTTAAGTTTGTTTGATAAAAAAATCTGACCGTAAATGACGTCAATGACTTTATTGTCCCAAAAATAAAATATTATATAATATATATAGTATGCAGTCAGCAAATACGGACAAAGGCCAGAGAATAGTGGAGAATATTCTGAAGAATCCTGGGAACAGCTGTTGTGTGGACTGCGGTGCACTTGGTAAGTTGGTAAAATTATAACTATTATATTAGACATTAACTAAATCAACAATAACCAACAATATAACAAACTGTGGATGGTGACACGTGTTTATTTCTGGAATTCGTAAGGAATGTCACCGATGCTCACTATGATCTAACCTATATTATTTATTCAGTATTTCTAGCAAAAATTGTAAGTCACTTCCCCATAAATAATCTAGCCTATCTAACATTCCCTTTTATAGTGCTAATCGAAAAACTCTCCTTGAACTTTTAGCGGTTTTCTGTGAAAATATTCGACCTTTGTTACGTGTGAAAATCTAATTTGAGTGACAGGTCACATTCTTCAGACTGCTCCTGGGCGAGTACCACGCTAGGCTGCTTCGTTTGCATCAGATGTAGCGGGATTCACAGGTAAGCTATGTAACTTAACCTCTCATTACAATGCCTGTTTTGTTAATGTATTAATTTAATTAAATATACCTAACCTTGAGTTTAACGCACGCATGAAATGAATAAATTCTTGATTGGGTGCGCAGTGAGTGGTGACATGAGCTTTGAGACATACGCGAATAAGTATTACATTATTATCTATGCCCAACAATTTTTATTCTATCGACTAGTAAATCACTAGTAAATCACTAGTACAGTGTCCCGACCCATTTCAACGTATATAGAATTACTCACACGTGACAATGTTTTGACCTCAGACGTTTTAAGAACAATCCTCAAATACCACGTGTGTCCCCGGTACCGACTACTAATCTTAACACTCTTCGCTAATAGGAGTATCTAGTATCATTCTACATTCTTGCTATATTTTTTGTAATGTTAAGCAGGTGTGGGTTCTGGCACTGAAATATACTTCGCTGAAAATCATTGAACATATCGTACTGTTTTTAGCATTTCAGATAATTAAGGTGGCATAATGAATATATGTGACTGAATGGTGTGGGATTAGAATGGAGGTTTTTAAACAGTATTGTACCTAGTAAAATGAGTTACTGATTAATTTCATGAGATCTGGTAACTATACCTTGGTAAATATATCTCTAGCGATGGTTTTACTTTGGAGTTTAGGTAGTACCCATCCTTCAGTTGAGAAAAACCTTGATAATTTCTAAGATTTCGGTCATTAAGATGTATTTATTTCAGTTTTAGCACAAGATTACAGCCTTTACTTTACAACTCTTTGACATATTGCTGACATATTTTCTAACATTCTAATCAGACGAACTATTCAGGAATTTAGGAGTTCACATTTCGAGAATCAAATCCGTTCAACTGGACCGATGGACGGACAGCGATTGTTTGGTAAGTTGTCAGTAATTGTACTACTGTACAGTGTATATGCTAATGTATAGACTACTTTGTAATTTATAAGATACTCTATTGGCTACTTTATAGACTAATTTATAGGCACTTTATAGACTACTTTATAGACTACTTTATATGCTACTTTATAGGCTACTTTAAAGGCTACTTTATAGGCTACTTTATAAGCTATTTTATAGGCTACTTTATAGGCTACTTTATAGGCTACTTTATAGGCTACTTTATAGACTACTTTATAGGCTACTTTATAGGCTACTTTATAGGCTACTTTATAGGCTACTTTATAGGCTATTTTATAGGCTACTTTATAGGATACTTTATAGGCTACTCTATAGGCTACTTTATAAGCTATTTTATAGGCTACTTTATAGGCTACTTTATAGGCTACTTTATAGGCTACTTTATAGGCTACCTTATAGGTTACTTTATAGGCTACTTTATAGGCTACTTTATAGGCTACTTTATAGGCTACTTTATAGGCTACTTTATAGGCTACTTTATAGGCTACTTTATAGACTACTTTATAGGCTACTTTATAGACTACTTTATAGGCTATTTTATAGGCTACTTTATAGGCTACTTTATAGGCTACTTTATAGGCTACTTTATAGGCTACTTTATAGGCTACTTTATAGGCTATTTTATAGGCTACTTTATAGGCTACTTTATAGGCTACTCTATAGGCTACTTTATAAGCTATTTTATAGACTAATTTATAGGCACTTTATAGGCTTCTTTATAGGCTACTTTATAGGCTACCTTATAGGTTACTTTATAGGCTACTTTATAGGCTACTTTATAGGCCACTTTATAGGCTACTTTATAGGCTACCTTATAGGTTACTTTATAGGCTACTTTATAGGCTACTTTATAGGCTACTTTATAGACTACTTTATATGCTATTTTATAGGCTACTTTATAGGCTACTTTATAGGCTACTTTATAGGCTACTTTATAGGCTACTTTATAGGCTAATTTATAGGCTACTTTATAGGCTACTTTATAGACTACCTTATAGCCTACTGTAGAATCTACTGTAAAGGCCACTTTGTATTTCGAAGTGATGACGCTAATCTCAAAGTACAATTTTAGGGTATTGTCGCATATCAAATAATATGACGCTCAAAAATTCCACACGGATGCCGCAATTCCAAAGATATCAATATTTTCTGCAGCAAATAGAAATTGTTATTTGTTTACATTCCCTTTGGCAATATACCAGAAAACCAAACATTTTCAACATCCTGTGTGTTTGTCTAGATCCGGCGTGTTTGTGTGTTTTCTTACATAAAGTTTCTTTGTCTTCTCATCAAAACACGCCCACTTAATACACATAACATACTACTGTGTACTACAGGAAGCCCTGCAGTGCACGGATTAGCAACGCTGCTATCTTGGTACCAATGAAATACTACAATACTATAATATCAGTGATATCATAGTATTACAACACTTCACAGGTCGTGTAGTGATTATCCACTGATTCACTTTTAGTCCCTGCTCATAAGTGTTTAGGCTGGGATAGGATCTGCTTTGTCTTGGATATGCCCATGTTTGGTAAGGATTTCGGGTTCGCCGTCAATGTGATGTCAAACGATCAGGTTCTGCGGCTGAATACTGGCACAATGCCACAACAGGCTCTGACACATATCTGTGAATTTCTATAAATGTTTTAGAGAGAAATATTTTAAGAAAGTTTAGTAACTTACCTTACATAAACGAACTGAATTTAGTACAATTTCAGAATTTGGAGAGATACGGAAACATAAAGGTGGCTAACACGTATGGCATCAACAAACCAGAAATATACCGGCATCCTAACAAGGACTCCTCCAGGTTCCTTCGCGTATTGTTGTTTTATTTATAGTTAATAAATAGTTAAACGATCATATCGTCATGATCTGTATAATCTGAATCAGTTTATTTCTTATTGTGGTATCGGTTCGACTGCAGGCGGGAGGCGCTATTGAAGCTACAGTAATCCAGCCTTTTATCAAAATGTCGATTATGATGTTAGAAAGCATATAATTTTCGCTATCTTGCCAGACTATCGCTGTTTATTCGCTGCCAGCCCATGGAATTTTATATCTTACAGGATCTTCAAACCCTTATACATAGTTTGTAACGTACACTTTGACTACCCTACAACCGATTTGTACAATTATTGTAAGACCCTCGAACACGGTTTAGGAATTAAAATTTCTTTATTTTTACAAATCAAACACTGCTGTAATGTATGCATTTGTAATAAAAAATCCAACAATCTACCACGATATTTGTTAAAGAGCGGTCTTGCGAAATGTAAATCAGTGACGTCACCAGTCACCAGTCAACCAGTCACCAGTCAGCTATTCTAAAGTTCACATTCCACACCAGCAGATAACGTGAACGTTACAAAATTCTTTATCTGGCATTTCCTTCTGGTTACTTTCCTCTTCTTCTTTTTCCCAGATAATCCGTCCGTTGTTGACCAGATCCGATCTGAAAATGTAAAATTGAAACGAACAACACTTCTTCTAGAATCACCGATAAGTAAAGTAAAGTAAAGTAAACTAAGTAAGTATATACAAACGTTTTAAATTAAAGCAGCTTCCTCAACATTTCAGTCCTATAATCTCACCGCTACCCACTTCCACAGTACCTTTGAGATCTGGTCCTTGGCCCTGTCCCACTCCGCTCCATTCCCCGACTTGGCAGCTCTCCAAGAATGGTATGCACTGTGAATTGCTGGTCTGAACACCTTCTCGTAGATAGGTCCTCCTCCAAACTTCTTGTCTAGTTTGTCAGAGAAGGCCCGGTGAGAGGGCTTGTCTTTTTCTAGCAGGCCTCTATCAACACCATCTGTGTATCGTTTATATATTATAACGATATATCGTTTATACACGATATATAAACGATATATCGTTTATACACGATATATAAACGATATATCGTTTATACACGATATATAAACGATATATCGTTTATACACGATATATAAACGATATACACGAGAAAAGATGCATCTGATAAATTTGTACGTTTTTAACGGTCAGTAAGCAAATAAATAACTAAACTGTGTTTATTGTAATAAGGAATAAACATAAAGGAATTTACATAAAAGTAATAATAAACATAGTTGTGGACACAACAAGAAAATTGAGAATAATCTTGTGCGAGGGTAGGGACCCAGATGTCGTTTCTAACCCAAATAAACTTTAAGGAGGCTTCTCATCAGTAGCCGCACCGATGAGAAGCCTCCTTAAAGTTTATTTGGGTTAGAAACGGTTGATGGGGGTTTAGACCCAGTCATATCATCTTACACATGCACCCTTAAACATTCATTACAAAGGACACACAAAACAAAGGGATATCATTCTGATTTTTACCCGTGACCTACCCGATAAGAGTATAACTAGAGCCAAAGTAGTCGCTGCAATAAAAACCCTCATTGCATGATCGTGTCCAAAGCAGACGATTGACGGAATGAAATCAGCAAACGATTTTATAGTCGACGATTGGTTGTTCCTAATTAATGAAAACATAAATCGTGTTTGCATTTCAATGTTCCATTTGATCAATCGCTCAATCAAATCATATCAAATCAAACTAGGTCAGAACCAAAGTTACAAACTAGCTAGGGTACTACAGTGTTACAGAAATGAACCAACGTGGAGCGATCAGACAGTTTCAATCATATTCGCATTCCATAAAATATTCAAGACTATGTTTATACTTTATGCACCATTGTTTACGATTTTCAAATTAAGCCTTCTAATTTCATTTTGTTTATGTGAGTCAGTAATACCGTTGGAACGTAGTATTTTCTAATTTCTAATAGTTTGGGTTCGGGGGGTCCACCGTCCACATAATCTACTCTGCATGAACGGGGAGTACAAATGAACATAATCCTCCATAAAAGGCGGGCGAGCCACTAAAAATGCGATTAGAGAAAGAATGCTCTAAAATTGAGGATGGTAAAATGTCGATTATGATTTATGGCGAGCGAAAAATATAAGGGCGACTACGTAAATATTTAGTATGGGTCAGCGTATTCTTAAGCTGTAAAGTGTTAAAGAGATGAGTTCATGTGTTCAGCTGATTCTTAAATCGAAATGTGTTTAAAATATGACTTAATTAATGATCAATTACTTTTCAGAATGCTCATAGAACATTGGATCAGAGCAAAATACGAGTGGAAGGAATTTCACGTAGAAACAGTTCAAGTCCCCGTTTATCTAAAAGGTACGTTCTAAAAGGTAGTTTTATAGTAGTAATATTTCCAATATTATACTACCTTACTCGGGAATATTATAACCGGGATAAAGTGGTGGGTTTTGGAAGATTCCGCCATATTTTTCCCGGTCAAAAATTTTACCAGTCATAAAAAAACCCGCCGACTCAGATTATGGGGTTCCAAGGGGGTGGTGATCATCATATTTTACCTGAAGTCTCATATGTGCTAGAGAAGACTTTTGAAGCAGTGGATGGAGGGCTGTAACTTTATTGGCGGTTGCTACCATAATTTCGTTATAAAAATCACAATTTGGTTATAGAAATCAGATTTCAGGGTGGACCGTGATTCTCACTTCTCTTGCCCATGAATCAGTGAATCGTAGAGAAGAAAACAATTTATATGTTATAGAAGAAAACAAAAATAATAATAATATATAATATATATTATAATAATAATGTCTCTAAAGATTGATCGCCTCTCGTGTGCAGTGTGTAGACTAAAGAAAGAGGTAGTTTTTCCCGTTAAAGTAACTTGTGGCCACATCCCGCTAGAAGTGAGTAAACTGTGCCACTATTTCATGGTCCACGGTGGATTTATTACTGGAGCAGTTGAAGATGCAATTGCAAAGCCAAGACGTTCCCAAATACCAAGCGGTGGGCAGGAAATTAAGCTCAGGCTGACCTTCAGAGCAGTAGCCCCATTAGCGGACAAAATGAAAGTCTTGTTAAGACAACAATACAACTTCGAATTTGACGGTCAGCAGCTCAGGGGGATATCAATAATGATAATGGCGGGGACATCAGCGATAATGAGAATGAGAATACGCTTTAATGAAGATTTGACTTATTATTGCTTAGATTTATTTTCCTTTAATAAAAAAAAAAGTTGAAAGGTCGGCCACCGGTAAATACATGACCGGGATAATTTGGCGGGTTTTTGGAAAGTCCGCCATATTTTTCCCGGTCATTAATTTTCCCAGTCATAAATTAACCCGCTATAATATTCCCGAGTAAGGTAGATTTTTTGTCGTCAGAAAACTGTGGATCACCTCCAGCTCCCCAATAGTAACCAATATAATTGGAATATTATAAATCTAGCGCAAGTTAGAATAGCGTTTAAAAGTCACGTTTAAATTTTAAAGATGCTATTGTGAAGATATGATAATTTAATGTCGGATAACTGAATATAAACGGGGAATATTGAATAGTGAAATGTTCGAGTAAAATAATATAAAACCGAAAAGTGAAGAACACTCCAAATAAAGTGTACTCCGTCTCAATGCTTCTTCAAGCTGGAATGCTTGTGTTTGAGAACTGATGTTTAGAGGGGAGTTTACTTTTGCTTTTGAATTAATTCTATCTGTACTGATATCTGAGGTCATAGTGCGTTTTCTAAAATCCACCGTTATTATCTAATGAATAGCATTACCTAAGGTAGTTCGAACGGTACCGCTGCCGGTGGGGCGCCGGCAGGGTGCTGACTCCTCCAAATAGTGAGCTGAGTAGTTTGTGCGTAACAATAGTGTACGTTATAGGCGTATAATAATACGTTTATTGCCCCGGCGTATCTAGATTTAATCATCACGGGATATGATCGTGAGGAGTAAGTGACGTGGTCGGATAGAAATTCTCAGCGAAGGAAGGAGTATTTATAAATCAAGATAAGTTATTTTGGATGTGTTAGAACAATAGTGAATAAACCGATTATTTTCAGGGGAGTTTACTTTTACTTTTGAATTAACTCCTGTACTACTACTGATATGTGAGGTCATATTGTGTTTTCTAAAATTCACCGTTCTTATCTAATTAATAGCATTACCTAATAACAGCTAAATTTGAGCTTTTTATAATTACTCAATGATATTCATCCGTCGGGAAGCTCATATTACACCGTTCCATAAATTTCCGCTGCCTTTGTGGTTTCAGACTTGTGAGTTCCGTATTTCGATCAGTTCCAAATTCCAATCAATATATTGACTATTTGACATGTCGTTAAACCGCCCGACATCGTTATGTGTTCCCAAAACCCCAGCCCCTCCAAAGAGGTCATTCAGCACTGGTGATGAATTTTTCAAGCTGGAAGAGGTTTTTTACAGACGGACACTGGTCTATAAAGGTACATCACCCTAACTTCTTATTTTCTAAAACCTCCGGGAAGTTACAAGTGTAACACTTACTGTGTAACACTTACTGTGTAACAAGTGTAACACCTACTCCAAGTCTCGTGATAAACTGTGAAGGGCATGGTGTTACACCAGTGTTACACTAGTGTTACACCACGGTGTGGTCACGGTGTGGTCATGGTGTTACACCAGTATTGGCTGGTTACACACCTCCAAACAGTCACATGAGTAGTTTGTGCGTAATAATAACTGGAAGAATGCCCGTGCACACTACACATACGTTTGCAGATGGTATACTGTAGCTACTCATTCGAGGATTCCCTCGTCAAAATTTTAAAATTCGATTTTTAAGGCCACACCCGATCAACATTGAATTGCTTATTCTTGTGTTTGAGAACATACTTATTAAATGTGGAATATTATCTGAAACAGATGAAGAAAAAATGAAGAAGTTATCAAGCAATTAGTTTATCTCGTTAACAAAATTAATTTGGTAATCATGCGATAAACTGACTTGATAAACTTAAAATTTTGAAAAAAGAATTCCTTGTTTTAAAATAAAGATAATTTCTTTTAGATCAAAGTTTGCAACTATGTATACTTTTGTAGTCATTGCCAAACTTTACTAAGTGTTGATCTGGCCCGTTTAGTAATATATACATTATACAATATAGTTTGTAATATTTCTTAATTTAAGTGGTATCAGAGAACAGTATCCACACCACGAGACACAAACCAAAATTTCAAAATTTATACCTAGTGCACGCTATTTGATCCGAATCATTCGCCTTATTACATTTTAACAACTTTTCATTTTCAAGAGAACAATGAACTGTTTCAAGTACAAACTGATAAGGCTTTCGATTTCGCGTTCCAGCTTTTCGTATTCCTGGCCTGAGCTTATGAAAATCGTAAATTACTTTGAGCAGAATTATCTTGATGGCTCTAGAACTGGCACTTATCTAATCAACCAGTATTATAATAACTCAATAGTCTATATGAATCTATCTGTCTATATGGTCTGAAGCTCACAAATTAAGATTTCATGATTAATCGGGCACAATTGTCGCATCTGATTGAGCAGATTTTTTTGATCGGTTCTGATTCGTCATCTTGCCATGGTAGCTTGATCTAGATTGGCGCAATTGTCTTATTGTCCAGCAACCTATCACAAACCGTAGCTCCAGAGGCTTGAATAGCTTAGAAGAAATAGTCGAGCTTCAAAGAAAAATGTTTCGTTGTTCAAACATAATAGTTTCTTACATTTGTGAAAATAGCGTAGTATCATTCTGAAATATAAAAATATTGAAATGGGACGCCCTCATTGTAGTCTTGACTGAGATTTAATCTCCAACTTTCAGATTTAATGGTCTGTCAGATATTTCAATAATGGTTCATATCATCTCATTGCACAAGTATATATCTGGAGGGGCATTATTTAAAACATAAAAGTTATACGAAATGTTTGTTTAACAGGAGCTTTCAAAATACATGTGTCAATCATCTTTATCATCTTTGAACTGAAGGATTGGTAAAATCTTGCTTTTTTAACCTTTTAAACCATTTATACGTGACGATGGACGGTTGACTTGACAATATTTTGTCGCTGTCACTCATGCACGAGAAAAATATACTTTAGCAGATTCGAGTAGTCTAGTTCGACACGTACTCTAGTTTCCTATTTTCCTTTATTTTATGCTTGTGATCCAACGGCTCACGTCAAGAACAGAAAGCCTGACGAGAAGTCATTGCCAGCAAGCCTCCCTCTCGAAGATGGAAAGCACGTACCAAGGTTAACAGACATCCCATCGCTCCTCGCTCTCTAGAAGATATTATCTTAACTCGCGACTACAATCTTCATCTGATCGAACAAAAGAGAAATCGTCCTCCTTTGAGGACTAGGGCACGTGTCGAACTAGAGTACGTGTAGCTTTTAGTAAGAACACGCCATCAAGCCATATTTGGTCATACCGCAGACCTGAACCAAGATTCTTTATAGTGGGCTTTTTTTAGCGAATCAAAGATTTTTATATATAATAGACAAAAAGCTTAGATTTTCTAAAAGAGAAAAAAATCTTCATTAAATTCAAGTAGTGTACTTTCTTTTGTATTTTCATGACTAATATAACTTTATATTTTTATATTGCATTAGTACTTCTACGGAAACGAATGACCTTATTAATTAAATAAAACCAATCAATTAATCCAATAATTAATGGACCAAGTTGATTAATCACGTACTAATTTACATTTTACAGGAGTAAAGAGCGGAACGTTGCTGAAGAAAGGGAAGAAGCGAGGTTGCTGGTTGCAGAGACACTTCATGTTAGACCGACTTGACAACACTTTATCTTACTACGATACAGCCAATTCATCTGTAAGTGACTGCTAATTTCATAGCCCTTAAAATTTTTTCGATCTGAATATCAACCCTGCATAAGATGAACATTTACATGAAACTGGTATTGATGTATTATAATATATCATTTCCGTTCTAGCGTTCTTGGTGTCTAACAAGAGTTTTTTGGTGACTGCCTAAAAACTATTATGACTCCTCGGCTGAGGCCCAGGTCAAATATCTGATATAAAACACAACTTACAGGGACAGAATCTGCTGGGACAGATCAACCTGAAGAATTGCTACGTGTTGTTAACAAACGATAAGATCGTGGAGAAACCAAACTGTTTGCATATTCTTTTTACAAAGGGAAATTCCATGAGGAGTATCTACGTGTGTGCTAATTCTGTCAGGGTAAGTTATCCGTCACTAGCTGTTTTTTTATTGTCAGTAAGTTTTGTTTTTGGTTGTTTTGAATAGAGTTTTTGTTTTTGTCGTAGTTCACATTTTTGTTCAGGACCCATTGAAGGTCGGTTATATCAAGTAAGGTTTGTGCATGTCTTTTTTTGTTTGCAGAAAAGCTGTGCTCTAACTTCAACTCTAGCTTGAAAATCTCTTTTTTAAGAATTTTATTACTAAAAAACGTTATGACAGCGTCTTGTTGGATATTCTTAGCATATATACAAATCTTCCTAAGTAACATCGCTTTTTCAATCTCTTCATCACGATTGCAGAATAGCTGTTACTTCTCTAAAATATTATTGTTGAACAACCTTCATAAAAACATGTGTGGTGATACATTAGTGTATTTGAATTGCTAAGTAATTTGATTTAGAATTAAAATTAAAGTTATGGCCACATTAAAGAATTAGATGTTTAACAAATGGGTTGGCCACATCTAACGTCATGTAAACGAGATACAGATTCTTATCTCTGAAATAGAAACTTGACCCCAGTCTTTATCTAAAATGCACTTTCTCGGTTACGCTTCTCGGTTACACATTTTTATTTACATCTTTCCTTAACATCTTTACTTATGACTACTAAGTTATTATATTAAACATTAAGCATTCTTAATGTAAAGTGATAATGCATTTTTCTTTTTGAATGTATTTACAAAATGAAATCTGTTGGGGAAAATTTTTTACTCAAGGGAAATACTCAACTCACCATTCGTCCATATTTTCTCTGCATCGTGTTATTCAGTTCCTTGATACACGCAAGGCGTGTAAATAGGAAGTAAATGTTTTCATTCAATAATTTTTTCAGGAAATTATTGAGTGGTACTATGCGATACGATCCTTTCAGACTCAACTTGGATATGCTAGGAATTGTGTGGTAATTATGTCATCAATTGTTGGTGTGAAATGAAATATAATTCTGTTAGAGTTAAGAGTTTAGGTTAAAATAATATTAGTAGGAAAGCTGTTCGCGCCATTCTCGATGAAGGAAAAGCTCGCAAAATCAAACATTCATCGACAAATTTATAACAAAATACGCACATCGTTATCACTTTCAAATGCGCGCTTTCAAAAAGCATGGTTGGCGCGCGGGGTTGATCGCTAATTCCGAACAAAAGTATCCTCCAAGGTATTTTGTAAGCTCCATGACTGAAGTGAGTTGTTTGTTGTGATTAACTTAGAAAGAGACATCTCAGCAAGGTCTTCAAGAAGCATAACCCGTCAGCATTTAAACGAGTCCCAATGGGACGAGCCACGAGTTCGGAACTCTGACATTTCCACAATTACTGTGCCGCTTTCACTCCAAGTGAGTAGTATGTAGCTACTTTTTACTCTGATTCGTCACAGTTGCGGTCCAACAGCTTTTATTACAGTGGTTATTCTTGAACAGCATGTCTATATCATCGGGGGCCAAGCCATCGATAATTTATCAGATGCCGGTCCAGATTTACATTTCTCCAACTTTCTGTAAGGTCCAAGGATATAAGCTTGTGTTTCCTTACACTTTCCCAGTAGTTGTTGATGATTTGATCTCTAAAGCCTCTAAATTGTTTATCTTGGCCAGATTCCAGAAAAGGCAGCAATATTCTACAATCTCAGCATCACGGTCTCCGGGTTGGTTTTAACGATTTACAATGCTTAAAAACATTGTAAATCGTTGACAACATAGCTGCCGCGGGATAAAAGCACTCCAAGTTCATATAACTATTTCTTCTCGTCATGGTTTATTTTGAATGAAAAATTTCGAAACCGAGGCAATGACACTATTGTCTTATATAGGCTAAGCGATTATTTGATCGCTGTTTCAATAATTGAACGGTAAATTTTGCGTCCTTCGCAAATTATTTTGGTCAGAGGGAAACAGGGTCTTGATCGCCAATGTAGATTATGGAAAAATTCGGTCCCAAAAAGTTTATCTCTGTTCCCCTTATATTAATTAATCGATGACTGTGTGCATTTATTTACTTATTCGAATCATTCGAGCTTAACAATCTTTGCTGAATAAAATACATCTTATTATCCAAAAATACTAAAACTTACTTGACTGCGAACTTAAATCACTGAAATGCCTTAAACAATTTATATGTTAACCTGTCTTTTTGTCTTTGTCTGAACTATGATATTTACAGGACACAGCATATGAATCGTATCTTCTAAAGACACCAGCTGAAGGTAAAGGTTCCTGGAAACGGAGGTGGTGTATACTTGTTGCTGGCAGTATACTCTACTACAAGAACATCATGGTGAGTGGTACTGTATGGGCGAGGTTTGGGAGTGAGGGGGGAGGGGGTGGTTTGGGAGGGGGGGGGGGGGGGAATGCAGCAGCTTGGATCTGTATCAAGCACATCTGCCCGGGCAATACTATGCCAATGAAGATTTTACTAAACAGGATGTGTACCCACCAATAAAAACCACTGTTTGAAGGTTTGAATTGAAACTTTGTTTACTGGTTAATGTTTACTCAAGAATTTATACATACAATAATATACAATAATTATATACCTAAATCTGCTAATATAAAACCAAAATAACTCTAAGAATATACACCGTACGAAATTATGGTCCTGGAAGTAAGATTGAATACTTCAGCTTAATACACAAATCAAAACAAAATTCTAGAAGACTGACAGTCTTGTGTTGAAAGACGAATATGATTTAGAAGCTAATCAAAAAATTAAAATCTTAGCGAACCAAGAATCCATAAATCCAAACAAAACTCTGTCTGAACACATTTCAAACACACACACACACACTTTGCCTCCTTTGATGAAGTGTCTCTTATCTGGCTCGTCGTTCGATCTCTTCTTGAGTTCTAAAACAAGCTTTTGCTGTTCGGCACGTTCCTCTGGAGACCTATCTGGACTGATAAAGACTTTACCGAAAAGTTCCGAGCTACGGAAATGCCTTGCTCTAGTCAAAATCTGTTGCACGATTGTAGAGCTCGTCAAAGTCACCTTAACAGGTCTATCAGCCACCTGTTTCTTATCCTTGGGTTTATTCAAACCAATTCTGCTAGCTTCTATTTTTGGCTTTTCACCAAGTTCCAACAACACTTGACCGACCTTGTCACATAACAGCTCACCTTTCTCTTCTTTTAGACCAAATAACATCAGATTCTGACTTCGGTCTCCTTCTGCCACAACATTCTTCAAGATGTTTCTATCCGAATCCAACAAAGGACCTGCTGCTGAGGTTTTTGATTCCTGTACCGCGGCGCTGTATGTCTTTAACTCTGCTTTCACAGTATCCTCAACTGATGCTACAACCACAGATTTCAAATCATCAAGCTGCTTGTCCTTGGTAGCTAGCAGCTCTTTCTGCAATTCAACTTGTGTCCCATGACTGTCAATTACATCGGAGTGAAATTTCTGGTTTAATACTTCTCCATCTGAGTTCTGACCAATGTAAAAATAGGCCGGTTAAAAAAAACAAAATGTTCTTGAATAATTCTGGGTATGGTCTTATCTGTTGATCCTTAGGTTCAAAGACCAAAAAAATTTCAAGTTCCAACTCTTCCATCTTCAGTCTACTCCGGCCACGCCCATATTTTATGGGTTTCTTATACACGTAAAATATCTAGAATCGGCTCTTTAGTATGAAGGAGTAATGTTAGCTTTTTAAGATTTGTTATTCAAAATAAATGTCATGAAGGCATTTCGTTTAATGTGGGTTTTATGTTCTGATGATGTTGAGAACCACGCCCTTGGATGACCACGCCCATTTAAGAAAATTAAGTCATAGAAATTTCGGAAAACCGTCTTTGAATGAAAGATACTGATTTTTTTAATAAGAATCAAAATTATATAATAGCAAACAACATAATATATAACACAACATAAAAACACAGCTGTTTAAAATAGCTTCTTCAGATCCTCCTTGGTCTTTAGAGAGTATTGTCTGCAGTGGGATTCTACAACGAGCATCAGCTCTTGATACGACGCTTCAGTCCTGGTGATCCGAGTGTTGAAGCGGGTAGCCAGAGCTAATGCTCGTTCAGAGGAGTCGTTGATTGGCGTGAGATTCTTCAAAGCTGATTGTACCAAGGAAAATTCTGGCGCTTCACTCCAGTTATCCTCCTTCAGAAAGTCTAATGAAACGCCGAGGAGGTCGAAGAGGACTCTCGATTTTCCACCGACATAATCTTCAAGGGTGGAATTGCTGGTGATCGAAGGTAGCGTCGGTTTCCTTATCTCCACTGCTTCTGAAGGGGTCTGAACAAGGTACATTATCTTCTTAGCCATTTCTGATCGTCTCTCCAGGGATATGTTCGTGTTGAACAGTGAGATAGCTATGTTCTCCTCTGTGAGGTACCACGTATGTCGGTTAAGGACTTCAAGGGTTTTAAGGGACACAGCTTTGTCAACTTTCCTGAACTTCTCAAGGCGTGTGAAGAGGTTGAGGTCGTTCTCGGCTGCTGTGGTGAGGGAGGAGGAACTAAACCAGGACTTTACGTAGCAGAACACTACAAAGAGTGTCATCCTTGTGAATTTCTTCTTTAGGGTCCAGTGGAGCTTTAGTTGATGTTGAAGCATGACCATCTTTAGTACGTAATGTACAACGATTGTCTATACATAATTTTTAACGCAGCATTAAGACTCTGAGCCATGACTTCTCTAGCGATTTCTCTTTTACCTCTGAAACTCTGAGCTACACGCGTGTTCACATAATCTGCTTAACAAGCCCGGGAGTTTGCCGGATCCATTCAGCTCCATCATCTCTCATTTAATCAAGCTTAAAAGCCTTGTATTTCTCCGATTTATACATCATAAACCACACCACCGGTAAATCAAGCAGGTCTTATCAACGTAGAGATAAGTAAACTGATAAGCGAGCAATACAACAACGTATTGAAAAGTTTAATTAATCAATTGAAAGTAAATATGATTGGTTTGATTTCATTTCATAAGTCCGTATTAATATGTTTATATGTACATACAGATTTGAGATTTTGAATATTTTGTGATATTTATTTTGGTAATACTTAACTGTCGGAATTTCGTAGGACCCGTTTCCCAAAGGAGAAGTTAAGATATCCAAAGACGATAAATGTGAGAAGCTGCACAATTTACCAAAACATGTCAAGTCAGGACCTGATTACGTTTTCACCTTGTCAACCAAAAATAGGTTTGTTGCATAATCCTCCCATTTACCCGTTTGTTCATGCTCTAAGTTAAGACCGAGTTCATTTTTCATACCCTTTAATTCTATGTTTTTTTCTGTCTTTTTACAGCTTGTGAGTTTACCAAATTAAAAAACTGACCGCTACAATTGTTCAGGACCTATTACTGGGGAGTTTCAGCTGAGGAAACTTGTGCACAATGGATAAAACATATCGATTCCGTCCAAAAGGACATGCTCTAAAAGAAAGATGGTATTGTTCAGTCAATTTGATGAATTTGCCGAAAATACTCTAAAATTATCTCTCTTATCAGCCTGTATCAACTCGCACTCTTGAGACTTCAGAAGATTAACCAGACGAGAAGTGGTTGTTTCTCAGGATAATGTTGTAGATTTAGATTACCAGGCCTGAAACAAACCTATAAACCATTCTTACCGAGCTAAAATCTATTGCTCATACCAGACTACAATTATTTTACTGTGTTCCGTTCAGAAATGTTGCATTGCTAAAGCTGCCAGCTAGTTTCAGTTACATGTGTGTAGATTTGAATTTATTACGGGAAGCTTATTCTGATTTTTAAAGCCATTATTTTTGACCGAAATTTGATATCCGGTGTTTTGATTAGAAGTTGGACTCATCGATACTTTTTACTGCTTTTCATGCAGACTTTTTGCCTGGAATTATATAGACAAGAGGTTTTCATTAGCCATTCTCATGTTTTTTTTTCTGCATTTTGTTATCTGTGCCCTCAACTTTTATCTAACCGGAACAAATACTGCTGTGAAAACTGTGTTGTGTGGTGTTTTTATCGCAAGGGTCACATACTGTTTAGGGTGAAAGTCAGTGTGAAATATGGTGTGAAATGCACAGTAGACTAAAATCTACACAAAGTGTAGAAAATGTGGTGACTTGTTTACTCGCCATTTCTGGCTGTTATTCGGTTTAGTTATACATTTTTTAAATTTTCGTTCAGGAATGTATCCTACTAGATTTTTCGGGAAAAACAGTGACTGCCATGATGGCGATAAACCTGAATTTAATTTGGTGAAAGTTGGATAAAATGCATTTACCTTCTGTAATTGTAGCGAATATTTCGTTAAATGCGATCAAAAATATGTTTTCTGTAATAATAATGATATTGAATATTCCGAATGAAGTTTATGTCGAAGTTTTCACGGACTCGGTGGCATACTGCACAATTTAATTGGTTTGTTCGATTTTTCAGTGGATTTAATAACGGTCATGGCCTTTTCAGTGAAACTAATACTATTACTACCGTTCAACGATGAAATCATCGTTAGAAAATTCTATCATCTTTATCATCACTCTTCGCTGTTGTGGCCACATTTGGAGGCCCATATCTTTTTTTTTCGCCAAAATTTTATAGAACGCTCGAAAAATATTTTCAGTAAATTCAGTGAAGTCTGCAGCCTTCCAGCTCGAATTAAAAAGATAAGTAGAGAATCTCCAAAAGTTTCTAACGTGATTCTGAAAGAATTAACAAAAAAGCACAGGCTACCAGATACAATTACGTGCCACTTGCCAGTAAACCGATTCCGAACCTTAACCCACATCACTTCACCGTCTGTTTGCATGTATTTAATTACATCTTCCAGACTAAAGCTAACTGTTTCAGGGTTTCTAGTTGTTTCATTAGCCTGGTCGTGAGTGCCGCGCACGTGGCTGTAATCTTAAAACCCAGTATAGGGACTTGTCGAGTAGGATTAGGATCGAAATTTACAAAATTGGATTATTTATCGAGGGAAGACGTATAATATCATTCATCGGTGCGTGGTGCAGCAAATCTTTCTAGTGTTCGTGTGTTGTTATTGAAAGAGGGCACTACCAAGAATTTACCATGTGGTAGATCACGTGGGATGAGAATGCTTTCTGATTGGGCCACCCTTTTTTGTTTCAGAAGTTGCCTCGTCATGTTTCAGCCAAGGCCTTCCACCAATTGCAGTTGTGATGTTTCTTCCAATTTGCCGGTCGATGACTTTCTGGAATAAACGAATTTTCAAAAATTAAGAATTGAAATAATACTGATTTTGATTTGCGAAACGCTGTGATTTCGAGATTAAGAGCATGACTTTGATTCAGTTCTATTTTATCTCACTTAAAAACTTTGCTCTGAAACTTAAGATATTTTTGAAATTCTGTGGATGATTAATTTTTACATTTACCAATATACCCAAATTTCACACATTAAAATAAGAAATAGCATTTTTATTTCTATGAGTATGACTATGAATATAACGGCGAAGTCACTTTAAAAAATGTCATCTCACGTTTGCCCTCCTAAATTCAACCTGAAAAGTTGCTTCATGCTTGCTAAAAAAATTTTGGCAGCAAAATTTAGAATTTGGCCGCCACATTTTTCAATTGAACCTTAACTCTCCCTATACACTTTAGGGAGAGTTTTGAATTAATAGGTTTGAGAGTTTGGCGGGATAGGGTTTGAAATTGAATATGTCGAGATACTCAGACCCTAACCCAAACTCTCAAACCTATTATTATTAATTCAAAACAGCTGGTGGTCAAATGTTGTGGGATGAAATATCCGTTCCCCGATATATGAAGATAGTAAAAATTAATGGTGCGTGTGGTATATCCGGACATATGCCTATTGCCTGCTGTTCTAAACTCAGTTAATGTTCGATCTTCATTGATTTATATTTAGATCATTCTACATATACATATGATATAGCTGCTGAAAAATCAATCTTTCAACAATATCAGTATAAATATAATATGTATTAGTATATCGATACTATTACTAGTTAAAGTCAATTTCCGGAATTGTACCAGTTGTGTAGATCAATTAAATATCGACCATAGTTTTTTTCGTAGTTTTATTCTGGCTGATGAATTTTCAGCCTGATGTAAATGATTATCAATAATAACTTATTTTATTCCTCGCATTAGTGACTGTAAATATTTCGTGCCCTTTTAAGATACTGCCATAAATAATAAATATTTGCACCCTTCCACCGTCCACATCTAAATCTGTTGAAGATGTTGCTGTCATTTTAGGATTAGCCCAATTCATTTTGTACAAAATACACCTTGAATGCGGGAGTTACACTTTTAGGCAAACAGGACCCTAAAAATGTTGGATAAATCATCCTCGACATTTTTGCCGTAGGAACAGGGCTACAAACTTATTTTATCATTTATAGCCTGATACTTCACGATTCCTTGCAAAACTAGGAGCAATAACTTATTTTATCTCGGATTGACTAAGATCCATCACCAGAAAATTGTTGCTGTTGACTCGTACTAATATCGCTCCAATTCATTAACTATTCAATAAGGTTTGTTGAAATTGGTGACGGAGAAGAAGGTCGTTGTCTTGTTTTTTGAACAATGCCGCGAAAGATTTCTTTGGCGGAACAGTACTCGGACTTTAAAGATCAAACTCCTGTTGACGTCGTGGTCTCCAACAATGACGCGTAAGTCTTTGTTCAGTCTTAACTGTTTTGTCGAATTGAGGGATACCCATTTCACTAATGATCTCTGTTTACGTATAAACATTAAACTCAGATGTAAAATATTTCCACTGGTTGATCTGGTTCAATATAAAGTCTGTTCTCCAAGTTGCCAGAAATACTGTAGCCGTGATAATGCTTAACCTGTGTTATCGGGATATGCCCATTATGAGATAGCGTACTCAATCCAGGAACTGGAGGTCGTGCGACCCTTTTTAAGCAACGAATATTTATTACCTTTAACCAGACAGCTTTGGCAAAGCATGTTATGGGGATTAGTTAACTTAGTTTTGGAAATAGTGCGAGAGCAAGACTTACTCCACAATAAATTAGCCAATCAGAAAATCTCAAGGTGAGAGAATCAGCCATTTTACTCTTTCTCAGTCCGTCTGGTCGCAGTGTGAACTTAAAATGAATTGCCAATTGCCACTCAAGCACTCACGTACGGCTCACAAATAAGGCAAATCATCACCAATCATCATCAATCATTGATCATCATGTATATTGCCTATAGATCTAAAATCCCAATTGTCACGATTCAGGAATCAGGATGGTATTTTTACTACATGCACGGGTCTCACCTTGCAAGGATTGCTAAAAAACCTAATCGTGCCCTCAAGGTTGCACCTGAACCCCCTTGTGAAGAAGGCTAGACTCCCAAGATATTGTCCCTTCATCGCATAAGAATAACTCGATAAGGTGGCATTGCCAATTTGATGTTTGGCACCACACTGTTAGGACTTCGGATCTGGCTCACATTAGGTGTTATAATTATTTTCATAGAATTAAATATTCCTCTTTATTAGACTGGGTGGTTCAATGAGGAGTGACTGTGAGGAGTGAGGAGCCAGTCATGAGAATTGGCGGACGTAATGATAATATTACCATTTATCAGTTACCAGCTTAGGAGTGTAATCAAAATGAGGGGGCTGACTTTGCCTTGCAATTTAAGGATTATAAAGTAAAAAACTGAATGATCTCCTCTTAGAGGTAACTAGACTAAGAACATTGCATTATCATGATGCGTGATTATGCACGAAGGTAGGACCTCTTGACAATCCCGTTGGCCGTTAACGTCTAGTCTCAACGATGATAGCTTAAAATGTGGCATAACACCTATTGTTATCCAGATTACTCACATATCTGATATCAGTATAAATCAAAGATCCTTTGAGTATGCTCTTGAGATATAGATCTGCATCCTATCAATGTTGGTCGTTCCTTTGATCTACTATTGACTCCTACAAAGTTTTAAACAGAAAAATTTATTTCCCCCAATCTAGCAGGGCTTGCAGTATCAAGTAACAAACGATTTAACAAACATTGATCGTCCAATTACGAGCCAAATTCTTGCTGATTCCCAGGGGAGCAATACCGATGGAGAAGAAACCAAATAGGCTTGAAAATGACGAGGAAGAAGGTCGAGTTACCATGGATAAGAACATAACGCTAATAAGAGGAACCTGTATTATCGTCAGCACCATCATCGGAACAGGTAAGTTTCGGAGGGGTGGGCTAATTGTCGCTTTACTGGGCCGCGCTCAGCCTGTCATTCCGCCGAATCTCTATGTTTGTGAACATGATAGCCTGAGGTCCCCACTCCCCAGGTAAATTGTCGCTATTTTAACCGGTGGCTTGTAAATTTGTGGATTAAAGTGCGGATAGCGATGTGAAGAAATAGTCAAATTTATGCTTAAAATGGAATGTGGTATTTTACTTTTATTTTATCACTATCCGTTTCAATCGTACTTCTTTTCAGGTATTTTCATCACACCGAATGTGATCTCAAAGAATGTGGAGTCTCCAGCTATGTCAATACTGGTCTGGTTTGGGGGAGGTTGTGTGGCAACAATCGGTCAGTTCATCAGAACTTAAATTAGATGACATTTTAACTAATTCTTGTTAATGGGCATTTAATTACTTATTTTACTTTTATTACTTACCAGTTAACTCACTGAAATGGGTGTTATTAGTGATATAAAGGAGATTATACATTTTCATGATTATTTCTCAGGAGGAATTACGTTTTGTGAGTTGGGTACAATGTTTCCCAGTAACGGAGCCGAAATAACCTACTTACGGAAAGCTTACGGCATGATGGTATCTTTTCTTTCCTGTTTTCTCTTACAACTCTGTATCGGGGGACTCAGTAAGTTTGCAGTATATTAATTAATTAAATAATTAATTATGCAGTATAGAATATAGATATTTCACTTAACACAAATGTTAGTTATACTTCAAGAGTACTCTATAACTCTCCTATTTAATCTCAGCACCAAGGATGTCTGTAGTTCTACTTCAAGAGTACTCTATAACTCTCCTATTTAATCACCAAGGATGTCTGTCAATTATTTTAGTAATAACCAATGTTTAGTGTCTCACTTAAAACCAACTTAATAACATATTACTTTAGATTTGTTTGGAGAGGCGAATCATACACAGTTTAGGCTCTTGAAATCTTCGATATAAAAATCATCTTGAGAGAACCTCCTCAAATTATTTGTTATGTTATAGTAGTGTTGAAAGTATTAAAACCAATAATAATAACATATTGAATCTTTTAAGGGCGAGCTATCCAGTTTCTATCGTTCTCGAAATACTTTTGGGCGATATTCTACGACGCTAAGCAAGGAGAAGCTCCTCCTTGGATACTGGACAAAGCTGTGTGTATTTTAGTATTAAGTAAGTGGTTAAGGTTGTTCTAGTTATACTGGAATTATATACTACAAATTCTTCTTTCTAAACTTTTCCGCAATTTCAAAATTGAGGAAAAATTGAGGAAAAAATGAGACAATCGTATGCAGATAAAATCATCAAACTAAAAGATTATTCTTATCATATTCATGTGGCACAACCATAATATGTTTGTATGTCACCAAACTTATCGGATTACGTATAAGGATGCCTGCATTTGCACACCTATAACGGCACTGTTGGAAGTGGAAGTACAAATGGTGGCGATAACAAACTGTGTAGCACTTAAAGCAGTTAACATTAGAATTGCAATTAGAATTGCAGTTCCTTCTATATGGTGATGATAGAGGATGAGTGTCTTATTTTTGTCCCATATTGGCGAACATTTTGTCCCATTTTATTCTCAAGAGGGTTGTCCTGATGATATTGACAAACTTTGATAATTTACAATTATCAATTTCAGCGGCGATAATTGCAATAATCATGATATATCCGAAAGTGACGTTAAAAATAATCAACGTGATGACGGCGGCAAAGCTTATATCTGTATCAGTTATAATTGCTCTCGGAATCTTCAAACTTAGTAAAGGTTTGTGATAACTAAACCGGTGATTTTTACATAATCTGCTTTGTTGTACGCTCTCCGATAATAATGGTTATTTTTTATTAATTGCATAGGTGAGTTTGAGAATATAAGTCAAGGTTTTAATGGAACCAACTGGAATCCTGAACAGTGGGGCAATGCTTGGAACTCTGTTTTATGGTCTTACAACGGCTGGTAAGTCATTAAGATGAATATAACTTACTTAAGTTATACTTATCATTCTGCTTTTTGATTCATCAGTATTGAGTAAGGGGTTCGAAATCATCTTTTGTATCCTGAAATTTATAGATTTAATAATCTGAGGGGTGGAGTTAATGTTCCTAATTTTTAGGAACGTGGTTTGTATTCTGCTCGGAGAAGTGAAGGATCCCTCGTGAGTGTTTTTATTTATCGACTGATTTAATTAACCATAAAGATATTGTTAATCATTACATCTTGAATGGATGTAACGAATTTATTTCGGCGATCTTAATGTCCATTATCATTGACAGTTTTATGATGTTCCTGATTATCTAATAATAAACACAATGTCTCCAGGATCTTACCAAAGATAGTTGGGTTGTCGGTAGCGATAGTAACATTCTTCTACATGCTCACTGTGATCAGCTATCACGCTGTCCTTGATATGAATACCATGAATACTGCTACAGTTGCTGTTGCCAGTGTGAGTTACATTGAATCTTTCATTCTGACCTTGTTTCTCAGTGATCTGTTCCAAAGCTCATCACTTTGGAGGAATATTGGATACGGTATATTGGCCATATTTCAAAGAGCAGAATTTTTCTAGTGTACTCTTAAGAGTACACTTAAGATCTTACTCACTTAAGAATTTATAGTTTACTGTTTTAAGTTTTGGAGGCCCAAGCATTACAGAATACTCCTTGCAGGAGGCTGCTAGAGTGTATCTTGGGGAAAGTGGAGTAATATTCTTTGCTGTTGCAGTAGCAGTCTCCGCACTCGGTAAGATCATTACTATCTCGTTTTTATTATCTTTTATTTCGGATTAGCAACCTATCCCGTTTCAATTCGGCATTTCGGGCACTGTTTGGTAGCTCGATTGATGCATAAGGGATGGTGACAAATAGTATAATCTTCACTACGCAACAGTACATGAGTTCAAACTGTATAAACTAACAATCAGAGATTTAGATTAACATTAATAACTGGTTGCAGGAAACACTATGTGTTCACTGTTGGGAACAAGTCGTTATCTACAAGCAGCAGGCGCTCAGGGTGTTCTCCCAGGGGTTTTCGGTCTCATCAGCAAGCGCTTCAGAACACCAGTATTTGCTCTCTTCTACATGGTAAAATATGGTAGCTTCAGTTTCAAAAGTTAAAAAATCTTTAAGAAGTTGTCACCTCTTCGTATTTGTTTTTCGGTATTATTGATTTATCATGATATACAGAATACAGTCAAATTCATCAGAATATCAATCAAAACGAAACAGATCAACTGCATGTTGTTGTTTGTAATTAGAATCTAAATTTCCAATGATAATATTTCAGTTTTTAGCGACGACACTGTTTGTGTTAGTGGGTGACTTGTCAAGCTTGATAAACTCAGCCACCTACACCAGCTTTGCATTCACCACTCTGTGCTCTATCGGGGTCATTGTGATGAGGTACACTAAACCAAACCATCCGAGACCTATTAAGGTTAGTGTTCACATATATCTTTCTTTAGTATCTTAAATACTTGGATTTTTTACAATATCTTTGTGAATAGACAGATTTTTGTTGGATAAGGTTAGAGATGTTGCTGGTCGCTTTTGTGTTCGAACTAAATATGAATGAGAACAATGAATACTTTCGTCAAGATCAGGGTTTCACTACAATTTCTCCGACAAATCTTTGTTTAATTCACAGGATTATCTAGCTGGTCATATTCCGGATTCATTAAAATAAAAACTGCACATCTTCATATCTTAGCTTATCTAAACTACCCCCAGGTGTGGCTGATATTCCCCATGATAACCGCCACCTTTGGTATCTACATGTTTATCATCCCCTGGTTCAGCGATACCCGGGCTATGAACGCCTTGTGGCTGGCTATAACCATAGTGGGCGGTATCCCCGTCTACTTCGCTTGTGTCAACAAGAAGTACAGGATCCAGGCTCTCGTCAATTTCTCAGGTTTGTGCTTGATGTGTTGATAATAATAATAATATTTAACCCTAACGGGTAACTGTGACTGCTCGTTCACTTCGCGGAAATTTCATAACTAAAAATGTAATTCACTCTTCATTTTAACTGCCCTAAACTGCAAAATCTACTCATCAGCATCCAACTAACCAAATATTATCATCAGAGAAAGTCACGGCGTTTGTTGGAAAGCATTTGAACTCCGAAGTTAACCTGCAATGAGAAGGATATTATAATTCAGTGGTGTGAATTGCACAGGATATTTAAGTTGAATGAGATCCAAACGTGATTGTTCAGATTTATGAGCTTGAGTAATGGTGTAAACTCATGGAGATAATGACTCTAAATGAGACTGAGATATGGTATTTTGAGATTAAGTTTTGAGGACTGTTTCGTAGTTCTTTTTAATATGTATACTGGACAGTTTAGTTGAACTGATGTGAATTTTAGAGTGTCTTTAGAGCCATCTCAGACACACAAAATGATGATCAAGGGCGACATGTTACCACTTTTAAAAGAAAATTGTACGCCGCAAATTGCTGTGGCAAAAGTATTTCCTAGTGGTAATCCTATTAGAAGCTATTTTACGCATACAGATTTTTAATTCCCCAAAATGGTTGACGAAACTGTTCACTTTTGACATTTTTTAGCGTTTCGATAAAGTTCAGTAGTAAAATTTTGCTTGTTATCCGAAACTGTATAATCTTATGGAGCCAAGCTTATCAACAAATTATGTTTCATTGTGAACTAAAAGACAAAACCTTCAGGACCTTTCAATCTTCTTCATCCTAGATTTAAATATTCAGCAATGTTTCATTAACATGATTAAGCTCATTTGACAGAACAATTTAAGTTCTCAAAGTGCAAGAATGTAAAATAAACTGTGCATGAACCTGTCCTAAGAAGTATGTGATTCTGACAATTTCTCACGAGTTTATATAGATGTTACGCGGAAATTCGTGACCAGCAAATTAAATAAGTTTGTCATGTGCAATATTTTCCAGTAAATCAACTGATAATAAATTCCAAAGTACCGTACAATATGCTCCAACGTCACTAAACATGTTAGAGATAAGAAAAGGAAAGTGGTGCAGTTTTGTCCATGTGTCTCTAACAGTTGTGGTTGGCTTGAAAGTATAAATAGATTCCGATGTTGTCAATATTATAGTCCACTTTATGAGTTTTGTCAGTAATTTGTGCGGACGTTTTGTATTATTTACCTCAAAGCATGGATTTGGAGCTGCTCCATGATGACCGTGATATCGAAGTGCTGAGTCTGCTCGGTAGTGGTAGTGGCAATGAAAGTAGCAAATTAGGAGAATTTGTACTGATAAACACTCCGAAGAAATCAACGAGCAAGGTAGTACCAGAGGGTTCTCAAAAGGAGAAGTCAACAATCCAGTCAGAGCAGGATAAGATCAAGGAAGATGAACCAGAGGAGTACGATCTAGTGATAGTTGGCTCGGGAGTATCAGGGCTCTATGCACTCTTCACAATCCTTACACAACGACCTGATTACAAAACCAAGAAGATCCGCATGATAGAGCAATCAGGAATCATCGGAGGAAGGCTCCGAACGGATATCATCAAGGACCCAAAATACAGCAGATCACCCGATACTAACAGCAGCACGGCTTTTGTAGCTTGCGAGGAAGGGGGGATGAGGTTCTGCATCCAACTAGACGAAGAAAAGGAAATGAAACCATCTAAAGAGCAGGTTATGCCGTGTCTCGTTGATCTTATTGTAAATTTACGGCCATTCGATGTTAAAATGTATAATATTGAGCGTTTCAAAATGGTCCCCGAGGGTAATGTGGACTTCAGGAAACAGATGTTTAGTGGACAAAATTTCTCTTCCTGGTATGCCCAACAAAATCCTGGGGTTTGGACGAATATATTCTCTCTGGATAAACGGGAACGTGATCGTTCTCCCGATCAAATTTTTGCGGAGGTGTACGAGAAAATACTTAAAGAGAACTATCCACAACTCATTAGTTTTCTCGGCGACAAAAAGGCAGCAATCGTGCTGAAGCAGCAGGATGATTCAAAGATCCGACTTATCCAGGACACGGATTATTGGTACAATTTCAGGAAATACTTCAGTTGGAACAACGTTCCAATATATCGGTACACTATGAGGTCCTTAATGACAGTTATGGGTTACTCTCAGGGATGCATTAGGATGCTAGAGATGCAAGGGTTCCAGAGCTTTACCTTAGGTAGAGGTAATGCAGGTACAATCATCCAGATGGATAGAACACACAAGGCCATGTCAGACTCCTTTTACTGCTTCACTTATGGATTCAGCGCTTTGATAGAGGCACTTGAAGCTGGTATTAACAACCTGCTTGGACAGGATGGCGCGGCTGGTGACAATTGGGTGTGGCTAAATCAGCAAGTTACAAATATTAAACTAGCTGGAGGGGCGGGTAAACTTATTGGGGACTTTGGCACGGAGCTGTCAATGAAAGATATCTCCAAAGACGACGGTAACATCAAAAAGATTAAAGCAAAGGAGCTCATTCTTGCAATCCCCAGGAAATCCATTGAGAGCATCGAAATTACAAAAATCCCCCACCACGGTTACACAAAGTTCCGGGAGTTGATAAACTCTGTGGTGGACATTAACATGACAAAGATAAACCTGTACTTTGATGAGTCTTGGTGGAACAAGGATCACGGAGACTGTAGGATGTACGGGAGTAGCACAACAGACCTGCCCATAGCACAGGTTAGTTTCACATACCTGCCAATAACACAGGTTAGTTTCACAGACCTGCCCATAGCACAGGTTAGTTTCACATACCTGCCCATAGCACAGGTTAGTTCCACAGACCTGTCCATAGCACAGGTTAGTTCCACAGACCTGCCCATAGCACAGGTTAGTTTCAGAGACCTGCCCAGGTTATAGAATTTACAGCTTAATATTAGTATTATTTTTACAGCTTAATTCAGCTCAAAGAACATGCTTCATAATCGTTTATCATAGTATAGGTTAGCTTGAAGTTTCATGACTGTATACATAAGGATTAGCTAATACTAATAGCAATCTATAATTCTGTTTAATAACAAATCAGTGAAACTAACCATTATTATAAACTCGTGGCAGGTGTACCCGTTCTACCCGAACATTAAAGATGAGGACGCAATAATCGACCCTCACCTCTGTGCCCTGACCATCTACTGTGACGTGGAGAACTCCGGTTTCTGGAGTGACTTACAGCACTTGCCAGGGGTCTTTACTTCTGATCTACAAGAGAAGTACCCGGAGTTGAAAGCTGCTTCCTTAGAGGTGGTTCAGGAGGCATTGAGGGAGCTCAGATTGCTGTTCAATGTCAAGAACATCCCTTATCCGGTTAGTGATGTAGAATCTATATTGTATCTACATTGTAGTTGTACTACTAAATATAGATACTTTTAATTATTTACGATATGCAAAGACACCAATCATTTCTATTCACATTCCTTGACTTTAGAAAATGAACTGATTTAGGCCAGGCATGATATTGGTGTAGATGACAAAGACTAGTCCATTGAAATTGAATAAGGGGCATCTGGAAATTATGGCAAGGATATCCATTATTATTCAGAATTCGCTGTCCGCGTCAATACCCACGGTACAATCCTTGATTAAATAGAGAACTAACACTGAAGGTACTGACCTCCTTAGGTTTTGACGACGTACACTAAATGGGCAGGGGACGCTGACAACACGAACCCAGTAGCGATACACCAGTGGAAGAGAGATGTTGACGACAGGTACGTTAAAATACGTTTAAAAACGCGTTTAAATAGAACTAGAAGAGGGTATCAGTACTGCCCCAAACCACAAGTAGTCCACGCCACATTAATACGGTATGAGATACACTCAGCAAGAAGAAGTTTGCTAAATAACTAGTATTAGTAATATGCCCTTTTCTTAGTTTAATTAACAGAAATTTCCTCAGAACTGTGAGACGCCAAATAGTGAAGCCATTCCCAGATAGCAACGTATTCGTGTGTAACGAAGCTTGGAGTGAGTTCCAAGGTTGGGTGGAGGGTAGTCTCATGTCCACTAAGGAGGCTGTGGAGGCACTGCTCAAAAACACGTCTTAGGAGTGTCAGTAGGAACATGCGGAGACATTGGAGACAAGAAATCAGCTGGCCTGAAGGCAGAAGAATATAGTGGTTATAGAAATGAGAGAGAAGCATCATACTCAAGTTTGGTTGGAGGAGAACAATTAGCCGAGATTTGCTGTGATATCCGATGCAGAATTATCAAGAAGTTCACGAACAATAAATATGTTGTTGGTTTCATTTTTGAGAGCTAGGTCAGGTCGCTATTTTGAAGTTTTCAGGGTATGTTTTATATTTTATAGTTTTGCACGAATAGAAGCAAAGAAACATTTGTTACAACGTTGAAGAATTCGTCATTTCTTAGGAAACTACATGGTTCATAGATGATATTTAACATAAAACAAAATAGTAATTGAAGGGGCTGCGAGAATAATAAATTACTTTTAAACGATTTAAAAGCAGCGTTAATTTAATTTAATTTCTTAACTGTACATATTAGTTCTGAACATTAAAGCTCGTAAGAAAATCATTTTCTTATCATGGCTTAGAACAACCATATAACTATAAAAAAATGTAATAAGCATGCAGTAAAGTAGCATATACAAATGAAAAATAGGTCGTTTTAAGGTATACAAGAAGATACTGAATCAGTAATGAGAATGTTTAAGCTCATAATATCGGTGACAGAATCAAATCCCATTTTATAATCAGCGTGTTGGAGACTGTAAAATCATGCGAGGCTCAAAATTTGAATCACCTCCATTGTTCAAACAAAAGAATATCTTTAAAGTCCTTTTATTAGATCACGGGTAAAAAACGATCTTATGGAAATCAGATCTAACTTTAGAATTTTCAGCCCAAATCACGGTAAAATCCCTAAGAGCGCGAGATACTTTTTTCCAGTACCAATTAGTTCACTTCATCCAAAACTAATTCCGAATTTTTAGAAGATTTAAGTACGGGATCAGAAGTCCTGTTTATATGGGTTTTTATCTTTACGATATCAACTATAGTGCCCATTCCTTTAGTTCGACCATTCCTGAAAAAGAGTCTGGAACCAACAGCTATGAGATCAGGGTACTGTACAAATTTCAATCTTACCTGAGGAGACATTTGTGGTGTTATTAAGGGTGATATTATTGAGTGGGCAAGTTTTTATAGAAATCGAAGCTCTTAATTTTGGCTTGATCCGGGGCCGAGTGAGATTGGTTGAATAAGGTTGTATAGACAATCACGAAACCGGCAATAAACCTGGTTAAACCCTAAACTGACCTTGGCTTTCTGACCGGTTGTTATTTCACGCTCCATCTTTATTATCTCAACTGTCTGTCTTATGCTGTCGATAAAAACTGTCGCTTCAAATCCCACCTGAAGTCAAAATAAGCACTGTAATGAAAAATTGTCTTTAAAAAAATTATATTAGGTAATATTCCAATTTCTTGAGTTCTGATAGGAACTTAACGAATCATAGCATTATAAAAACAACAGATATGGTTTCTAATTGTTTACTAAACAATTAGCAAAACAATGTTTAGATATTAGCTGAAACGTTAAGGTTGAGTTTCTGTAACTCGACTGATAAAATTGAACAATTTCTATGTATTATACTATAGAGTAAACTAATTTCGATAATCGATAAAGACGAACTTTAAGTTTAGATGACGAAGAATGCTGTAAGATGTATATTTCTGCAGTGAATTCCTCGACACAATAGCTCTCGTAACTTGGACTTTGTAGTATCATCCCTTTTCTTGGTGTTCTCTCTGTAGCAAAGTTCATTATTATAAAAAATAAAAATCAATAAACCCCACCGCATCTCTTAGAAACTTTAAAATATTTCTATATTTAGATCAACTTGCAACTCCAATTTGGAGTTACTCCAAAACAAGCCGAATCAGACGATTTGTGATCCTGCACATATCATATAAGATAATATGGCATAATTGCCTTTTGTGATTTCCTATCAACTGCATACTCATACGGCTCCTTAGTCGTTACTAGGTACAAGGTGCCTTACCTCGCAAATTTATAGGATCGGATAACGGTTAATGTAGAATGATTTTACTGTTCTTATGAAAAGTCTAGTCTAAATACCGCTCAAACAATTTAATCCAATCACCCTCCGATAGTTACCCCGACCTCGTACAAGTTTCAGATATCAGCATATTTTTGGATAATACGTGCCTGTCTCCGTATACACCTACCGTGATCTGGATGCTTATTAAAGGCTGAACAGGGACTAGGGTCACAGGCCCTGGATGTTCACCGCCAGTTATTCAATTATTACTGGAGCGTTAAATTTGGCCTTGTTACATAGAATGGTCATAGACTAGGGTCATATCTTCTCGTCGTCAGATGTCAGTTAAATTTGGCTTTGTTCCAATACCAATCTAACCTGTTCAGCCATGCACAACTATACCCTGAATTACTTATTCCCCCGTAATTCCTGAACGTAACTCTTAGTTTTTAGGGGATGACAACTGACAAGCAGGAACTTATCGATACACATAAGTATCAGTTGACAGTTCCGAACGTTCATTATATATGGAACTCTATCACTAAACACCATCGTATCACTGGAGTATCGCCAAAAGAGAAACTTTTCCCTCTCTTTCCAAGGATATTTCACGCACTGATTATGATTGTTTCCATAGAATTTCTATGATAGAAATAGATGAGAGCCACATCGTTTCACTGGAGTATTGCCAACAAAACATATCGTTTTTCTCCTTGTACCAAGTTTTAAGTTTACTTCACGTACCGATCATGACTGTTTCCACTTCATTTAACATATTGAATACTAATCATGACTGTTTCCACTTCATTTAACATAATATCAAATATTAATGACGAACTAATTGCAAATATTAATGACGAACTAAATTGCCGAACTAACCGAGTTTATGGAACCCCAGACTGACGCTCTGACCACACTTAGCAAGACGTCTGGGTAGTCTGTTACACTGGATACTGGCCACCTTTACCTCTTCGTAGGACTTGTCATCAAAGGGTCCCAGCAACATTGTGTCCTCCTCACGTATCGTCCCTCTGAGCGAAAGAGAGTTATTATCACTATCAGTTATACATTATAATTTATAATTGAGAAAAGAGTTAAATAAGCCCAGGGTCCACGCTTCGTACCTTTACTTAAAATCTGCCAAGTCTGAACTACTCAGGGGTTGGTTTATTTGCTGGGTGTGATCAGCGCGTTTTGTCAAATTTAATTATTTTCGATGGTTACTTTCTATTTCAACTTATTATCAGGGGACACGAGCAAGGTGAATCGGAGAGCACGCAATCTGAATCTGCAGAACGAATTTATAAAAATAAATGAATATAAATTTATTTATAAAAATAAATGAATAACTTCAACGGGGGCGAATCTTTGACGGATGATACTCGTCTAAATTTCTTCGAAGTAGCGCGAGCCGCTTTCTTCTCGAAATATTAGCCCGAGGCAATTGCTATGACATATGAATTATGAAGTAGTGCGCGCCGGGTTATTCCATTAACAATAACAATTGACAAGCGAATCTTGTCTCACGTTGCGACCCAACTATTTTCCAGGAGGGGGCACGTGCAAGGTAAATCAGAGGGGGGGGGGGGGGGGGGGGTGGGTCATATTTTATTCCAAAACGCAGAAGCTTTAGTACTTTTGTACTAAGTGGTGGGTCTGCTGCTCATTTCCCAGAAAAACAGTTAGTCATTTCCTAGAAAAACAGTTAGTACAAGGTACTAAAAAACCCATTTTACCTCATATTTCAATTTTGGGAATGGGTTTTGACAACAAAACCCCTACTAAATAATGGGTATAATTTGCCCATTTCCCAATGTTTAATGAGCTGTTTAAAATTAAAGCAACGTATGGGTGGGTATCTTATGTTATATACCAAGACACAGTTAGTACCGTGATTTCTCAACAGTAAGTACCGCAAAAGGGGTGGGTGTCCTAAATATTATCCGAAAAAAAAAAACAGTTTGTACCGGGAAGGGGGTGGGTGGGTCTTTTTTGTAAATTCCAAAGTCTTAGTCGACGTCACGTACGGCACTTGGTACCTGATCCCCCCCCCCCCCCCCCCCCCCGGCTGAACGACTAAAGAAATTTGGATATTATGCAGATGAAATAATAAATTTAGATCTCTCGAATATTGAAAAATGAATTTAGTGAACAAATATCTCTGAGACCGTGTTAAGGGCTGCACTCTTTCTAGCTTCTACCGTGTATTCTTGCAAGCTGTTAGCTATGTCCATAACTCACATTAGCCCTTTTACCGGCTTTTCGTGAAGTTTATGATGATTTTGTCTAAGGTTCAGCTAGACGGCACGAACTGCGGACAGACCGCAGTACGAGATGAAGGCCTTGGTCTTTGGTCTTAACTAAACGGCATATCGTAATCGATTACGTGACGCGTTACGTGCCGTCTAGCTAGGTCGCGATTGGATTTCCACCGTTCTGTGTTCATTTGCAAATGCTGATTTCGATTTTAATGGTAAGTATTTAAAGTTAAGATGCACAAGTTTGTACTTCAAATCTTTATATTATCTTCACGAATACTTTAAAACCAAAACTAACTCGAATCCGAAAGCATAAACAGCTTAAATATCGTTTTAGCTTACTTTCACAATCCCGCAGCTTACTCATAAAACAGAAACGTATAAGCATGTACACAGAACGGTCGTAATCTAATCGCGACCGTCTAGATGGGGTTGCTAATTGCGTGTCGATAATTCGGCTAATTTCGTGTTGCTAATTGCGTGCATCCATTTCCAAGGGCTGGTTGTTACCATTTTGTGATAATGGATGTAGGAAAACCATTTGTTTATGTTATATTTAACAGTCACATTGCTATGATCAGTTTACTGGTCAACTGGTGTTTCGGTGTCCCTTATTTTGTTTACACTCGGTCACTTGTCAAGGCATGTAAGGTCATTCGGCGATATTTTCTTTGAAATAAAATGATGTATTTGTGTAACAATTTGAAAGTTTATTGATAAAAAAAAAGTTGCGCCTTTTTTACCTATCATGATTTTTTGAACGATTTCCGGTGTGATAATTTTAAATCGCACTTTTATTTCTGATATTTTCTGATAGAGCTAGGCTCTTGTAATCGTTTTATATATTATCACAATTGTACATTTTAACTTAGGATAAAATCGAGGGAATCACTGCAACTTAGCCATCGACTAGAGATTTTTTAATAATTCGATTAAGTTTATCGATTAAAATTGGTACCTGAAATCAGTAAAAATAACAATACCAAACCCAGGAGCCAACCTAAAGTACTGACACTACAATCTAGACAATATGTTTTATGTCCTTTTAATTACCGTGTTGTAAGACCAGTGATGATGGTACCCTGACCAGTCACTGTTAGAACCCCGTCCACGGAGAACCTAGGGGCAGCTGAAATACAAAACATTAAGATGAAATATGATTATGTACCCAGGATTAGGATAACAGTCGAGAAAGAGTTTGTAGAATCAAGGATAAAAAGGTGTTTCCAATAAATCACATAACATGTTAGTGTTACTATTAGGAGTATGTAGGTGAGTCACTTTGAGTCACCTTGTAAACCGTGTAAACCTTGTAAAACTTGTAAAACTGTAAACCTGTAAACCTTGTAAACCTGTAAACCTGTAAACCTGAAAACCTTGTAAACCTTGTAAACCTGTCAACCTTATAAGAACGACCAAGAATAAGCTAAAATGTAGAAAAACTAATTCGACTAAATTAAATGTGTTAAACCTTGCAAAGCCAGAGAGCGAGCTTCTTTAGACAGAGCAGGTTGTAGCCGTGATAAGAAGTGGTGTAGAAGTGAGAGGTTGTCCCCTGTTACCGCTGAAACCATGAAAACAGGTGTCCTGAAGCATATTGGAAATTAATATATCATTAATTTATCGATTTTCTTCTTCTTATTTATAATATTTTTGCCTTACTCTACATTTCCTGACACGTCATCCCGGTAACACCAAGCAACACAAAGATAACAACTAGTACAGCTCAATAAAATTACCGTTCTCGTATCTGGAGAGCAGCATCCTCTGCCTCAGAGAGAGTTGTCACTACGTAAGCTGGTCTCCTCACAGCGGGGCCTCTTAAGATGCTCTCTATCTGATGTCTGCACCTGGGACAGTCTGCTATTAGAGGGGCGGCAATAACAGAGTTTTGAAAAGACGTTGGTTTTTATTCCATAAAGATTATTGTCCGGAATTGACCTCAAAGATTATTTTTCCTTCTCCTAATTTGAGCTAAACTTTTTTCTAACAACTTCACAACTGGGTCACATACCACCCCTTTATTTCGAGCGTTCATCTTCTACTGATTTAGAAAATACCGATTTATTTATCCTCCCTTACCTTCTAACAGTAGCAGGAGCAGTACCGTCTATCTTAGTGATACACACAAAGGATAGGACCCTCAGGGCAACAGTCAGACCAAGGTGCTCCCGAAATGTACCAACTGAGGGGGGACAATGTTATCATGATATTACAATCTTATCTATAATAGAATTCGAAAGATTTTTTCTGTCTGTCTATCTGTATGTATGTATTATGTATGTATTGGTTTTTAGCCACAGGTAGGTTGGTCTGCACCGAGCCCAACAGTTTCAATTCCTTGTTTAACTAGCCGTACAGCAAGGATAGCACAGTGTGCTCACCAGGTTAGGCACATAACCAACACTACCCTGTATATGTACTATAGGGTTAGGGTCAGGTTCAAGGTCAGGGTCAGGGTCATGGTCAGGGTCAGGGTCAGGGTCAGGGTCAGGGTCAGCGTCAGGGTCAGGGTCAGGGTCAGGGTCAGGGTCAGGGTCAGGGTCAGGGTCAGGGGTCTATTGTCGGGGGGTCTATTGTCGCCCACCCCCAAACAGTTGTACACGAAAATTTGTACAAGAACAGTTGTACACGAACAGTTGTTCACGAACATTTGTTCACGAACAGTTTTATGAACAACTGTTTCATAAACAAATGTTTCATGAACAACTGTTTCATGAACAACTGTTTCATGACCCTGACCCTGACCCTGACCCTGACCCTGACCCTGACCCTGACCCTGACCCTGACCCTGACCCTGACCCTGACCCTGACCCTGACCCTGACCCTGACCCTGACCCTGACCCTGACCCTGACCCGATCAATTGACCCCAGTGTAATTACATGGGGGTCAATTGTCGGGGGGTCAATTGTCGTACTATGTCCTAGATTTCGCGACAATTGACCCAGTGTAATAACATAGGGGGTCAATTGTCAGGGGGTCAATTGTCGCGGTACTCTGTTCGGGAACAACTGTCGGGCTACATGGATACTGCCGGACACTTGTGACATGTTACGTTATACATAGTCATATCAGACATAAAAAGCTTGTTTAATCTACTGTCACTGACGTTCTGTAGTTTTGATATTGTTATCATGGCTTATTCAGAGAATATCATCTTCTAAAAAGAGATACAAATTAGCATGTTATAATTTGAGATACTGGTTATGGAAAGTTATTTTTATGTTGTATGCCGGGTGTGCCCTGACCACGATACCAGTCAATGACAAAGAAGATTAGATTTTAAGAAATCCTGAATATTTTTATATTTTCTAGACTAGAGACGTAAGTAATTCCTAAGAAATAAGAATCCATCCAATACATGGTGTCTTACTGTATATCAAAACAAATTTCACTGGCAAATTTCCAAAATCCAATAAGATCTGCACTTTTATTTATTTAATTATCACAGTTTTTAGTTTTCCAACAAACAGGATGCAACAGAAATTCAATAGGATTTGCTGGCACGATTTTATGTTTCCTTAAACATGCAATGTGATAACGTGTTTCTAAAATCTGACATTACCCTCACGTATTAATATAGATTCTAATTTGTAAATCTTGTAAATCTTTTTTCTGGGAATCTAAGTGCTAAAAAGTCCACCGAGGTGTGAGGTAAACCGTCAATTCTAAGATTTAATAAATGTTAAACATCATAAAATCGATAAGATACAGTTATCACTTAACATATGCCCTAATTAATATACAGTAATGAACATGCCCTAATTAATAAGCAGTTATCACCCACCTAGTCCTTGTTTAGAATTGACGACCAAGGCCGCATAATCAGGACAGTGTCCCTGTCAACCCGAACACCGTGGTCTTCAGGTACTTCTGGGAACCCGCCAGATCAATGAAGGTGATTATCTTAGAAGAACAATCCAGAATACTCTCAATACTGTGGTTCTCGTAGTTGAACATCTGAAGATGATGATATTTGTTATAATATGTTATGTTAATAATATTATGTTAGTAATATTACTTAAAAAATAAGAAATACATGACGCGACATACTCGTTAGTCGTTATATTTGATAAAATTAAGTTTGCCTAAGTAACCGTTCTGTGTAGAGGTAGGTCACGTTTCCGAGCTCGAATTTTCTAGAAGTATGACAGAAAATGCTAAATTAGATAGGAATATTCTAGAAGGGTGAACAGTCTGCCTCCGTTTTCAAGGCCACATGAGCACCATGTTCGGGCATAGTATTAACTCAGTGAACATTTTAGCAGTTCATTTAATCCACTGAAGCCTGACTAGGACATTTCAACCTGTAATTCTAGTTTCTGTTTTCAAGAAAATCGCTAGCTCTCTCTCTCTCTGTTAAGATCAACGGACTCTGGCCTCCTGCGGGAAGCCTTAAAAAAATTGCTAGAATATTCATGGACCCAAAATTCGAGGCCTTTCTTTTTCCATAATCTAGATTAAACCCAACATAGCATTCCTGTAGGAACATACACTTCAAATCATAGCATTCCTGTAGGAACATACACTTCAACTCATACAGTAGCTTTGCGCAGAGTCCTGAGTCACCACTACCAGTGCAGCACATGTGGAGACAAGTCGAAATCAATTATGCAGTTAACAGTATAATGACGTTCTCGACTAGTTAAAGCTTCTCCCTCTCTCTCTGTCTCCCCCGCTATATGTATATTGTATTACATTTCAAGTTAATCCTGCCATGTGCGTTATGCAGCTGACATTGTTTGTGACTTTAAATCTTTAATAGCTGCATCGCTGTTTGATTGAATTCGTTGTACGTGCCAAGTATTTGAGCTAGCATGCTGCTCAAGACAAGTCCGCAGGTCGCCACTTTAACTTGCAGCTTGTACATTGCTCTCTCGGATTGTCAGATACCTCTCATCGCTCGTTTGCTGATTGCTTACTAACAAAGTACTCGTGCTGCTCATTTCTATCATGTATCACTGACAGTTGTTGAGCGCAAAATCACTTTATATCAAAAGTCTGCAAAAATAGACTGAAACAACATAAATTTTCAGTTGTTCTTGCAAAACACCACTAAAGCACTAAATACACGACCCAGAGCTGTGAACTTACCCGGCCCTGCTTATCAAAGCCCAGTATCTCCCTACTGATACTGCTGGTGTGTCCGCTCTGAATCTCGTGGAGATGTCTGAACAAGTTGAGACGAGCTTTACCGGCTCCGTTATCCAGCTCGCCGTGTGTCAGCACCCCACATAGAGTACTCTTACCCGCGTCAACGTTACCCAACATCGCTACTCTGAGATCCGTCCACTGAAGGGAGAGATATGATGGTTTTATTTTTAGTAACAGAATTCTGGAAATTGTCCAAATTAGTTTTGCGGACGCAAATTAGTTTTAGCTTTTAGGTTAGGGAGTAAGGCTTGGAGACAAGATCCGTTTTTATAAATTAGAGTTATTTTTGGGATGCAAAAGAACTTGTACAAAAAAATGACCTGTCCCACAAGTCACAAGTCACAACAACTGTCTCTAAGAATATAAAGATAAGCGGTTGATTCGGTTCGATCGACTGAAGTCTGGAACAGATACCGTAACTATGAATATTGTCCTTAAGTCTCAAGGATCTCAAGAATACCAATTTATAAGTCAATAAGTGTTCGAGCACAATAATTTGTCTTAGTACTAATCGAGAGTCGAAATATGGTACGTGTACGGGATAAATTCCGATTAAATGTCCATCCCATCTCCTCATTTCCATCCCATCTCCTCATTCCTGCATTTCCTGCATTCTTTGACTTTGTTTTTCTAGTCCTCGTCGCATTATATAATCAAATCACCTCTGAATTTTGATTATTTTCTAACCCTGTTCCTGGTATAAACACCCAAGGCCATAACTTAAATATTACAGGTTTTCGTTAGTTCGTATGGGGTTCGTATTCTCAACGATCCATTCAAGTAGATTTTCGAAATATGCAGCAGTTACCATAAAATTGTAGCTATTCCATTTTGCAATGCAACATTTACCTTAAGATTTTAATAAACTATTTTTAATTTTGTAATTAAAGGAAAATCCCGATTTAACGCGGAGTTTGGGGGAATGAAAACATCCGCCGTAAATCGGGGTTTGCGGTAAATCGGGGTTTTGTTAGTTTACATTATGTATGTTAAGCCCTATTTAAGATGGCCGCGGTAAATCGCGGTAAATCAGGGTTTTACTGTACATCAGTAATAAAATATATAATATAATGTAATCATAGTTCAGTAGATGTGCAGCAAAGTTAAGTCAACGGAATTATTGTGACATAAACATCTTTAAACCATGCACTATTTGATTAACTTTATTACATGAAATAATAATTAGGTGATCGAATGATGTTATTAAATTGCGTATGAAATTAAAAAGTTATTTACTAACATACGCACAAGAAGTCCACGTACAACTTATATTATTATTATACTGGACATATTGAACAACGCGACGGTTACATTTACCACTGAACATTTACATTTAAATAATTAAATATTTTGTGTCATTAACCGTAACGGTTACAGGGCAGCATTTGGTTTTGTGGTTATCGTTACATAATTCGTTGTCATAGAAGCAAATTTGGCGATGACGACTTTCATCAAGAATCACGTTCGCTGACGTACAGCCCTGCCAGAGATATGATGGTTTTATTTTTAGTAACAGAATTCTGGAAATTGTCCAAATTAGTTTTGCGGACGCAAATTAGTTTTAGCTTTTAGGTTAGGGAGTAAGGCTTGGAGACAAGATCCGTTTTTATAAATTAGAGTTATTTTTGGGATGCAAAAGAACTTGTACAAAAAAATGACTGTCCCACAAGTCACAAGTCACAACAACTGTCTCTAAGAATATAAAGATAAGCGGTTGATTCGGTTCGATCGACTGAAGTCTGGAACAGATACCGTAACTATGAATATTGTCCTTAAGTCTCAAGGATCTCAAGAATACCAATTTATAAGTCAATAAGTGTTCGAGCACAATAATTTGTCTTAGTACTAATCGAGAGTCGAAATATGGTACGTGTACGGGATAAATTCCGATTAAATGTCCATCCCATTGCATCTCCTCATTTCCATCCCATCTCCTCATTTCCTGCATTTCCTGCATTCTTTGACTTTGTTTTTCTAGTCCTCGTCGCATTATATAATCAAATCACCTCTGAATTTTGATTATTTTCTAACCCTGTTCCTGGTATAAACACCCAAGGCCATAACTTAAATATTACAGGTTTTCGTTAGTTCGTATGGGGTTCGTATTCTCAACGATCCATTCAAGTAGATTTTCGAAATATGCAGCAGTTACCATAAAATTGTAGCTATTCCATTTTGCAATGCAACATTTACCTTAAGATTTTAATAAACTATTTTTAATTTTGTAATTAAAGGAAAATCCCGATTTAACGCGGAGTTTGGGGGAATGAAAACATCCGCCGTAAATCGGGGTTTGCGGTAAATCGGGGTTTTGTTAGTTTACATTATGTATGTTAAGCCCTATTTAAGATGGCCGCGGTAAATCGCGGTAAATCAGGGTTTTACTGTACATCAGTAATAAAATATATAATATAATGTAATCATAGTTCAGTAGATGTGCAGCAAAGTTAAGTCAACGGAATTATTGTGACATAAACATCTTTAAACCATGCACTATTTGATTAACTTTATTACATGAAATAATAATTAGGTGATCGAATGATGTTATTAAATTGCGTATGAAATTAAAAAGTTATTTACTAACATACGCACAAGAAGTCCACGTACAACTTATATTATTATTATACTGGACATATTGAACAACGCGACGGTTACATTTACCACTGAACATTTACATTTAAATAATTAAATATTTTACAGCCCTGCCACTGGGGTTTAATTTTTATGACCTGCTACAGTTTTATATTCTACCAAAGTTAATGTTCCTATTTATTTAAACATATTATATGATACTCCGTTATCTCTACAAACAGGAGTTTGTTACTTTTTTAGAACTTTAAACTCACTCAATTAGTAATTAGTGTTCCAGCTGAACCTTGGAACGTACATTCCTGGACCATGCGGACCTTAACCGATTGTTGAAATTCGACATCTAGCGTCATCTAGCGTTAGAAAGCGCTAGATAGCGCTAGATGCCGCTATCGCGATCCTATAAAAGCTACCTTTTCAGGTCCGACCCTGCTACATCTTACTATATATAAAGCGATACGATATGTATGTGTTTATCCGTACCACTTTACACGTACTTCACTGATTACTGTTTAGGAGATTGGATCAGGAATATGAAGTCGTGTATGAGACCACTTCCCTTGCAACTACTACTACCGCTTCCTGATTCTCTGTCATTCACTAATAGTCAGGGACAAAAGGATTTCGCGGTTATTTTGGCCAAAAATCGCGGCACCGCGACAAGCCAAACTAGGCTAATTCGCGGCTAATTCGCGGCGGGAATTTCGAAAATCGCGGCGAATTCGCTGCAAAATATCGAAAAATCGCGGCGAATTCGCGGCAAAAAATAATGTATTTACAGTGCTTAGTTAGAGTTCACATATTCTTTGACTATTCTATTTGATCGGCACATGTCCCATGAGGATGTGATCTCATCATATGATCTGATACAGGCTGATGGGGGTCCATAACAACAAGAGCTGCCATAACTTTTGACATGATCTCAAATGTTGCAATGTCATACGTACTGTATGACATATCTCGTTATCGATACTATATAACTTTCAACAGACGACAGGAGACATCATCATTCGACCATCTACACTTCACAACTATAGCAATGGAATACTACGAACTTTTCAATCCAATTCCCATATCCCTACCTAGTCTATCCCCATCTAGTATCCAACCTCTACCCGGCCCCTTGAAGCTTACATCAACCTGGACGACATCCTTACCCCGGCCCCCTGCACGAACCTTCTAGAAGTTCTAACCACATCCCGAGGGAAGCCCATGATTGTTCCTTATGTGGTCTACGACGAGATTACATGCTCTACAAAATAGCTTCCCATTGTCAGCATAAAACGATGATTTGCCAAATTCAGCCACTCTCGTGGAAGCTGTAACATTGCCCTGTTTAGCCTGTTTCGAGCTTTTGCTAGACGAAGGTCCAGCCGGTTTGTCGGCAGGCCGTTTGACAAAGCGGTCCATTATAACAAGCGAATACAATACCAAGCGAATAACGATGACGTTATCGATGACGAAATATCTGACAAGTGACGATTAAATAACAACACTGATTTAACATACTGTTCGATTTCTTAATCCATTGTATGTCTCCTGGTCAACTTTATGTCGTTTGGTCAAGTTTTTTATGTCTACTGGTCAACTTTATGTCGTCTGGTCAACTTTATGTCGTTTGGTCAAGTTTCATATGTCGTTTGGTCAACTTTATGTCGTCTGGTCAAGTTTTATATGTCTACTGGTCAACTTTATGTCGTCTGGTCAAGTTTTATATGTCTACTGGTCAACTTTATGTCGTCTGGTCAAGTTTTATATGTCTACTGGTCAACTTCCATATACGATCTCGAAAGGCAGACCTCCCCTTCGCAATACGAGCTCGGAAGCGGGAGCTCCGCCTTCAGAGGTACGTATCGAGAATGACTCGGACAGAAAATTGTCTAAGTCAACATTTTTCAAAGTTTTTCTGGAAACTACTTTTGTTCATGTTTCATGCTACCCTGATCATCATGAGCCGAAAATATTTTTTCGGTTTTCAAAGTTCACACATACCCTTCGATACACGATTTTGGACTCGAGGGCTCCCCTTGTAATGCGATCTCGGAAGGCAGGCCTCCCCTTCGCAATACGTGCTCGGAAGCGGGAGCTCCGCCTTCAGAGGTACGTATCAAGAATGACTCGGACAGACAATTTTCTAAGTCAAAATTTTTCAAAGTTTTTCTGGAAACTAATTTTGTTCATGTTTCATGCTACCCTGATCATTATTCATTATGAGCCGAAAATATTTTTTTCGGTGTTGAAAGTTCACACATACCCTTCGATACACGATTTTGGACTCGAGGGCTCCCTTGTAATGCGATCTCGGAAGGCAGGCCTCCCCTTCGCAATATGAGCTCGGAAGCGGGAGCTCCGCCTTCAGAGGTACGTATCGAGAATGACTCGGACCGAAAATCTTCTAAGTCAAAATTTTTCAAAGTTTTTCTGGAAACTACTTTTGTTCATGTTTCATGCTATCCTGATCATTATGAGCCGAAAATATTTTTTTCGGTTTTCAAAGTTCACACATACACTTCGATACACGATTTTGGACTCGAGGGCTCCCCTTGTAATGCGATCTCGGAAGGCAGGCCTTCCCTTCGCAATACGAGCTCGGAAGCTCCGGAAGCTCGGCCTTCAGAGGTAGGTATCGAGAATGTACCTACAATCGGAACTCACGGAAGGCTGTAAATGTGATTAGTTTCTTAATACTTGTAGAAAAAGTGACATTTGGCCCGCAGATTTTATGGAAAATACGCAAACTTGGTCCTCAGATTTAAAGGAAAATGTGCAAATTTAGTCCTCAGATTTAAAGGAAAATGCATGATTTTTCGCGGAGGACTGAAAAAATCGCGATTTGTCGCGGAGAATGGGAAATTTCGCGATCTGTCGCGGAAAACGTAAAAAATCGCGATTTGTCGCGGAGAATGGGAAATTTCGCGGTTTCGTACATGCCGCGAAATCCTTTTGTCCCTGCTAATAGTCATCACAGTATGGTCTCATTCCAGCAGGAAATTCCGACTAACTAGATAAGAGCACTCGTACGGTTTGTCGTATAAAGTAAAACGTTTTGTAGACTTTATTTATTGCCACAACTTTATATCAGAGTACTATGTATTTGTTTGACTGGTGTATGATTAACAAATTGTTTGTAATGTTATATTTCGTCACATTAATGGGGTCCAATTATGATAGTTTGTAAATAAAAATTACTATTAACAAAGCGCTACATATCTATAATATGTATGTAGCGCTTTGTTAAACATCTAGGGTAAGGCACGTAATTTTGTCAGGGTACCTAATTTTGTCATTTTGCTCTGAAAAACTGCCTCGGCTCGGAATTTCAGCTTGAAAGAAAAGGTTTGTGTATAAAAAGAAAGCTTAGACTTTGCTGAAACTGCTCCTACAAAGTTTAAGTTTCTAGCTCTTTTGCATCTGTGTCAAAAATGAAGGCGAAACTGTTAACCCGAAAAATAAATAAGATCCTTAAGGTTTTCTTAAGGAATTTTCAAAATTTTGATTTATTGCTATTTCAAAAGTAATTGAGCTAGCTTCATGCCATTGCATATTTCAAATATCTTCTACAGCAGAAGTATACGTACAAATTTTCAAGTCTCTAGCGCAATTATTGTTCAAGTTACAGAGGGTGACAAAATTAGGTTCGATTTTGCCAAAAGTACCTAATTTTGTCAAAAAAATCGACCTTTCTCAAATTTCTTGTAAATCACAGATTGTGTTGAAAATGGCCTTATTCAACTATTCTGAAGTTTTTTTGCCCATAGGATATGTATAAGGCACTTATAATAGCATAACACTTATAATAGCATATTTTCGCCGAGGTGGATAATCTGATTTTTTCAATCTAAAATAACTAAAAAAATATTTGATGAAATTACTAAGCAAGTGATCTATCTACAGACATGAAAATTTCAACCTAGACCTAGAACCAATCGTTTTTCAAGATACCAGTGGTTTCAGGGGCATTTGGGGGCTATTTTCTAAGATTAGATACCCAAAAAGTGTCATCTTTTCATCAAGCTACAAAACTATGAAAACATCATATCTTTGGGATTTTTGAGTTCAATGTTGGTAAAAAAGCGCTCGAATGATGCATCCAGGTAGTCTAAAATACCGAGAAACGGTTACTTTTTGCACAATCTTCAAGTGACAAAATTAGGTTCGGGGTGACAAAATTAAGTAAAGTCACCTAATTTTGTCATTTTTTCAAAATAATTTTTTTGAACATCTTCAACCCCAGCAATTTCGATCATTTTTGTGTTAGAACTTGCCTAGACTGTCTACTATAACATGGTGGAGGTTTCATCTAAATCGGAATTTCAGACGAGGTTAAAACCCATGGTTTATATCAGGCAGTCGGAAAATTGCCAAAAAATGACAAAATTATGTGCTTTACCCTATTTTATTTACAATAATTTATCATAGATATAAACCATGTACAAACTTGATAGAATTAAAAGATTCCTTATTTAGGCGAAACTTCATTCCGTGTTGACAGTTCATAACCCTGTTTATGACTGGGGCCTGGGCCTTATCTTAAGTTAGTGTTCAGCACAACAGTTATAATCTTCTAATATTTCTAAATCTTCTGTGACATGTTTGTACTAATCTTATAATATACTCTATCATATCTCATAAATTCAGAATTTTCAAGTAATTTGATTTCCGAAGATAACGCGCTGTAAGTTGGAAAGTTGTATATGGCTTTTATATGGCATTTAAACTGAATCATGACCTGACGGATACTCTTTATTTATTCGTATAAATCGTTCGTGTTCAGCGTTCACGTTTAACTTGATTTTCATTCAAGTAGTGCTTTATTATGCTTATTATGCAATCGACAAATACGCTGATTATGAACAGCTGGTCAATCAATCAATGCAGTTATGCCTCCTATTCCTTATGCATGTTACCTTTTGGGGGAGATATTTCTTTTGTTTTATCGGAATAGTTTTATTTACGTTAACCACTCTTTCACAGTTTATTATTAAGCTTTCAAGCAGTTACAGACTATTTTGTTTTCTATATTCAATCAGACATTTACCTAAGTTTAGTTATACATTACTTTATCATATTTTATTAATCTAAGGTGCAGTATTGCCAGATCGTTCAATTAGTAACGGAGTTTTATATTAACAGGAAACGATGTAACCGAGTCAATATATTTTAACGTTGCCATGGGGTGGTAAGTACCCATAGGTCGTAGTCCGATAGTTTCATTGTGTCATAATATATCAGAGCGCAGAGCGAGTAACGTGTTACCGAAAGTGTGGATGTATTGTTTTCACTCGTTGTTGGAAACAAAACTGTTAAAATATATGCGGATATTTTGGATATTCAAGGGTTAGTAAATATCTACACAAACGGGGCTTTAGTGTCTTAGAGTGACCGTTCACTTGATGTTTGTAGACTTCTCTCAGGCTTATTAGTCGTATTAATATATTTCTTTAAAATCAATTGCACAGTTGATTAATTTCTTCAAAGTTAGAATTGTACAGTCCTAAGCACGAATATAAAGTAATTTAAATAGTTTTCCGAAGAATTCATCTTGGGATGCTTGTTTCATTGTGTTTCCCTAAAAATTGGAAAGTGATGTTCACTCGCTTAGTTAATCATGTCCTTCTTTAGTAATTGATGGAAAAAACAAAGACCGCAAAGAAGATATACTTACCCAACGAAATATGGTTCAAAATCTTCCATTACGTTAGAGTCAAGGATACCCTTCAACTCAGTCTTGTAAGTCTGCCAACAAAAATGCAAATATTTCTAATATTCGTAGTATAATGTGCATTTACAACCCCAGTTCTAAAAATCAACCGACGGTATACTAGCGAACTTTTTACAAACACGTTAAAATTCGTTTTTCAAAACATGACCCAATCCTCGCCCGGCAGGTGTGTCACGATTTCACGGACCTGGTGAAGAACAACTCTCTTTGGAGACACTACTGTCGCCGAGCTAGCAACACACTGAAACTAAACGAGATTAATATGTTCCCTTCGTGCAAAGACCTGTACAGGGACATCCTGCAACCGTTCGCCTGGGCCCTGGGACACACTTTCAAGTTACCAGGTTACGAGGATCGTGTAGTTCATTGGATTAATTTCCAATCGTTAATTTTCAATATTTGCTCAATTATTTTCCAATCATTTTTGATTGGTCATTGCTCGGTTATTTTTCAATTATTGCTCAATAATTGCTCACAACAGGGTGCAACACATTTAATTACAGGGACGGGTAAAGTTGGTAAAGTACGACTGCAAGACCGAGCTCTTGTTATTACGCCAACAAGAGAGGAGACTAGAGATCAGGTAGACAATTCTTCTTTATTGCTCTTTTTAATCTAGAGTTTTTGACAAAAAAGTAGTCCCTGAAAAAATGGAAAATTCTCCACGATAAATGGAGTAATTAGCAGGTTATAATTACATCAACAAGTACATATTGTACATGATAACTGATTAGACAGGTTATAATTACAAGCACATATTTACCGATTAGACGCTGTCAATCTGACCGACACTGCATCTACAGGTATTTCTGAGAATAAGATCAGAGGAGGGACAGAGAAAGATCGAGAAGCTGATAAACGCAACAGGACAAATGGAGGAAATACACAAAGTGGAGGATGCCCAGAAGTTCATACAGCAAAACGTTGTCGTCTACTTCTTTGATCGGTACATGAGGGTCGAAAGTAAATTGCTACGATCTTGCAGATAAATTCTGTATTGGTGAGAGGACTTGATTGTGCGCCGTTATAGGCTGCACGTGAGTTTCTGTAATATGTTAACTAGCAATTATAGACTTTGTATTCTGAAATAATCTACCTCAATCTAATGTAATCTACAGTTTTATTCGATGTTTATTCTTGGACAGCTAGCTCTGTTTTGTAAGGTACTGTTCAGAGAAAAAAATCGAACAATTCTGTTTTTATATTATATAATAGTTTATTAATAGTTATTGATGAAGTACAAATGTAATCATTTGTGTATTCTTTAACATCTCTGAAATGAGAGAGTCTGTAAAACTGTACGTATTTCTTTCTTATCCGAAAGATTTTTTATTTCATAATCTCTGCTTTGCAGAAGCATATATTTTACAGTATCAATAATTTAATATTTGAAATTATGGATACTGACAAACTTGAATTTACTGTAATTTTTCGTGTCACTTGTCATACATTTAACCTGGTCGAAAAACGTATCGCGTCAAAAAAAAATCTGGGTGACAGTTCATTACCATATATTAGCAGAATTCGGATGCAATGGTCGATGCCTATCAAGATTTTGTACGCACATTCAGCTAAATTCTGATAGTCATCTCCTAATATGTAACAGGAGATCCTTAATTTCTAACTGGGTATTAGGTATGAAAAAGACAAAAGTTCAAAAAGATGCCCTTACATTTAACAAGAGTCAGATGACTAGCAGAAATTTCTAATCGTGTAAAATTCAAGATATACAGTGGGGTGCCATATGTTGTCGTCATTTCTGATAATGACGATACAAACAGTGTTGAACCAACAAATTTCATTGAACCATAACTCCGCTTCCGGACCACCGATTAAAAAATTCTAAAATGGGAGTTTAAAGAGAAAAAATGCGCCCATTCAGGAATGACTAAAAGATATGGTACCCTACTGCAGCAGTAGTCTGTACCAATCTGGCCCGGAGCTGGGAGTCAAAGTTCTATGATCATGCCCGCTGACTCCCAGCCCCCTTCATCTACATGCCTACTGTGGTCTGTGTGTATCTGGCCATTTGCCAAAGTTCAGCCAACTATCAACAGAAGACACACGTACCAATTCTGAAATTTTAGTTTTCTAAACGTGTACAAAAAGAAACTCGCGTGCGCGCAGACAAATTCATTTTTAAAACGTTGCGTTTTCCAACTAGCAGTACACAGTTGTCAGCTATATGTGTGCGCTCTCGCGGACTTATGTGGCTATATATAGATCGAATATTTTGAACGGAAGAATCGGAGAATCCTAATATTATTAACCCGGACAACAAACAAAATTTGATGAGGCTGACTTTAGACAGCAAACAACAACAGATCACCATGACAACAAAATCCAAGAAGGGCACCGATGGCAGGGATTGGAACAAACGCGTTTCACAAGGTTCCATCGCTTCATACACAATAAAGAACGCTGAATCTATGATGAAATCGAAAACACCACAAAAACATGAGATTAATATCAACTCACCATACAATCCTCATCTTGGCTTCTTCTTATCAGAACTTCACACACGTATTTCTCCGTACAAGGCAGCACAGATGGTACCGTGTCACTTCCATCCTCAGACTCAGCCCAGGCAAGCTTTGGTTTTGGGTGGTGGTGTTTGTGTGTAGGAGGGATTGCGTTAACGCTGTCCATCACACTGAACTCTTTTAACACTATGCACTCAGCATCAGCCCTGCGGATAGGGTGTTTATCAGAAACTTGGATTTAAGTCAAACAGTACAATTATTCCGTTGTTATCCATTATGCAGTAGCTAGGATAGATCGCGGAGTAGGATTGCGCAATAGGCTGTAAGCAATGTGGCCTCAGGAGTTGAGGTCGCTGTGAATGACGTGTGTGTATGTGATAGCTTCAGGGTCGACTACAAGAATTTAGTACAGTAGTCGAGCTGTAGAATATGTAATGACTAGGATAAGTGTTACACTATTGAGCAATGAGAAGTTTGGATTGAAAAGGCAGCTTTAAATGGTTGAATTACTGTTATGTTTTCTGAGGTGGTCATGGTTAGGGTTACTAATTATACTCCTGTTCGTAATAAGGGAATACATCGCACATAATATACGATGTACAATATCATACGAATATATCATACGATGTGTTGGATAATGTATTCAAATAATTAAACTGCTATCACATTCGTTAACACTTTTTACATAACTAAAGTCACTATATTTATTGTGTATACCAGCCAAAATATGACATCATTAATCAATTTGCCATGGTCGTTGATGCTATTAACATAATTTTAGAGGTTAATATATTGAAACGACGTGTACTTCTAGAGTGTAGACCCAAAATAATGAGTTCATATCGATGTCACCACTGAATATAACTTGAACTAGATAATGGTGTATGTATTGCAGTGTTGGGTTTGGCTTTTCTTCCGAATTCACAGTAAAGGTCACATGAGAGCAGATGTACTCAAAGTCATATTTATCCACATTTCAATACTACACTGTCCTCTCTAGGGGTCGGGTCAGTTTACTACTGGCCCAACTAATGCTTTGTTTGAGACATTTGTGAGCTGACGTCAAACTGCAGACAGTTATACAGTATTGTGCAACAACACGACAAATAGTTTCAAATCTAGATACTAGTGTGGAGTTGAATCTTTTTTGTTTTGACACGTCACAGCGATTAACCAATCAGCTTTGATTAATCAAAACCCAGAATCGCTGCCACGTGTCAAAACAAGCCCCAGAATCACTGCCACGTGTCAAAACAAGCCCCAGAATCACTGTCACGTGTCAAAACAAACCCCAGAATCACTGTCACGTGTCAAAACAAGCCCCAGAATCACTGTCACGTGTCAAAACAAGCCCCAGAATCACTGCCACGTGTCAAAACAAACCCCAGAATCACTGTCATGTGTCAAAACAAGCCCCAGAATCACTGTCACGTGTCAAAACAAGCCCCAGAATCACTGTCACGTGTCAAAACAAGCCCCAGAATCACTGTCACGTGTCAAAACAAGCCCCAGAATCACTGTCACGTGTCAAAACAAACCCCAGAATCACTGTCATGTGTCAAAACAAGCCCCAGAATCTATATAATATACTACTCACAGTTTGGACATGGTTCTGAGGGTGTCAATACTGGCGTCCATCTCACCCCGACACAGTCCAGCTAGTTTCCCGTTATCACACACCCCTATCTCGTACACTGCCTCCCCCTGTCCTGCGGTTAATTAGATAATTAGGTAATTAGACAAAGATTAGAATATTTGGTACAACAGTGATTAATGATAATTACAGCATACACTTAATCTTCGAAAGCTCCCTGTGTAAATTAGTTTGTTGTATGTGGAAGTCAATGTGAAATGTGTGACTGGTGATGATTGGTTAATTGGATAAGTTGAAAGTTGAGACAACACGTTTAGTGTAACATCTACTTCAATCTACTTAATGTACAACTTTAAACTAATAGTTATTATACAATATCCCTCATGCCAGTTCGATGTTTTGCTTCATTGAAACATGAAGCAGAAAAGTTGGAGAGAATCTCTCCTGCTTGACTATTTAAGGTAAGGAGAATTCTCTTTTAGACGAAATTTTGTAGGGCTGTCTGGGGGTCCCTTGATCAGGGGCTGAGATAGATCACACTGTTAACTGACCAGACTCAGTCCAGTGCAATGTATCACCTCTCTACTGGAGAGAGGCAGTATTAGGAAGCAAATGTTAGATTTATACTGGCAAATCAGAGGAAATATTTCCTTGTGTTTCAAATCTGTTGACACCATAGCACTGATTTGATTATAACAACCTAACATTTACTCTAAAACAATTTTTTTATGTCTTATATCTTTTCTAGACGGCAACAATTAATACCCGCTTAGGTTTCCTTTTTTTAAACCTGTAATAATTGCACTAATTTTATATTACCAAGACAAAACGTACAAGATTTCTCTTGCATCAGCATTGAACATGGTGATGTTAGCGGTTAGTCAGCAATGCCAATCTAGCAATAAGATATAATTACGATGCAAAGATTACTAATAACATTTAACTACTTTCCACTTGAATGAAAAGTTAGAGAGAATCTCTCCTGTGTGTGTTATCAACGTAAGGAGAATACTCCTATTAGCTAAATTTTACGGGGCTGTCTGGAGACCCCTCTAGCGGGCTATGATAGATCACACTGTTAACTGTCCAGACCCAGTCCAGTGCAATGTATCACCTCTCTACTGGAGAGAGGCAGTATTAGGAAGCAAATGTTAGATTTATACTGGCAAATCAGAGGAAATATTTCCTTGTGTTTTAAATCCAAAGAGAACGTAGGAATTCAACCCCACTGTTGAAGACTGAAGAGCCAGTAAAAATTCCCTTTTTTCACTGCGAATTACTGTCCTGTAAGATATGGTACAATATTCATTTTCCCTATATAATATTAGCACAAGTAGTTTTAATACGTGGCTTGGTATCAACAACTGAGAGCTGTAGACACTGAAAAAACTCTTACTTTATTTGTGATTTATTACATATCTATTCCCGGTTTATTAACTTGGAACGGTATAAAAGTTGGAGAGAATACCTCCCGTTTTGCTACCTAATGTTTAAAGAGTACAGCGGCTGAGAAACACTGTGCTGTTGACTTCCAGTTCAGTGCAATGTAACAACTCTCTACCTTTTATCATTTTATAATTATAGTCATTTTATAATTTTGATTTAGGCTTTAGATTTTTTATAATCAACGTCGTTATAGTGTATTTAGATACGATTTCGCTACACGTGCTAATATCTTAAATGTACTACTGAACGATGGTGCCTGTAACTGTTTTATTGTCGAAAAGTTTATTCTCAGTAATAGTTGTGTAGTTTGTTGCAATTAAAATGGAAGATGGTTCTTACCTAATGTGACGATTTCCACGATATAATCTTCTATGAGGATGTAAGTGATTCTCCATTCCCTGATTTCTTTGTCTACAATTTCCCCCTTTTGTTAGTTTTAGATCTGTTCGATGGTAGAGTTCTATAATTACCATGGTTAACGAATAGCTACCTGGTAAATAGCTACCAAGTAATTGATACCTGTTGCCCTCCCCTGAAAAGTACCCAATGCGACACGTTGTTTAGTCCCTCTGAGTAGCATTTTAAATGCATGATCCCACTTCTTATCTGACCATTTTGAGTTCCTCTTTAAACCCGAGTATCTCGTCTCTCATCATAAGCCAATATGCTGACTGTTATTTTGAGCATGACTTTTCTTGCTCTGACTACTCTGCAAGATGTCAGTGCCGTGAAGGCCAGGAATATTGTGGAGAAGTTGGAGAAGCGAGGAGGTTGTGGGAATGGCTGCATACGGAGTGTGGAAGCGACTCCAATGGAGAAGCGTAGTATAACTGAATACAACTGTCCCGAAGGCTGTATACCAGTAGAGTGTCCATATCGGTGCACAAGAGAAGCACATCGAGACCAAACACATATCGAGAAGCGTGCGAGTGCAAAGAATTGCCCGGAAGATTGTGTGATGGACAGGGGTGATGGTTACAGGGAGGATGTGCCATAATCTGAATAGACTATCGAAGTGAAAAAACGCCAGTTATGTTAAAACTGAGCATGATATGTTTAATCATTTAGAATTTTCCAGGGAATTTAGTGTAGTTTGTTGAAAAAGCATGCGGTTTATTGTTTATTTTATCCTGTTTTAAGTCCAAGATGGAACAGTTTAGAAACAAGTTCTTGTAGAAATTTATTCTTTGGTTCAAATTCTGACTATTTTCTTTGATCTGCGTGTATAATTAATATAATGCTCAAAACAGTCTCGTGCTTGATTCTCTTCCTGAAGCAACTTGCCGACTCTTCTCTCTTATACAGTCAAATATGAGCAGGTTACAGGAATAGCATTATTAACAAGAATAGCATTAATTAATTATAATTATAATTAATTAATTATCAATCATAATTATTAATATTAGCTACTTACTTACTTACTCACACTGCTTTAGTTACGCTCATTTCAGAAGATCTATTGAAGCTAAATAACAAAACTATACGACCCGCTCATGAGTCATATACTGTGAAAAGTAAACACGTCTACTAGCATAGAATAATATTTCGGTCCAAATCTAAAAATAAATATTTCTGATACCAGAAATATGGCTGTATAGTACTTCCTAATTAATACTTAATAGTTAGAAGACGGTGAACGCTATGGTGAATGGTGATGTACAATTCTTGTTATATACCTACTTGCTTTGCACAATTGCGATCTTTAGGGGAAGTGCTTGGCCTGGATGACTTCCAATATTTATTCTACAGAAAAATCAAATGTGAACAGTAAAATCAAATTTAGGGAACATCAAATTTGAACAGTAAAAAGATGTTAGAGAGAATCTCTCCTGTATGTGCTGACTTGTTAAGGAGGGTACTCCTTTCTTTAACATTTTGTAGGGCTGTCTGGAGGCCCCTATACTATATCTTAGATAGATTACACTGTTAACTGTCCAGACCCAGTCCAGTGCAATGTATCACCTCTCTACTGGAGAGAGGCAGTATTAGAAAGCAAATGTTACATTTATACTGGAAGATTAGAGGAAATATTTCCTTGTGTTTTTATTATTGGACAGCATAGAAATATTACTCAGTGTTTAAGAGCTACCACAAATATGCTCTTTTTTCACTGCCAACTGTCCTAGAAATATGAACTTGAAAGTTAAAACAGTAGAAAATGATGGAGAGAATCTCTCCTGCTTGATTATTTAAGGTAAGGAGAATTCTCTTTTAAACGAAATTTTGTAGGGCTGTCTGGGGGTCCCTTGATTAGGGGCTGAGATAGATCACACTGTTAACTGTCCAGACCCAGTCCAGTGCAATGTATCACCTCTCTACTGGAGAGAGGCAGTATTAGGAAGCAAATGTTACATTTATACAGTTGGCAAATCGGAGGAAATATTTCCTTGTGTTTTACTTCTGACATATGTGAAGATTCAATATTATACTCTATGAAGATTTCTGTGCAGTGTGTGTCCTCTTGCCGATTATAAGAAGAAGAATCGGAATGTGCAACTTCGTAACTTCAACTTTAAAATGATGATTAGTATTATATTATTGGTATTCATGCAATTCAATCTAATATAATTACTTTTTATGAGAATTTAACGTCTTTGTTTAAGTGAATATATTTAGCTACGTCCTCTTCTTTCAGTGGAGAAAACTAAAGTTCAGAGCAAATTAGCTCAACCACAAAAGAATGTGCTTACATGTAACCATGACAACCATAATCTGTACATCAACTCATTAATTATGTAACATTATCATCAAGCCATATTACATTTTTAACATAGCTCTGTGGTCTGTGTATACACAACTATTTACCAGATAACCAAGGAGAGCTGTAAACATTATAACTTATAATAATACACACGCCTCAGTGCTAAACAAGTAATCACATGCTGCCGCGAGTGCCAAACAAGAAGTCACGTCTCACATGCTGTTGTGCTGACAGATAGGTCTGAACTACCGTATTGTTGAACTGCTGCCAGCATTGTAAACACACAACATCACAATGCTTATACACACGCGGTAGTGTGTATGCTGTGTTATACTGCCAAGACACATGATTAGTGTGGTGTTATAATATTGTTATCATGGAATTTAGCTGGAATGTGCTGTGTATATCCTTACAATGTACCAGATATATTAACCCAATGTATAGTGTATATTCCTATACATTATTGTACAATGTGCATTCCTGTTATATACTGATATTAATAGCACTTGCAATACCACTGCTTGTTATAAAATATGTGTATGTAAAACACGGCAAATGTTTAAATTCAATTATTAACTTGATATGCTAGCAGTTCTAAAAAGTCACGATGTATTTTACCTGAAATAAAACCAGGCGTATAACGGGTATAACCTGTCAATAGCAATATAATGTCACACTCTGTGTCACATAACTTTGTTAAAGTTTGACGTCAAGCTCAATATAATATGGTTATAGCAGATGTAATAAGGGCTGTTAAAATTTATTTGATTTCGATTTTGGCTTTTTCTAGAATGATTTCTCTTTCTAGAATGACTATACTACTCTATACTATCAGGAGGTGACCGGGACATGATTTTAGGCCTGACCGGGACCGGGACCGGGACCGGGATACAAAATGTGACCTGACCGGGACCGGGACCGGGACCGGGACTGAGATTATCAATTTACCGTGACCGGGACCGGGACCGGGACCAATAATTTCTGGGATTTCTATCTTACCGGGACCGGGACCGGGACCGGGACCAACAATCCAATTTTACCGGGATGACCGGGATGACCGGGATTTGACCGGGATGACCGGGATGACCGGGACCAAAACTGGTATTCTCATATTGAAAGCTGCAATTTTCATTTACATTATAATTGAACAATTTGAATAAGTAATAACTAGAATATTAAATTAGAAAAAACTTTAAAAAACGTCAATATGGGGCATGGGCCTAATGTACTACACCAATAATGTTCATGTACTGATTACTCAAGTTCACCCTCATTCCTCATTCCTCAATCAATGATCCCTCAAATTATTCAACAGTTTCATTCTCCAATTCCAATTGACAATTGGGCGTAGCCCGAGTTGAAAACTTGATGTTAGTTTGGGGGTCCGGACTCTAGGGCGTAAGACTCTAGGGCGTAAGACTCTAGGGCGGCGCCCTACAAAACAGGACTCTACGGCGTGAAAATATCTAAAGCGTGAAAAAACAGGACTCTAGGGCGTGAAATATAATTTTTCTATTTTCGGTCAAAATGAATCTAATTTCATTTTTAATTAGGATGTCCGTTGTCACAGGGAGTTTTTATCTCGACCTAAGATGCAGCCAATGAAATGTTACATAACGAGCATAACGAAAGCGGATTAAACTTATTTCAAAACAATACTGTACTATTATTATAGTATGCATATTATATACATATATAGAGTCCCGGTCCCATACATAATGATGAACTTTAAATGTAAACAATACTGATAGCTAGTGTCTTAGAGGTGGGAAGCGTGGGAAGCTGTCAGTCACCAACATTTTATTGTCAAATTATAATAGCTCACCTGCACCAATACACCCTGTACAGTAAAGAAAGATGTTTATAATCAAAACAATAAAAATAAAAACATGATCTAGTGACCTATCCAATCATTAATTCATTATCATTCGTTTCCTACTACACTATGTCCGATCTTTCGTTTACTTTAATCAGAGGAAGAACGGCCAAGAGTAAAAACGCACTGCACCTAGGATTCCGGTACTCTCCAGATGGAAAATTAAGAAAAGATGGGTCACAGTCTTGGAGATGTCTGAAGAAAGCCGAATCCTGTAAGGGGTGAATCTGGACCAAGGGTTTGAGCCTCACGGAGACACCTGCAATTCCACACAACCACGAAGCTGACTTCATAGACGCAGAAAATTAGAAAAAAAATCAATATTTCACGCCCTAGAGTCCTGTTTTTTTCACGCCCTATATTTTTCACGCCCTAGAGTCCTGTTTTGTAGGGCGCCGCCCTAGAGTCTTACGCCCTAGAGTCTTACGCCCTAGAGTCCCGGACCCGTTAGTTTGCACTTATGAGTTATGTAACGATATTAGTTACCTAAACTTGTTTAGCAATTTTAAACATTGTTTTATTTGGCTCAGAGGTTGTTTAAAGATGAAATTCACAATGAATGAAAGTAAAAACTTAAAATCATAGTGAATGAAATTATGTAAAAGATCCCGGTCAAAATCCCGGCAAATTTGAGTGATTGACCGGGACCGGGACCGGGACCAAGAATCCTGAATTAACCGGGACCGGGACCGGGATCATAAATCAGCATTTGACCGGGACCGGGACCGGGATGAAAAATGTGACTTGACCCGGTTGACCGGGACCGGGACCGGGATAGCTCAAAATTGCCAATCCCGGTACCGGGATTCCCGGTCACCTCCTGTATACTATACTAGATTACTCAATATCGCAGTGACAGCTGTAAGACTCTGGAATGTTCTCCCCAAAAATGTCAGCAATCTGGCAAGCTTCAAGACATATTTCAGAAACTTCCTAGACACCCTACTCCTGGATACAGTGCAGAAACTCTAACTCGATAATAGACTGGTGCAGTCAAGGAGGTGGTTCGCAGATTGCGTGATGACCGTAAAGATTCCTACTTCTAAACCTCTCAATAGGTTCAATACGTAGCTGTAGGTAGCTACATACGTGGCGTATCTTTTTATAGATATTTTACGTATTTTACATCCCACATAATACTCAATAAATAGATTTGTAGTGTTGTAATTAGTTATGTGTGATAAGATAACAAAAATTGAGTCATCTTATTATTTACTCATCTGGATGATCTGTGAAACCATCATGTTATATGTGGCTGGATCGAATAACTTAAACTATGTGTGTTTTCTGTGTGTGTTTGTGTAGTAACCAACGCGATAATATAGTTAATATAATTATATTACGTAATAACTGATAGGATTATTATAATATATCACAAGTCTTAGGAGGTCGTGATGTGTAAGAAATGTATGGTGTGATGTGTAAGAAAACACGTACACGATCAGCATTTGGAGGCTCTAACTTTGACACTAAAATAGGATATCCCTGTCAAATATAAAGAATGTAATCGTGTACAGCGCAATAAAATATAGTAATATGGAATAATAATTTAAATTGTCATTAATTGTATTGTTATTATATTAATTGTTATTATATTAATTGTCATTAATTGTATTGTAATTATATTAATTGTATTGTTATTATATTAATTGTTATTATATTAATTGTTATTATATTAATTGTTATTATATTAATTGTTATTATATTAATTGTTATTATATTAATTGTATTGTAATTAATTAATTAATTGTATTGTAAGCTTACCTTCTCTGAGTCTCCACTTCATTTGAGTGACCAGGTGTTCTAAACGACTAGGGTTAGGGTTCACTAGTTTCAGTTTGTATTCTATGTTCCCTTCTTCCACCTGAGAGTATACAAGTTTAGATATGAATGGTACTTTGTGGATATTGGACATGCCGTATGGTGATTAAATCTTTAAATCAGATTTTTGGCCGACCTCTGGATTTATGTAATTATAGGCGTTAGGGATGCTGCATGTTTTCCAACTGAACATTCCAACTGAGTAGATTGTTATATTATTTATATCTTGATGCGTGTTACGAACTATTTATTAGTTCGTGTAACGAAAATAAAATATTCAGAACTTATCCCCTTATTTGAGGCGGATCATAGTAATAGCTGATCTTTAAATATTTTCAGAGTGCTATATTATGAGCTTATATGGTAAACTGATTCAGATCCAAAAAATCTCAACAATTTAAGAAATGCAAAAGTGTTTATTTCTGTATCTTACATCATCAGCAAATAAATTTAAAAAATGCATGAGATCACTATTTGTTTCCACGGTAACTTGATTGATGATCTAATGTTTTGGACGGAACAAACACTACCAGTGACACCTACAGTCTACACTGAAGCTTAAATAACCACTACTGTTTTAAATGTACGTGACAAGTGCAGCAGGCAGCTTGATACATGATACCAGCACTGCACTTGCAGAGTGAGTCACAAATGTTTGGTATAATTAAACTAAAAGCTTGTGATGATCTCATTCGTGCGGAAAAACGTAATAGTCACACCCAAACTCATTGAATTCTTAATCGATTATTATCATTAATAAAATTATGAGCTAAGGCTGCTTTCTTTTATCAATTATCAAACTTATCGCTATCTCATTAAAAGACGATTTAATTTCCTTGATAAAATAAAGTTTATCACCTATAATACAATAAAAGTGCAGACAAAAGTTTTACAATATCCACGACAAATAGCAAGCAGAGCTAATAGGAGGTTTATTGCATGAGATAAAATTCTGGGGTTCCGACAAATATAATTCAAATGATTAGCTCTTTTAACTATTTATTGTTATATTACCATAGCAACATTTTGGCTGAATTGAAGACTCATTAGGTCGCTAATAAGATACATTCAATCAGGATATTGAACCACACCCATGGCCATCAGTGGTAATGGTTGTTAAGAGATATCCTAAGATATATCTTACAAGGGTGAGATGAGAAATTTGAAAAACAAACAAATTAAAAAACAACATAACATATCATACTGTTTTCAACTGTGATGAGTCGTGAGGCTTGATCTGAGTTGACATAGTTGGAATTTGGATAGATGTAAAATTTCGAAGCCATCCAGTTATATACCATTTTTAATAAAAATTAAGCTACAGCAAAGCACTAAATATTTTATCTGTGTATGCTGATCATTAGATTTTTGTGGGAACTCATTAATTTGTTGGTAACTTGATCTTCACTGCTGTGCAGATAGTCTAGCAAACATTTACAACAGCTGATCGGTGTATGATATTTCATTGTGTACATTTAAAGCTTATAACTTTAAACAGCTGTTCAGTATTACGACATCACCCTCTTTAACACAACGTGTTTAAACTATAATCTAGATCTTACTATTGACTATTGGTTCTAGATCTACTAATTAGTGTTCATTTTCAGCTCAGTAGGTAATCCTGAATGTACAGTCTTTGATGCTTTACTTAAACGATGCCAAGAATTATGAACATCGAGCAGCCCACGTTTATCGTAACAAGTTTATTAACCAATTTGCAAAATTAAAATAACAAACCTCGGGTGGTAGCTCAGTGTCAGGAAGCTGCTCTGAGTTGGAAAGCAGTCTGTTACCACGGTGTCGCGGCCCATCACTACCAACAAAGAAACACCCTAGATTCTGCTGAAATTGTAAAAGTTCAGCAATCAAAACAACATCAAGACAAAATTAGTACATTGAAGACTATATATACACCAGGTTTAGAATGATAAAGTTAGTTTCTTACTCGTTTTGCCATCTTGTAATCTGTTTCGTCGGACAGTATTTTTGGTTCTGGAAGTTCCTGCAATTTATTTTTCTTGAAACAAAAAAATATGAATAAGTGTGAATAAGTTTTGAAAAGCATTTAAGAAATAAAATTTAGAGATTCGAATTGTTTAAAGGGGGGGGGGGGGGGGGGGGGGGGGGGGGGGGGTGTCACGTCCGTCTATGTCCGCCTATGTCCTGTCCTTTTTGGATTCTATGAGACAACGGACGTGTTTTTTGGGACATTGGCGGACACAGACGGACATTGGCGGACTCGGACGGACATTGGCGGACACGGACGGACATTGGCGGACTCGGACGGACATTGGCGGACTCGACGGACATTTGCGGACCCGGACGGACATTGGCGGACTCGGACGGACATTGGAGGACATTAGCGGACATTGGTGGACATTAGCGGACAAACATTTTGAGAATTTTTCGCAACTTCTATGTATTATAATTTTGTACAAAACAAACGACTTATTAATCACACTAAAGCTATTAATAGTTTTAACTTATTATATCAAATTATATAGGGACCCAGGAAAAGGCCCCAGGAGGAGGAGGAGGAGGAGGAGGACTGGGGAGGAGGAGGACTGTTGAGGACTGATGAGGAGGACTGAGGACGAGGAGGAGGAGTAGGAGGAGGACTGAGGAGGGGAGGAGGAAGAGGACTGGGGAGGATCAGGAAGACCCAGGAGGAGGACCCAGGAGGAGGAGGAGGAGGACTGAGGAGGATGACTCAGGAGGAGGAGGACTCAGGAGGACTGAGAAGGAGGAAGACTGAAGAGTACTGAAGAGTACTGAGGAGGATGGCTGAGGAGAATGGCTGAGGAGGATGGCTGAGGAGGATGACTGAGGAGGATGACTGAGGAGGATGACTGAGGAGGGAGGAGGAGGATCAGGAAGACCCAGGAGGAGGAGGAGGAGGACCCAGAAGGAGGACCTAGGAGGAGGAGGAGGAGAACTGAGGAGGATGACTCAGGAGGAGGAGGACTCAGGAGGACTGAGAAGGAGGAGGACTGAGGAAGATGGCTGAGGAGGATGGCTGAGGAGGATGACTGAGAGGGAGGAGGAGGAGGAAGAGGAGGAGAAGGACTGAGGAGGAGAAGGAGGACCCAGGAGGAGGAGGACCCAGGAGGAGGAGGACCCAAGAGGAGGACCCAGGAAAAGGCCCCAGGAGGAGGAGGAGGACTGGGGAGGAGGAGGACTGTTGAGGACTGATGAGGAGAACTGAGGACGAGGAGGACGAGTAGGAGGAGGACTGAGGAGGGGAGGAGGAAGAGGACTGGGGAGGATCAGGAAGACCCAGGAGGAGGACCCAGGAGGAGGAGGAGGAGGACCCAGGAGGAGGAGGAGGACTGAGGAGAACTGAGGAGGAGGACTGACGATGACTGAGAAGGAGGAGGACTGAGGAGGATGGCTGAGGAGGATGGCTGAGGAGGATGGCTGAGGAGGATGGCTGAGGAGGATGACTGAGAGGGAGGAGGAGGAGGACTCAGGAGGAGGACTCAGGAGGAAGAGGAGGAGGAGGACTCAGGAGGAGGACTTAGGAGAAATGAGAAGGAGGACTGAGGAGAACTGAGGAGGAGGAGGAGGAGGAGGACTGAATAGGAGGAGGAGAAGGAGGGGACTGGGAGAGGACTGATGAGGAGGGCTGATGAGAAGGATGAGGAGGAGGACCCAGGAGGATGACCCAGGAGGAGGAGGACTGAGGAGGAGGACTGAGGAGGACTGAGGAGGATGGCTGAGGAGGATGACTGAGAGGGAAGAGGAGGAGGAGGAGGACTCAGGAGTCAGGAGGAGGAGGAGGACTCAGGAAGACTGAGAAGGAGGAGGACTGAGGAGGAGGAGGAGGACTGAATAGGAGGAGGAGGAGGGGGACTGGGGGAGGACTGAGGAGGATGGAGGACTGAGGAGAAGGATGAGGAGGAGGACTGAGGAGGACTGAGGACTGAGGAGGACCCAGGAGGAGGACTCAGGAGGAGGAGGAGGACTGGGGAGGAGGAGGACTGTTGAGGACTGATGAGGAGGACTGAGGACGAGGAGGAGTAGGAGGAGGACTGAGGAGGGGAGGAGGAAGAGGACTGAGGAAGATCAGGAAGACCCAGGAGGAGGAGGAGGAAGAGTAGGAGGAGGAAGCATCTAAATGTTATTTCCATTTTTGTCCGTTTTTGTCCGCTCTATTTTTTGTTCGTTTTGAAAATATAGGGTACCGGACAAAAAACATGATCCCCCATATAACAGCAAAAATTGAACATTTTATTTAGCAATTTAGGTGTCCATTAATGTCCGCTAATGTCCGTATATGTCCGTCTATGTCCGCCTATGTCCGTCTATGTCCGCCTATGTCCGCCTATGTCCGCCTATGTCCTGTCCTTTTTGGATTCTATGAGACAAGCGGACATAGACGGACGTGACACCCCCCCCCCCCCCCCCCCCCCCCCCCCCCCCCCCCCCCCCTTTAAAAAATGTAATGGAGCTACTTGCCAAATAAAATGCATCAACTCCATGATAATGCAGCCAAACAACAGTAAAAATAATCAATTAAATCAAAATCATTAACAGAGTAAATACTTGAGCTGCATGTTTACATGGCTAAGTGTTAATGGCACTAATGGTTATGTTATCTTTAGGAGTCATTCACAATTCGAAAGTACTTGATTATTTTGTTCAAATTGTTTTAGCTTGGTGAGTGTATAGAGCTATGATAAAGTTTTTAAATACTTTAAATGTATATCAACCTTTCCAATGTTAATAATTAAAAAGAGTGATAAAGAGGATATATTTTTTATTAATAATTAGATACCTCAGTTTGCGAAGATTGTAACTTGTCATCTTTACTGTTGACTAGGTCCATTTTACCCATGCTCTATTTGCAATGCAGACGGATCTCAACGAATGTCCGGTCTGATTGTCATGTGTCTGAAAAATTCGTTATTCAGAAAAGTTCAGAAAGCATGGTTTTTCTTTGGAATTCCGAAAGTAACATAATACTGTGAGAAAAATATTTTCCTTGCAAATCAAACAGCGAAAAGAGATTGATTGCAGATAGCAAGAATATAAATATGATGCAAATATTGCGGGGAAAAAATAAAAATTTAAGATTTCATGTCAAACTTGTGCTTGTGATTATATAATTGTCTAAAAACTTTGTTCGTGAAATTTTATATAGAAAAGAGACGCCTCCAAGTGAATGTTTTATCATACCTGGGTTCCTCGAGAGAACACTTCACATTGCTACATCTGCATAATTCGTGGCATTGCAGCAATGCCTGTAAAAGTGTTGAATTCAATATAAACAAACTGTATCCTCAATCTTGATGGGGATTTTACAGGTAAAATGTGTTTTGTTTCAATGTGTATTTGAAACTTAAAATTCAGTATGCACAAATTTAAATCCACTCTTGGGCCATGATGATAACGAAAATCTAAATTCAATACTGTCTACAATGGAAATTTTTATCCTCAATCAAATAAATAACTCCCAAAAGGCTAGGTTGTATAGTAAAGTAAAGTATATTTTGAGCCGGTAATCGTTTTATTTGAAACAGGAATATAAAACTAAAAATTTTCAAACAATATACACAAAATACAGCAGTTCTATTTTTAGGGTCAGATAAATATTTCGGTTAACGTTGGTTATTGAGTTGATGTTTAATTCAATTTTGATTGCATAAACCTGTATGCATAATGTAGAAAAAGGGCCTTCGGCACGGTGCTCAAGATCATAAAACTATTTAGTTGTAGTAGTTAAAAAAATGTATAGTTTAAAAACTATACATCTTTTAACAAATTGCTTGGTCCTTGAACCTAGCATCAAAGTTTAATTTTGTAATTTTCAGAGGCGGCTATTGAGGGCGTCCAGGCGTCCGTGGACGCCTTTAAATTATTATCTGGTGGCTGGTGCTTAAAATAGAAATAGTAATTAGTAATAGTGTTAGGAAATAACAAATCGCAATATAAAGGTCTTCGTTTACTATATCATACGTTTTAATGTAAGCGCACGCATGATCTTCGTGAAATTTTGAGTTGTAGGGAGTCCAATCCTACCTCTAGACTACTCAGCCGCGCAGTTTTAACACATAGTTAATTGTAAACGTTACAAAGCACATCGTGCGCATCCCACTACAGGTAATCTATTATGATTTGCCTCGATTTGGGGGTCCAGGACCCTTTGAACTATTGACTGTTGTGATACTGCGCGGCTGAGATCGTACACGTGTGGTTTCCTGTTTCACCCATGTTATAAGTTTTTGTTTTTGTTTGCTGTCGCCTGTAAAGTGTTACACATTACATTTACAAGGCCCTGTGTGTAATGTAATCGGTAGCTTGGAGGGATCAGCTTGAGCCGGCTCCCAAGCCCCCCTCCCCGATTGGACCCCCAACAAAACTGCCAGCCAGCTCCCACGAGCAGCCTCTGGTAATTTTGTACAAATATGTGCAAGAGCAAGAGAATATGATAGCCAAGCACTTGATCACACATTCTTCCGACTAGAGCATTGCAAACCACTTTCCAAGCAACAATACATTCTGGCCTTTAAAAAATGTATATACAGATACCACACTTATATCGAATTCTTAAACATACTCAAACTCAGGTGCCAAACTTCACTGCACTAACTAAACAGTTGTAATGTAGAAGGGTAACTACTCTCATTAATCAGTTCCCATCAAGAGATTTTGTATCAAGATCAACCACAATCTAGAGTAAAAAACTCAAGCTTCTTGACTTATATATCTATCCCTATAAGATTAGACTTGCTAAAAGTCGCCTAAAAAGGCACTCCAAAAGCTGCGCCTCTCTGTGATGAAATCATTGTATGTAGACATTTTATGGTTAGAACTTTAGGACAACATTTTGTAAATATTATGAATTAAAAATTTAACTGTAATTCTCATTTATTGACAACATCTAACAAGGTATGTTATTGAAGTGATTCACACTTTAACATTTAAGTGTAATTCTGTGAACAGATTCTAGATTTTTAATTTTAAATTTATATTAAGAAAGCAATTAAAAGATTAAAAGAACTACCTTGTTTTTTTGATTGTTCAACCTTGATAAAATTTTAAATTGATTGAAATAAATTTTCGTGCACATACAGAATGAATGGTTAATAATTTAATATATATGTAGACCAAGGTCTGTGCACGGGATGCTTCCTGGAAGAATCCAGTTCTTTTAGCGGGGCACCCTACCTAAAGCCAAATTGAGATATAATAATCATATTCCTAGAGAAATAATCAGAAATCGAATACCAATCAAATAATATGATATATAGGAGTAGTAACCATATTTACTATGCAAAATGCCCCAACCACATAGTGTAAATTTATATAGAAATCAAATTCCATATCATCATTAAACCTCAATAGTCAATATAATAGCCCAAGCAAAATTGAATAACTTCTTATATACCTTACTACTGTCATACTACAAATAATTAAACATTTGAAATCTGTTAACCAGAGAATAAATTTCTAAACCTAATGCAAGTGAAATAATTTAGATGCAATAATGAATGCCTAATGTGAGTATCATCTGTCAATGTCCTTGTAAAAAAGTCTGTAAAAGAGATATGAGTAACTAATATAGAAGAAAAAACAGGAAGTTGTCGTCTGTTGAAAAATAAATAAAATATCTAGAATATAAATTAGAATATAAAATAACATTCAGTCAATGTGTCGTCAATAAAATGTACAATTATCAAATGTTAAAACTGGGTGATACAGTCACCAAAAATAAATACTTAGTATAATAAGTAAATAAATTAAATGTGGTCTATAAAACTACCACTAGGTATAATAGGTCAATAAATTAAAAGTGGTTTATAAAACTACCACTGTGCGAACCCTTTCTCCAGTTAAAACATGTCAGTCATGTGCAAAAGTTGTTTTAAGTAAGTAAAATTTCTTGAAACTGGCCACGGGCCTTAATATTACATATCAATCAATTACAATTCATTAACATTACCAATATTAAAAACTATCGAAAATATTCAAGAAAGTATTCTCTAGCCAAGTAAGTAAAATACAATTTTTATTTTCCACAGAAGAATCAATACATATCACATATTGAATCTGATAATTTTACTAATAATCATTAAAAGTTGATTTGTAAAATCAAAAACGAAAACGAAAAGCCGTACGCTGAACGCACGCGGCATCTTATCGTCAGTTGCCTAACTTGTAGCCGCTAACATCAAAGCCGCCGTGAGCGCCAAGTGCTGGGGTGCATTCTCATAGACAAATAAACTTGGTCAAAGATATTTATATACAATTTCTAAATTAAATCAATAATCATGTAGATCATAGATGTGAGTATGAAATATATATATTATATGTTAAAATACATTGTACTGATACATAATAATTTCAAATTTTTTAAATTAGCATTTAATTTGAAAATTTTTAAAACTAAAATACAGTTAATAATAAACAATGTATAAGTTTTGTTGAAATATTTAAATATTTTTGAAAAGGTTTTTTAAAAGTCCTTTTTTAATCATTAATATCGTAAATTAAGTGGTAGTATTGACGGATGTTTTGACGGATGTTACTCGTCTAAATTTCTTCGAAGTAGCGCGCGCCGCTTTCTTCTCGAAATGTTAATGGCCCGATGGCAAGTGCTACGAAGTAGCGCGCGCCGGGCCAGATCATTAACAATGGTCAAACGGATGTTACTCGTCTAAATTTATTCGAAGTAGCGCGCGCCGCTTTCTTCTCGCTTTCTTCTCGAAATGGCCCGATGGCACGTGCTACGAAATAGCGCGCGCCGGGCCAGACCATTAACAATGGTCAAGTGGTAGTATTGGAGGACTTCGCCGCTTCGACACGCCGCGCGAACTAGCATTCTTGCTTCGCATCGCAACGATCTCGACGGATTGACATCGTCAATCAAGTGGTAGTATTGAGTAAACTTTTTTATTTAACTTTTTGTTAATTTTGGAGGACTTCGCCGATTCGACACGCCGCGCGAACAAGCATTTTTGCTTCGCATCGTCGATCGTTGCTCTGCTTCGCGCAGCTAGCAACGATCCCGATGGGTTGACATCGTCAATCAATTGTTAGTTGTATATTGTTGTTATGTGTTAGCCTTTTACACGATCAGTGTGACAGTACAGTACGTGAAAATGCCATGCATGTCACAAATATTTAAAATTTACTTGGAAATTGTGTTTTCACAAATATCAAAAGTGTCGTTTAATAGTTTTTGAAAAAGAAACTTTATTTATTCTTTTTGGTAATTTCGTTGATTTTTAGGAAAAAACTAAAATAAATGCGCACAAAATAAATCATGCCCAATAATTTTAAAAACCAATCTGGTTTTGTAGGTTTATAACTTACAGCTACCAAAACGCGCGCCAAGTTGGACTCGTCGACGGTCTAAGGTTTTGTAATTTATAATACAATATAAATATTTGGAACAAATATTTTACGAGTATCACTTGTTAAATTTTATTACAATGTAGTGAAAGAAGTTTAAATAAAATATAAATATTTTGAAAATCATTTGCATTTTAAATTTGATCAATTGACGATGTCATTATTGAGTGCGCGGCGCATCGCGCTACAATAAATTTGATAAATTAGCCATTTTCAATTTTTGGTTCATTTTAAATTACATGCCTTTTATAAAACGCGCATTTTATCTGGGGATATCGATTATTTAATTTATGTTCTTAAACAAATCATAAATATATTGTATAAAATATAAAGGTATAATGATAGGCTTGATGCTGAGCGCTGCACAGTAAAAACAAACAAAAAATGTGCGTTTGTATCATATATATATATATATATATATATATATATCTAACATATATATATATATATCTAACCTTGGTGTTCAAATTGACCATCATCTTACTTTTGAGCCTCAAATCACGTCCCTCAAAAAGCATTGTTTCAGACTCCTTAGGAATGTAATAAGGAGAAAATATCTCTTCAGTAAAGCTCAGCTCAAGCTTATAATTAACAGCATCATTGTCTGCAAATTGGACTACTGCAATGCTCTTTATTATGGAATTAGTGACAACCTCATCCACCAACTACAACTCGTTCAGAATGCAGTTGCTAAAGCTATAGTAGGACTATATAAATGATAAATATGATCGTCTAGGAGACACTCTGAAAGACCTTCATTGGCTGCCTATTAGTTACAGAATTCAATATAAGTTATTGCTTCTTGTCTACTAATGTCTTAATGGTATGGGACCAGATTATTTAAGTAGTATGTTTAAATATGCCAATTATAATCATCTTATCTATTTGACTGAACCTAGAGTATATACACAGTGCAGTATGGAGAAAGATCGTTTCAGAAAGTTGGCCCTAAATTATGGAATGAGGTGCCTCTTGAAATTAAGAATTGCACGTCACTGGAATCTTTTAAAGTGTATCTGTAAACGTTTCTTTTTAAACGTGCTTATGATATTAATTAATTTATTATTTTTTCAATGTTTCTACTGTTAAGTGCATACCCTTAACCTTGTAATTTAGTGTATCAAGTCTTCACAATTTTCTATGGTTTGGAACCTAAATGTGGATTGCTTTTCAGGTTTTCTTGTATCCTGACTTGTTTTCGTGGCACACCTGTGCATTTTATGTTGTTGTGCCACTATAATCTATAAGTTTAAATTATTATTATTATTTTTTAAGCGTGCTGAGCTTTGATAGTATTTTCTGTACAATAAATGTGTTGATGTTATATATTTCAGAGATATATTGTTAATTTGATATATCTTGAGCTGTGACTTGATCTTCTATCCAACTTAGGCCTCCTAGTGTGATCTTGTTAATGTGATTTTGTTAGTGTGATCTTGTTTTAACAATTTAAATAATTAAAAAACACTTTAAAAAGTTTTTTTTAATTATTCCACCCAGTTCATCTTGCAATCTTGTTTGGTCACCCACTGCTCCAACAGGTAGCTTACACAAATGCTTTAGACACTTAATGAAATGCCCCTTTCCTTGTGTAGCGGTATGGTCATATAGCTGGCCATCTAACTAGCACCTACAAGCCACTAGCAATACAAACTAAAAAGATCAATGTGACTAACAATTCGAATACTGCAGGTACTGTTGTTATTTTTGATTAAAACTAATATACTTATTGTTTTAACGTTTATCCCTTCCAGATGATCAAGAAAAATGAACAGAGGACATCCACTGTTTTCATTAGAGGAGTTCCAGCCACTACCAAGGACTCAATGCTCAATGAAACATTCAAGGAATTTGGTCACATAAGACAGGCTTTTGTTACAAAACCAAAACTAAATACAGCTGGGACTTCCATTGGTTATGTGAAATTTACAACTATTGAGGAAGCCTCTTTGGCCATTAACTCCGTTAAAATGATTGACAATCAGAAAGTCATTCTATCATTTGCTCGTAAAAAGCCTCGGAAATTTCGAGAGCCAGTCAAGTTGAATAAATCTAAGGGAAGTGGATCAGGTTTGAGTGACACAGATGAAGATGCTCCAGTTACTGAACCAGATGCAGAAGAACTTGATAAAGATAAGGATTTTCTCTCTCTCAACACTGAAGAAAAACCTGTTGCTGAAAAAACTACTGTCCAGCCTAAAGCTGTTGGATTATCGAAAAAAGGTTCCTTTGTAAAAAATCCAAAAACAGTATATATCCACAACCTCGTTGATGGTTTGTCCCAAAATCAGCTGAGAAAGAAGTGCCGTAAAGTTGGTGAGGTCGAAAAGATTGTTTTGGACGGCACAAGTGCGTGTGTCACATATAAAGATGAAGCAACAGCTAAGCTTGCCTTGACAAAACTGAACAACCATGTATACAAACAGAAGGTCATCACTGTTGTTTCCTCAATGTTGTCTGCTAAAGCAATAAAGAAAAAAACGACTGTATCAAGGATTGTCATACGGAATCTCAGCTTCAAAGTTACAGAGGAAATGCTACATTCTGAGTTAATTTCTTTTGGGAAAATGTTAGATTTAGAAGTTCCAAAAAATGGAGAAGGAAAGATACGAGGCTTTGCATTTGTAAGTTATATCAATAAATCTGAAGCAAACAAAGCATTGCAAAAACTTAATGGAAAAGAGATATTAGGACGAAAAATAGCTGTTGACTGGGCAGTTTCAAAAGATAAATATGTTAAGAAAGAAGCTGATAAGCCTGCGGATGATGCAGATGAATCAGATCAGGAGGAAGAAGCCAAAGATGATGATGAGGAGTTAGATGAGGCAGCAGCTGAAAGTGATGAGGATGATAACAAGGAAGACGATTCAGAGGAAGACAGTGACAAGGAATCAGGAGATGAGGCAGAAGAAGAATTTAAGCCTAAGAGAGAGTATGATGATGTCAAAGAGGGTAGGACTGTTTTTTTGGGAAATCTGCCTTTTGATGCTGAAAAGGAAGACATTGAGGAGGCTTTTTCCGTGTTTGGTACAATCAAATATGTAAGAATGGTGTATGATAAAGAGAAAGACCGTCCTAAAGGAATTGCTTTTGTGCAGTTTGATGAAAAAGATGATGCTGATAGTTGCTTGGCAAGAGCTGACGTTCAGCCAATATCTGTTGGTGGTAGAGATATTGCTGTAAAGAAAGCTATCGATAGCAGACAAATAAGTGTTCCTGACAGCAAATCTTCTGGTAAAACTGGGAAAGATAACAGAAATCTTCATCTTGCCATGGAGGGTGCTATTAAAGAAGGGACCAATGCTGCAGACGGAGTATCTAAAACAGACATGATGAAACGCAAGTTGGCCCTTGAGGCAAAGAAGAAGAAGTTGAAGAACATAAACTTTTTTGTATCTACAGACAGACTTTGTATTAGAAATATGCCCTCTACTTTTAGTGAAACTAATCTAAAAGAGTTAATGTCCAAATATGGGAGAGTGGCTCAAGTTAAAATCATGAGGGATGTTAAGCAAGCAAACAGTGCTGGAATTGGAAAATCTAGAGGCTATGGTTTTGTTCAATTTGCTAAACCTGAAGTTGCATTAGCTGCATTGAGAGCTACAAATAACAACCCTAACATCTTTTCTGCAGCAAAACGTCCTATCGTTGATTTTTCCATTGAAAACAGTGGGATTTTAACGGCTAGGGCCAAGAAAGGACCACTTAACGCTAATGATAAATCTCGCCCGATTAAGAAGAGTTTTAATTCGCGCTGGCAGGAAAAGAGAATACAAAGAAAAGAATCGGGTGTTCCTAAACCCCCGAAAGCAAATCCTGAAAAATCTGTTTCTTCAACCAAGGAAAATGAACCTAATCAAAAGAAGGTTAACAAAAAGAAGAAACAGAAAAGTAAGCAGGATTCAAATGTGGGTGACCAATCTAAGGTGCCTGATCAGAAAAATGCATCCCAAAAGTTACCCGAACCCTCAGTTGTCATTGAATCCACTTCTGAATCTCAAAAAGGTCCTAAACGTGGAAAGAAAGGTAAGAGTGAGCGACCCAACAAGAAACAGAAACGGGTTAAGGAGCAAGGTGAGGAAGCCGCTTTCCAGAAACTTGTTCAGGATTACAAAGGAAAACTGGAGCCAGAGTTCGACCAGACTAGAAACTTTAAAAAGTGGTATGATGATTGAGTACCTAGTGTCTTTTTAAATGGGGGTACTTTGTTTTAATTTTTTATGACCATCAGTTTTTAAAGTTTTAACATGCAGTAGTGTGCTTTCGTGCCTCATGCACAATATATGTGCCGTCTGCCTTATTTATTGAATCGGATAATTTATTAAACGGGATGTTTTGCCAAAAGTTCAATTGCCAACAGAATTTGTTAACAAACCAGTGTTGATTTGTATAAGTGATTTTAGAACTTTTTCATTTATTGGCACAGCCTATATTTTTGTGGGTTTTAATATTTCTGTAACGTTTCCGTTATACCACTAATTACGATGAAATCGTCAAGATGAAATTAGAAACCAATGAAGGTTACATGTTACAAAATACAAGTCAATTTCCGCATAATAGTCGCAATATTAAAAAACTATCAGGCTTTGTAACTAAAAGTTTGTTCGTCTTATAATTGGCTCTTGTTCATCAGATTAGTAATGTAGGGTATGAAGAGTCAGGATGTAGCTCCAGCAGCACACCGTTGCTGCTAAATCTAAAAAGATACTCAGCTACTTCCACGATGTTTATCTATGGATGGGAGTGGAGGGGAGATCCTTTACAATGTACCTGTGTCACGCTTTTCTTCTTCTTTCTGTCGTGGCTCTTGATCAAGGTTGTTATTATAAACTATAAAGGCATAGTGATGACCAATTAGATTATAAAGTTTAGAATATTAACAAAGTATAAAATTGTGGAAATGATCAGTTCAAATATCAATTATGAATGATCATTAATCAGATTTTATTAAATTCATACTGTGTTACACTTGCTCACTTTCAGATAATATTTTGGAAGCCTCCAAAGCTGATTATAAGGGAGTCTGGTCAAGGACATTCCTGGTTTGGGACTGATTTCATTGATAAGCCCACCTATTGTAACAACTGTAAAGAACTATTTGTAACGGTAAGTACTTGAAAATTAATGTTGAAACCAAGTTTAAATGATTATCGAAATTTTGTCCACCTTGCAGGGAGGCCGACAAAGGGGGGCCCTCTATTATTAGAGGTCAGATCATATGACGTATAATTAGTGATGTGACGTATAATTAGTGATGTGATCCATCCATGTGATCCATCAGTAGACCCAGAAATGAGCTAGATATAGGGTAGAGTTCACATGTTCTGTAAATCATAGCTGGTGGATCACATCACTAATTATACGTCACATCACTAATTATACGTCATATGATCTGACCCCTAATAATGGAGGGCCCCCCTTTGTCGTGCAGCCACATTGCATATCCATTATCCATCAATTTTGGTCGGTACTTTTTTCTAAAAATGAAACGTAACTAACCTATTGAAATGTGATCCTGAATCATTTCTAAGGGACACAGTTGTGATTCCTGTGGAGTTTACTCGTGCTCCGAAGAGAGGTGTATAGATCAGGCCGATGAGGAAATAGCTTGCAAGTCCCTCTTCTTATCCCAGAAGAAACAGATGAAACATCATTGGATCAGAGGAAATTTACCGTTATGTAAAGGTTAGTACATCAAAGCTATGATATTGTGAAACATGTGTCTGATATAATAGAAACTACGAGTCTTAACATTTACTTAACACAAATTGAAATAAGTTAACCATCTAAAATATGTTATTCAAGTTAACGAACCTTCTCATTTCTCATTTCTCAACCTTAACCTCAGAATGTGTGACGTGTGGAGATTTCTGTGGTCGGGAGCCCAAACTAATGGATATAAGATGTGTGTGGTGTCAAGTTGTGTGTCATGACGACTGTAGTAAACCCATCACTTCCTGTGATTTGGGGAAATATCAGAAGTGGATTCTCCCTCCTACCAGTATTACTCTCAAGGTTATTGAAGCTTTAATTTGCTGTTTTTATTTAATACTTTACAAATTTTACAGATTACGGTAGAGCAATGAATTTTTTTAAAATTGAATAAACGAACTGAAGATGGCAGATGCACTATCTGTAAAATTTGATGGGCAACCAAACACGGAAGCTCATCGCGATGACCGCAATAACATGGACCCATAAAGGACTGAAATTAACCAAGAAATTAGTAACATTTCTTAGAAAACAATTTTATGAACTAAAAGTATGTTCTTGAAATATTGTCACGCTATATGGCTATAAATTTAACTGAGAGCTACATTCCCTACATTCCTTATATGCCCTAGATTAAATGAAATCTACCATGGCTTCAATGGTAGAATTTGATGATTTGTAGTCTGTGATAATTGTCTATCTCAGTGTACTAGTGTTTAGTCATAATCATTATTTCTCTTATGATATTGAGGGGGGTTACGGTGGGTTTAAAGCCCCAAAAAAAACTAAGGACCAGATGAACAAAATCATGATTTTGGCAAAATACTAGACCATGACAGGCATTATTCAACTTGATATTGTAGATAGTGTATGACTGCCATATAATAGTAAATCAGCCAAGTCTTTTATCAAACTTTAAATGGTCCCATCTCGATTTGGGTTGATTTTACGGTTGTAATTGATCTATTTTAAGTTTGAACTTCCACCTTCACAATGATGACCATATTAAGACTAAAAGATTTGCTGAGCTTTTAAAATTCTGAGTGAACTATCTATAACTATTTATAACTTAACTATTTAAAATATGAAACTACTTTTGTCAAGGAACTTTGTCCGATTGTTGTGACATGGTCACATGCCTAAAGCTATTTACTATTACAAACTTTAAGTCTCAAAACTACTTTTCGTGAGCTTTTGAAGAAGAGAGGAGATTTGGTCAAATAATATCTCAAATATCGGGGGCTGGCCTAGCGTTATATACGATAATACATTTAAATTGTAGATTTCCAAAACCCAAAGTAATACAAATTAAAATGAGCACTAAACTTAGAAATGAGAATTGAGACTAACACCTGCGTAGCTGTAGTCTAAAGTAGTCTAAACACACCCAGTTCATCTTCCAGAACAACTGAAATAATTGTAACGTCTCATCTAATTACAGAGTATCTGGGTAAAAGGAGTAAGGAAGCAGGTAGTGCGGGACATCACCACACCCTCGTACCCCTGGCAGCCCTTGTTAGTGTTAGCTAATAGAAAGAGTGGTAATAACCAGGGACAGAGTGTCCTGCAGATCTTCAGACATCTCCTCAACCCCGCACAGGTTTGGGAATAAACACTCACTACTTTTCCGTTGAAAATAACTTTGATCGAAATATGATTAGAGATGCATGATTTTTTCCCCTTTTTCTTGGCTATCTTTAAGCGAGACAAGGAAGATAACAATATAAAGATAACCGTATCCCGTGTGCAAGGAAGATAACAATATAAAGATAACCGTATCCGTGTGCAGGTGGTAGATATCTGTGAAGTGCCCCCAGAAGCAGCGTTAGACATCTGTAGACTGTCCCCCACCACACAGTACCTAGTACTGGTATGTGGGGGAGATGGTACTGTGGGATGGGTACTCGGTGCTATCGACAAGATGAAACTTCAGGTAACTATTTGTTCCTTAGAATTACTGTAATTGAGCTCATTAGAGTTGATTACGTTAGCGATATTCTGTTTGTGCTTTCTGGTTGTAAAACGATGTATTGATATCTGTACATAAAGTTCCTCGTGAATCGTGATTGTATTTCGAATGTTATGATATACATTTGAGAACAGCTATCATATTAAAATGTACTAAATTAGCTTGTCTTTCTCCGTCTTATATTGTATTTGAATCCAAATATTGGGTTCTATTATATATATATACAGATATAGTTCTTTTTACACTTATGACTACTGAGTATACGTTTCACTTTATAGAAGTGTTGTATTATACACCATTTATTATTATTAAATGCACCATATCGTGTTACTCCGACATTATGGAACACGTGCTTTTAACATATCTGCTGTTCTAATTAATTAACTGTCGCCTTCCTTCACACAATCATTGTTCTGTCTTCAAAGTGAAAACCTAACATGATATTATTGTTGAGAAGGAAATGGTTTAAAAAGTAAAATAACTGATATTTTTACTCTAGACACGACCTCTGGTGTGCGTGTTGCCGTTAGGTACTGGTAACGACTTCGCCAGATCTTGTGGTTGGGGCTCAGGTTAGTTTTATTTCTGTTCACTGTAGTTCCTTTGTATTGAGATCCAGAATGCATTCTTAAGATTTCAAAAAACTGTTGTTTTAATAGGTAGGATCACATTTTAATTTAACCTCGCGTCAATATTATAACTGCTCTATAACAGGGTATGCTGAAGAGGACATGTCAGACATATTGTGGGATATTAGTAGAGCCCAAACTATTGAACACGACAGATGGTCCGTTAACATCAGAAACTATGGTTACTTCGGTATCAAACGTCCCATGAAGGTATGTTATGTCATCATCTGTTATTTAATATCATGTGTTACAAATTCATGATAATTCATTTTACTGGTTTCCTGTACATGTTGACCTGAAATTGTATTATCATTTTGGTCCACTGCCAAGAGGGACCATTTCTTGTTTTTACGTTTTTAACATTCCGTAAATTTCCAGACGCTGATAATGAACTGCTATTTCTCTATCGGGTGTGACGCAGCAGTTGTGTTAAACTTCCACAAAAACAGGGAAGAAAACCCATCCCTCTTTAAAAACAGATTATTAAATAAGGTACGAGTTTAACCTTTTAACTAAATAATTGAACTTTGATGTGAATTTAATCATCTCACTGATAATATGCACACTGTACATTTATTTACAGTGATCGAATGATAAGTATTGAATGCCATTTCCAAATGTTTCCATCAACGTTACACAAGTGAGCCGTGAGTGTGGGCACTCCGCACTGTCCTCGTAGGCCGTAGAATTGCAAATTAAAATGGAAAAACCCGCCATTAATGGGACGAATTTTATCCATACCACGACTTGGTTCGTGCGCGCGGGCGACATTCTCAGTTTTAATATGTATCGTTCGCCGCGCATAATGGCACTGCCGCATACACGCGCGCGCCGCGTCGTGGATCCGATCGAGCTAGCTGACAAAGCGATTCAATGCATGGTTCGTGGCATTTCTGACGTCATACCGTTAAGCTATAGCTATTAACTAATACTGTAACTGCTCAACATACTCATTATTAGAGACGAAAGGCTGATGTATTGACTTTAAATTCCTTTATCCTCACATTTTCATCTGCCCAGGCCTGGTATCTAGGATACGGCACGAAGGACGTATTTGAAAGCGTGTGTCACAAACTAAACGAGCGAATAGCTATTGAACTTGACGGTAGAGCAATAGAACTACCTGAATTGGAGGGTATTGTGTTGCTAAATATCGGCTCTTGGAGCAGTGGCTGTGACATGTGGGCTGGGAGTGGTTTAGAGGAACTACCAAACAAACAAAGGTTAGTTTTTTGTGTGGTGTATCGCGATTATTTTAAACTTCCAGAATAGATATTTTTGATGAGTTCTGTAATTTTTATTCTCAGTTCTGATAGTCGACGTTATTGATTACCCACTAAATAAATAATGCTGACAAGATTGGTCTTGATTCTTGGGGATATCTTCAACAAACAATTTAAAACGATATCTCTCATGTATCCCTCCAACTTCAGCCCATCTGATGGTTTGATAGAAGTTTGTGGACTCTACTCTTCTCTTCACGTGGGTCGACTCCAAGTTGGACTTGCTGATCCTTGTAGACTTGGCCAAGCTAAAACTGTCAGGGTAAGTTTGGTGAATTAACCACAATCCAATTTTGTTTCTTGGAGGTTTCTGATCGCTCAAAACGTTGATATTACTTAACATGAGAATGCTTGGTTAGATACTTAAATGGATTAACAAATGTCTTCTAGTATATGAACAACTTAACCAAGTCAAACATTGGATGTCCTCCAATTTTTATCTTGTACGAGTGCTAAACTCTTCCGTGTTTTATTATGAAATGTGATTTGCAGAGCCCCATATTATCATGAAATTTGATTTGTGAAGTCCCTCTCATTTATATTGGTCTTCAACCGGAAGAATCGTACTTGGGCCCTCTGATCTAAATGCCAAGCTTACATATTTTTGTCATTTCAACACCGAACATTTGAGAGGTACATCATATGATCATCTCATCACTACGAATCACCACATCCGTATTTAAATTTGATTAGATATTGTCTGAAATAGTCCTACAAAGGTCTATGTTAAATTTGATTGCATTTGTCGAATTAATTTTGTCGAGGTACCACCCGAATCCCTACAATGACAACGAAAGCCAATCCCTCGTTTTCAAATCACCACCTAGAGACTTCTATTTTAAGAACGTCTAGAAAACTGAAACAGCCCAAAAATCACATTAGAACAAACGCACGACGATCAAATTAACAGTGATCACGCATGTCACGTGACCACTATTTAATCTCTCTTTAAACCTCTAACACTCCCTCTGCCCATCAGATCGTGGTGAAGTCAGGGTTCGTGCCAGCTCAGTGTGACGGCGAGCCTTGGGATCAGTCTCCTTGTATTATATCCGTGTCAGCTCACACTCCTGCGCTGATTATGAGGCGCGAGGAAGTATCCTGAAGATGGTTTTTTCTCAGATTAACCCATAATTAGCCTGAAATTTACTTGAATTTTATTCTTATACTCTCCTGAAGTTTATGTAGATGTCTTAGATTGTACTCTTCCAAGAATTCCCCATGGTTGGCTAGACGTGTTGGACTATTAAATGAAAATTGAGGACCTGACAGCTGTTGTGACAGAGCCAATATTTGGGTTAACTCGAGGATTCAATACAGAAAACGTGATGATACGTTAGGGTTTAGGAACTGCAGCTACCGCCGGAACGGCCGTACTTAGAACAGACAAATCTTGTTATGTTTAGTGTTTAGTTTGGACAACTTGTTGAGCCGAATAGGTTATCCTTTATTGAACGTATGTTGACCAAAGTTGAAACAGTGTTTGTAAAGTAGGAATTTTGTTTTATCTGATGGTAAGTATATTTTGAGTATTATTTTGTAATTTGACAATTTAACATTTAAAACGATTTATTTTGTACTTGTGCTGGAAATGTTCTATTTTATTCTTCGTACCAAGCTTAGTCCTAGATCCTCTTCGGAATAAAATGAGTCGTATTTACCAGTGCATTTTTATTCGGTAAATAATGACCGTGAATTTTCCGATAATTGAGGTCGCTTAAAGCGTCATGTTTTATGCTCCCATAAAACTAGCTTCAAAATAATACAGTAGTAATGAAAAGTTTAGAGCTAACTACAAAATACTGCCTTTCTATGGCATACAGTTGTTTACTTCGAAATGATAAAAATAATAATCATTTGTCAGAACACTTTAACAGAATATTGCTGACCGAATATTACCTCACGGCCTCAGCCTCAGTTATATCGAGCAGATTTTTGTCTTGATATGACAATAAATTGTTCGTTTTAACGACTAAACCCTTTTACAGTTTTTAGAGTCGAGGGTTAGTCCTAAACGGCTATCGTTTTATCGTTAGAGTTATTTTCACCACTCTCGCAAAACTATCGTCAATGACGATTCGTTATTGAGAGTGCCTATTTAATAAATATTCCTTGGGTTTTGTAATCGGTTCTACCATCAAGGTTATTTAGGGAATCAGGTTTTTTGGCAGTTGGAAATGATCGCTTGAAGACGCTCTGTATGGAGATGTGTTGGGTATTAATATTATATTTCGAGTGAAGTTTGCCTTGGCACGGAGCTTTCTTCTTTTTTCGGAATCGGAAGCAGAATCATACCACTTTGTTTAATGTTTTGCAACTTTGTGACAGTTACTGCTGGTTAGTGGTACCCGCATATATAAATCAAGAGGCTTGCATATAATGAACATATTGACATATGTAAATAATGTGATTGGTCTTTGCTGTATAACTGTAAGCTGTTGTGGCCGTGGGGCTGCTTTGGAAGCACGCCAGAGGCCAACTTCATTAGAGAGCACGATATTCCCCCAGCATAGCCAACCTGCGTTTCATTTGTTAATATTCTTATGTAACAGATAAATGTTGACGTAACTGTTGGATTTGGAGCTTATATTGCATTGGAACTTGATGGGCTTGAGTTGAACCCACTCGCGTTGTTGATGCAAGGTTTGCGGGGTTTAAAACTTTAATGGTATTGTTGAGAACACTGCTACATGACACTTTAAGGGCGAAGAACCACACTGTTAAAAATTGATAGGCGATCAGTACTGGTTTGACGGATGATACTCGTCTAAATTTCTTCAAAGTAGCGAGGCAACGGCCCGAGCCAAAATCTTGCTGCCATAATAATTGTGAACGCTCCCCAATAGAAATGATCTGGGTATATCTACTCGATCATCAGACAGTCTGAAATTAGAATGTAGAAAGCTATCTAATTTCTGATATGTGGTGTGACCCATCGCGATACATCTCAAATCTTAATCAGATGAATAAGTCGAATTGGTTCGAGCCCATATCTCGCTCTGCTCATACTGTACACCAATTTCTGCCTTGTTCCGTCGAGAATGATTCTTGGACAGTAGAGTCTTAGAGATAGGTGCTCCGACGCGTACATTTCAGCTATCGTTCATCAGTTAAGCTGGAAGTTTCTAATTCATTTAACCTGTTGTTTCTTGGTGCTTCCGATTGCTTTTGCAGCATCACACAAATTTCTTGGCGGCACAGCTAGGCCACCATCTCAAGCAATAGAGATAAGGTGCACTCGAACTAGTCCCCTTTGGGTCGTCCTGCACTCATCACTATATTAAAAACTTAAATAATACAACACATTTTGTTGTAGTACATGTCATGATGTAACAGTCGAACAATTCATAAGTTGTTTTTCTTGCATAATTCGGATTGGGCTTCGTCCTTCGAGAATCTTTTAAAAAATTCCTGCATGCTCAATTTCAACCAATGATGCAATTTCTCCTGCGACCAAATTAACTTAACATAATATCCTGAGTAAGCTCGTAATCGTATCTGTATTCTGTGATCTGGACATAGCGCGATGTTTATCTTACCATCTAGTATCCATCACTTTCTTTTGAGTCTTGGCCTGCCGGCCTGGGCTAAGAGTAAAATTACTTTTAACATTTCCCCATAAACCTTTAAACTTCTGCTTCAGGACTCACCAATTTGGCCGTCTCGCATACAGTTCAACATTCATCGTAATATCTTCGTTTCTTGATACGATAACTACTCTTAAAGTTAATATTGGCGACAAGAGAAACGCCATTGTCGAATGTCGGACGTGAGGAAAGTGACTGTGAGGACTCTTTAAACTACATTAAATATATTCCTTCTGTAGCGTCCTCAATAAATGTAATAGATTTATAGTGTTGTAATTATTTAAAAAAAAACTTCACTTCAATATATAATACGGCGAGTAAAAGTGCAGTGTGCGTTAATTAGTTAACTGTCCTTGTTAACTCTCATTGTTAACTGTATGTAAAGGTACTGGTTAGTGGTTATTGAGATGGTCACTAGGAACGGTTACTAAGGAACGGTTACTAAGGAACGGTCACTAGGAACGGTTACTACATCACTGCTCTTCTGTCTGATAGCTAACAAGTTGGTACTAGTGGTACTGGTAGTTAGTTCCATTTCTAGTATTTGTTAGTACTGGCTGACTGAGTACTGGCTAACTGAGTACTGGCTACTGAGTACTGGCTACTGAGTACTGGCTACTGAGTAGGGGGGGGGGGGCCAAGTGGATATTTGTAGATATTTGGATAATGTCATCCACTTTTTTCGTGAATTATCCATTGACAATAATCTACAAATATCTACATTTATCTACAAAAAATGTATATCTCAAATATGTGCCCATAAATTCTACTGAATTTCTGGAGATAAATGTATAAATTTGTAGAATTTGTAGAATTTTCGTGAATTATCCATTGACAATAATCTACAAATATCTACATTTATCTACAAAAAATGTAATCTCAAATATGGAGATAAATGTATAAATTTGTAGAATTTGTAGAATTTTCGTGAATTATCCATTGACAATAATCTACAAATATCTACATTTATCTACAAAAAATGTAATCTCAAATATGGAGATAAATGTATAAATTTGTAGAATTTGTAGAATTTTCGTGAATTATCCATTGACAATAATCTACAAATATCTACATTTATCTACAAAAAATGTAATCTCAAATATGTGCCCAGAAATTCTACTGAATTTTTGGAGATAAATGTATAAATTGAGTACTGGCTACTGAGTACTGGCTACTGAGTAGTGAGTACTGGCTACTGAGTACTGGCTACTGAGTAGTGAGTACTGGCTACTGAGTACTGGCTACTGAGTAGTGAGTACTGGCTACTGAGTACTGGCTACTGAGTAGTGAGTACTGGCTACTGAGTACTGGCTACTGAGTAGTGAGTACTGGCTACTGAGTACTGGCTACTGAGTAGTGAGTACTGGCTACTGAGTACTGGCTAACTGAGTACTGGCTACTGAGTACTGGCTACTGAGTACTGGCTACTGATATAATATAATAAAAATCGGTCACAAATATCACACTGTCATCGAATTACCCGTGCCATTTATCAAACAAACTATTGGGATACCCAACCACATGGAGACCTGTACTCGTATTCTACCCCACAAAGTTTATTCGCCGTCAATAATAAATAGTGGCTTTTCACAGTTACACAATACTAGCAGTACTCAATAGTCGATACTTAAACTTATCACTTAATTACTAACAGTTTAAAACACAGAATAATGCTCTTTGTTCTTCACTTTTGTTAGTCTCATGATATATCCTCGGTACAATGCACACGGAACGGGAAAATTTCCAGTTAATATATAGAACTGCGTTCATGTTGATACTGATATATAACCGCACGACAAAATGGCTGATATTAAACTCGGTGTATTTCATGAAAAGAGTTTAACAGTAATAAGTTTGTTATTCCGAGAAAGTACTTAACTCATAACTGCAGTTTTATTGGTTTCTTGATATATGAGTTACATCGACTCATTATAACACTTAGAACTTAACAAACGCGTTAGTTACTAATACTACTTAGTTATTGGTTCTAATTCTAGTAGGAAATTTGCACGGTGTCATCGCGATCCATCGTTTATCTAAGCATTAACTTTAAGTTAGTGTTCTTAATATCCAAAGGCAAGCTTATGCTATATGATAGCTCTTAATCAAAAGAAAAGGTAATTGCAAACTCTTTGTACCCCGGCTTACTGTTAGTGTTACGTCTACAACTACAATGACATGTCTAGCACAATTTAAATCTTGATCTAAGTCTTAAATCTTGCATGGATGTTTTCTTCAACTCTGGCTAGACAAGTTACTGTGTCAGCCGTCATGTTAGACTAGACTGTTTTGATTTTGGCATAAATATTTTATAAATAAGTTGTTGTTAAACATTAAACAATCCTCTGATTGTTTGTAAGCCACATGTTTGCAGTTTACAACTTCTATGGTTCGTCTCGTGATGATCGAGCAAAGAAGCAATACACGAATTTAAATGGAACTTCCATTCCAGAAATGTAATGATACAATAACCTTCCATTGGAAGGTTATTGTATCATTACATTTCTGCTTTGGTCAACAATGAGGTCAAGGTGAACCACGTTGATGAAAAAGACGGACCATGCAAACTCTTTTTATTAATCGGTATTGTCTTTGCTCTCCTTTTGCTCGAAAGAGCGCAGCAAAAATAGTATAACTGTTTTATGATGCATTTTTGCCGCTTATCGACTGAAATTCCGATTTATTTCCAATTAAAATTAACGTTTTCTGTTTCAGTGTTAACCGCATAAACAATGAAATTTGTATTCAATTTCATTAAGTTTTGTAACTAAACAAGGCAATTTGGTAATCTGTCGACGGACACTTATGGTAAATGCACTCAGTTTATTATTCAGTTCTTTAGAAAATTGCGTAAATTCCTCCATCATCACAGTTAGCTCGGTTATTTCTGATT